TCAAGAAATTGCAAAACTAATCGGACAGCCAAATTTTCGCTGCTTCTCTCGAATCAATGACATTAAAATAAACACGAACTCTAGAGAAAACTATAAAAAATTGATTAGCCATTTAACTTCCAAAAACTACGACTTCCATTGTTACCAATTGAAACAGGACAAGGCGTTTCGAGTAGTCCTGAGAGGTCTACATTCAACCACTCCTATATCTGTCATCAAAACAGGCCTGGAAGAAATCGGTCATAACGTCAGGCACATAGCACCCGTACTACATCCTAGGGAAAGATATCCGCTTTCATTATTTTTTATAGATTTGGAACCAGCAAAAACGAATAATGAAATATTTCAGGTTCAACGTTTAGTATACTCGACAGTACGATTTGAAGAACCAAGACAGAAGCCAATAATAGTACAATGCACTAAGTGTCAAAACTTAGGGCATACGAAGACATATTGCCATCACGAGGCCAGATGTGTTAAATGCGCCGGTTTTCACGCTTCAGACACTTGCCAGAGGCCAAAAGATGAGCCCGCTACATGTGCTCTTTGTGGTGAAGCCCACCCTGCAAGCTATAGAGGTTGTGAGGTGTATAAAAATCTTCACAAACAGAGATCACGCAACTTAGCGACGAAAACCCTTGGACCTGCTCAAAAAACTTGTCCTGAGCCACCTGAAATTGAAAATCAGGAAACATTCCCTGCTTTGCCGACTTCACCTTCCATCGCCGTCCAACAACAACCATCCATCTCTACACTTAAGGATTATCCTCAACAGAACTCAAGAAATTCTCAATGGCAGCCTTGCATCATTAAGAAGCAGCCTCAAAGTCAGGCGCCTCAAACCTCCCAATCCAAGCCCAAAAGCTCTAATACTCAACCTCAACAGCCTCGTCAGCCAATCCCTCCCCATCAGCTACCCTTAAGGGTTAAATTCCCGCCAGAGCACCCAAACCCAGCTCCACTCGTTCCTACTCCCAAGATGAACCTCCCATCACAAGTCCAACAGAATTTAGATCCTACTCCTCGTACCCCACGTCGGACCCACCCTCCACCCAGCAACCCTATTCGCATAGATTACTCATCACAACCTCATGACCTAAATCCACTTCCCAGCCAAACATCATCCGACATCAACTCTATCCTATCATCATTCCTGATAGATCTTCAACAGACTATCAAACCGCTTATAACTCTTCTCACAAGACTCCTTTCCAAAATCCCGTTTAACTTCCGATGAATACAAAGCTCCTAGCTATCCTCTTATGGAACGCTAACGGACTACAAAACCACCGTGACGAACTAGACATATTTCTCCATGACAATTATATTGACATTGCTCTTCTGACAGAAACTCATTTCACTCAACGACACAATTCTACATACGTGACTACATCACTTATAGATCTGACCATCCAGACAACACTTCCCACGCTGGCTCTTGCATCCTTATACATAAATCTCTATCGCATTCCCTTATCCCTTCTACTCCAACTGATGCCATTCAATCAATTTCTGTAATCCTTTCAACTCGTCCTTTCCATCTAACACTTTCAGCTGTATACTGTCCTCCTGGTAATTCCCTCTCTTATAGCCTACTTGATTCCTTATTTCAATCCTTTGGAGCGCGCTTTATTGCTGGAGGAGACTGCAATGCTAAACACCAACGATGGGGTTGTCGAATATCCAACTCCCGCGGTAGCATCCTATCACGTGTCTCTTCTTCCAACAGTTATTCAATCCTCTCACCCATGAATCCTACATATTGGCCTACATCTCTGAAAAAACGTCCCGATATCCTGGATATATTTATCACTTCCCAGATTTCCTCCTCCCAATCCATTATCAAATCCCTGGATGACCTTTCGTCAGATCATAGTCCAGTTTTGCTTTTACTACATTCGAACTTTGCTCCTAAACCTAAACTTCCTAAACTAATTACAGGACGAGTGGACTGGGACAAATTTCGTCATGATCTGGAAGATAAACTGGACTTAAAAATTCCTCTCAAGACAAAACAACATATTGATAATGCCATAGAAAACCTTAATACAACTATAACAACGAGTATAAATAATAACACATTTGTTAATAATAAAAGCAATAATTTAAGACAAATTAACTTGCCACAGCATATTCGAATCTTATTAAGAGATAAACGCAGAGCAAGATCGAAGTGGCACAGGACTAGATATCCTTCAGACAAAACGTACTATACCGAATTGACTAACAAACTAAAATCAGAAATCAGAAAATATAAAACTCAACAATTACTGAACCTAACTGGAAATATTACAACAACTGACAAATCACTATGGACTACAACCAAAAAACTTCTGAAGTTTAAAGATTTTTACGAAGTTTAAGATTTTTTTAAAGATTTCTTACTGAATCCCAAACCTGGTCCAAATCCGACGAAGAAAAAGCCCAGTTATTCGGTCAACATCTGTTCCAAATTTTCAACCCACATCCTGATATCCTTAATCCAACCCACATCGAATGTATTGAATCAGAACTGGATACTCCTCTCCAAATGTCCCAACCATCTAAAGCATTTCATCCCACAGAAATATCCAACATCATTCAAAGATTACCCTCCTACAAAGCTCCTGGACATGACCTAATAACATCCCAGATCTTGAAACTTCTTCCTCGAAAAGCCATCCAATTCCTTACTTTCATATATAATGCTGTACTCCGATCAACATATTTCCCTGATCCTTGGAAAATATCTATTGTCAAAATGATCCACAAACCCAAAAAGCCACCAGAATATCCATCCTCTTACCGTCCCATCTCTCCGTTACCCATCATGGGAAAAATCCTGGAAAAACTAATCTTAAAACGCCTGTACCCAATCCTAGATTCTAATCACATAATCCCAGATCACCAATTTGGATTCCGCTCCTCCCATTCCACTATACAGCAATGCCATCGTGTGGTAGACGTAGTATCCTCTGCATTGGAGCGCGGTATGTACTGTACGGGAGCCTTTCTCGATGTTGAACAGGCGTTTGATAGAGTTTGGCACCCGGGACTGCTGTACAAACTCCGAAAATTCCTACCATCTACCTACTTCCTCATTATCCGTTCCTACCTTACTGATAGATACTTTAAAGTAAATCACAACAATGTATATACATCCCGTTTTTCCCAGTCTGCAGGTGTTCCTCAAGGTAGTATCCTAGGTCCTATCCTTTACACAGTTTATACAGCTGACATCCCAACCCATCCCAACACTGTCATCACCACATATGCTGATGACACATGTATCCTATCAGTCAATAACGACCCATCTATTGCATCCCAAACCCTTCAATCCCACATCACAAACCTGGAAGAATGGTGTCAGAAATGGAGAATCAAAATAAATTCCAATAAATCCCATCAAATTACCTTCACCCTTCGTCGTAAACCAATGACTTCCTGTCCTTCAGTATCCTTTAACAACACCTCACTTATTCCTGTTGAACAAATCCGTTACCTAGGACTCCATCTGGACAAACGTCTAACTTGGAATCCTCATATCAGACTGAAACGACAAGAAACCGCTCGACGTTTCCGACTACTTCAACACTTACTAGACAAACGCTCTAACCTTCCAATCAATTATAAAAGACTGATTTACATGACTATAATAAGGCCTATTTGGACTTACGGGGTTGAGCTAAGGGGCTCCACCAAGCCTTCAAATTCCTCTCGCATACAGTCCTTGCAATCCAAAATCCTTCGTAAAATCCTCAATGCTCCTTACTTTGTTACAAATAAAATTATCCATAATGACCTTAATGTTCCTTATGTATCAGATTTGGCCCAATCCAGATATCTGTCCTTCCATAATAAACTTCATAACCATCCCAACCCTCTTGTCTCTAACCTTGCTTCCTATTCGATTCCTGATAACCCTCCGAGGCGTCTGAAAAGAAGATGGCCACGTGATCTTCTAATATAGACATATTATTAGAGTGCTACAAATGGGTAGTTTCTCAACATGTGTTCCATGTCTTTATACCAATGTGCAAATTTACTAGATGTATTTTTTTTTGTATACAGTTGTAAATATCATTTAAAATAAATAAATAAATAAAAAAATATAATACATTTATTATTTTTTTATTTCAGTAAATAGTAACAATGGTGAAATTAAGAATAATCTGGGTTCGTTTATCGACCTGTTGACTCTCGTCAGTAACAAATTCTCGTATCTCCAACCTCGTACTATCCTATGCTCGATGTTATTGTTTTTTAATAAAAACTTTTTTCTCCAGATATTTTAAATTTTTGCTTACCACTACAACCCCGTCAAATGAGTTTAAGGGTTGACAATTTTGTATGTGAATGGAGTTGGTGCTCTTGGTACCCCGAGAGAAGTTTCTTTCGCGGTTTCCGACGTGATGGCCGAGCTTGTCGGATCCCATTGTGTCCTGTTGTGAACTTGTGAGTTCGATTCCCACCTGGTTCGGTCAATTTTCAATTCTCGGCAGCTGAACTTCAATTCTCGGGACATGAATCTTGACACTCCCACTATTAAGTACGCGGCGGCAACTTCAACAACCTCAACAAATTTTTATCTGCTTTCAAAACTAAGACATAGTAAAAAAACTGCCATATTGATTATGCTCTCTGCTGTTCACTTTATTTATTTTATTCTTTTTTTTTTTCAATTTTCAATGTTAATCATTAATATCTAAAATGATCGAAACAATTATGTAATGACTTTAGTGATATTCTAACCTAGATAAATGAAGGAGAAAAATACCATTGATCGTAGAATTATTTAATTAACTTATTTTACAACAAATCTCATAATTGTGTATTATTACAAAGGTATTTATTATTGGATATATCATTAATTTAAATAAAACTTAGAACTTGAAAATAAAGGCAGTACTTTAAATTTTATTGTTAGGTGTTATATTACAAATATTTTTCATGTCTATAAGAAAATTACAAGATATCGTACTTTATGATAAGTTTTGGAATTCTTACTCTCCTGTTGCACGATGTATTTCCTGAACAGTAATCAACATGTGTTAGTTAATTGTAAAACGATAATAAGGTATCTTAATTACATGGTAATTAGTAAGACGATTATACAAAGACAGTTGCATTAAGTAGTTCTAACTTTAGCCAAGATCGATAGATAAATACCTGTTATTTTCGTCTTCAGACCAATGAGAGGAATTTACTATTGAAGTATGTGTCGTCTTAAGAAATACAAACTTGAATTTTTATATAGAAATTATATTAACATAATAAAAAAATTATTGGTTTATTTAATAGATAATTATTTCCGGTATTAGATATATAGATAGATAGAAAATAAACTTTATTCTGGGACAAGGTCCCTTATGAATAACCATTGTGAACAAAAAAATAAAAACCACATCTGGCCAAAAATTATATTAATCAACATTAAAGAATATATACAGTATCTTCAGTGAAAGTATATTAAAACAAATAAAATGTAACACCATTTTGAAAAAAAAAATTATTGTATGATATCTAAGAAATAGAATGTCAGCTAACAATATTAAAAAGATCCAAGTATACTAGAAAACTTTTAGGATAAACCTTTTATTAAATATTTATTTTATATATATATATATATATATATATATATATATATATATATATATATATTATATATATATATATATATATATATATATATATTGTTTATGTTATTAAAAATATTTTATGTGACTAGTTCCCATCATAAAATACTTTTAATTATTCTTTTATTATATTAATTTTTATAACGAATTTCATAAGTGATAAATATTAGTTAATACTTTCTAACGTTATAATTACCATGAATGGCATTGTTAGTGAATATGAATGTGTGTTAATTACTGAAGTATGTCATTGATATAAATATGAATATTAATCTCTTTTTTTTTTATTTTCTTCATTTTCAGAAGCCAATATAAATCTAATCTAGAGCTACCAATACACAGTGAAGAAGATAATCTACAAAGAAAAAGAACTCCCAGTCTACCTCCTATCAACTCAAATTACGATGTACATTTCATATTTATTAATAAAATACTCTAATAATAAAAATGTATCTATTAGTAAATTTTAATAAGATAATACGAATTTAAATTTAATTTTTGTGAGTATAATTACATATTTCACAACTATTAAATTATTCTAATTAGATGTGTACATATATATATATACAGGATGTCCCGTAAATAGAGAAAAATATTTATAGTTGTGATAGCTCACTTCAAGAACTACAAAAAGTTCAAATAAACAATGGGCTAATTTTCATGATAAAAGTAGGAAATTAAAGTTTTGTGTTTTTTAAGTGCCTTTTTTTTTTTTTTTTTTGTTGAATGAAAAACGATAACTAAAGAACAATTTAATTTAAGTTATAAAAAATTGCTTCAATGTAAATAAGACAAATTTACTTCAAATGAAATATAGTCTTTGTCATTGTTAAAACCATTTAAAGAGTACTTTTGAGTAGCTAAACTAAGTCAAGTTTTGTTTTTGAAAAATCATAAATTATTCGGGATTTTTTTTTTTATTATTATCCAACTATACTCCAGATACCCTGCTTTTCCAGAAACTTTCTTTTTCAATGACCTTTAATTCCATATTAATTATGTTGAGGTTTATCAGGAAAAACTTCAGAGTCAACTCAAGTTGTTTAGAAAAGTTATGTGATTTTCCATCTGTCACCTAAAAGTACCTGTGTTTTCATCAAAAATGACTACAATTGACTGTTGCAAAGCGTGTTTTTTTTTTTTATCATTATCTATAATAAACATTGGTTATAAAAGCAAAAAATTTAAAGATATGGATTTTTCAAATATTTTTCATGTAAACTGTGTTTTTCATCAAGATTTATGTCATAAAAATTTATTCGTATTTATAAGTGAAAAACTTATTATTTATAGCCCCAATATTTACTTTATTATGAAAATAAGTAAAGCAATCAGTAGGTTTATTTATTTTAAACGTAAATTTAGTCTTGAACAGTAGAGTTAAAATATAATATACTATCGAACCATTTTTTTTCAATTTTGAAAAAATTATTTTGGTCAAAAACAAATCTGTTTGCCATTTCGCACAAAAAAAAAAAAATGTATTCTGGTCTTCATTCAAATTTGATTCAATTATATGTATTCACCGATTACTATGTATGTTTTTAAGTTAAATCAAATATCTAATTACTATCTAATATCAATTTAATTCAAATAAAAAAATAAAGAAAAAAAATTTGCAAAGTGCAAGACCAAGAGCAACGCCGCCTATATGTTGCAATACCAAGCCCAAGACTGGTAAAAAAAATCGATTGTTTGAATAAAAATTGAGGCAAGATATTCAATAATACAATTTTAGTTACTATACGTAAAGAATTAGTGTAACCAATATACTTTTTCATTTAACTCTTCTAATTTTTTATTCAGTTTTAGTTAAGTTTCTCATATCTAAAAAATGACGGTAATATCTCTCTAATAATAAGCTAATAGGCAACTGCAAGTCTGTTACGAGAGTCTTGCGAAGATCAAGACCTAGACCAAGACTTAGTTTGCAAGACCAAGACTCGTCTCGGTCTCGCATTTGGGCAACACTAAGTATGTGTCAAATTTTCGCCTCTTCAGGTATCTTCAGGGATAATCTGATTTTACATGTAATTTAATTTTTCATTCACGTATAGCCATTGTACCCACTTGCACACTTAGTCGAAAGTTTGTAAGTAGAATAGGCGAAATTTTGGATAAATTGGAAATAAATTAATTATTATCGAGACTGAAAAGGCTTTTTTTTTTAATAATAATAACGTGTCATTATATTACAGTTTCCTATTCAGATTATTGAAAAATAACAAAATATTCTCGCAATCATAAATAAGTGTTGAATATCGTTATTGTTTCTTTCCAGTCTCCACAACAGCAACAACCTCAGGAAGAAGAATGCAACGGAGACACTTCAGGGTACGCCAGCGACTCAGCGGGCAACGAGTACAATGCTGAGGCCTGGGCCAAGTCAGGAGGTTGGCCGCTTCCCCAGTTCCCGAGGTTACCATATAATTATATGTTATATATTATTATTTATAAATAAATACAATAAATTTATTATACTGATTACTGTTATGGTTGAGGCAGACGTACACCTGATTCCATATCGAGCGGCAGCGGACGGGAGGAGAGGGCCCGGTGGGGCGACCGCGGGGTGGGAGTGGGGCACCTCTGGGAGCCGTCGCCCATGCTGCCCCCGCCCCCCCTCCCCAAGGTCCAGCCGGCCACCCCCAACTGGCTCAACAGGGGGGCACAGTCAGTATAGTATATAATATAATATAATATATAATATAATGTAATAATATAATAGTGTTAATAAGAATAAATGACATGTTAATTGCTTTGTATTCTCCATCAGAGCGTCAACAGCTGGATGAGAGGCGCTGGGATCTCCTACAGTCCAGCCTTTCCTTCCACGAATGGAAGGAGAGACTTGGCTCGGAGTTCTCCTGGGTGAACGAATTTTGTTAATATTTTATAAAAGTATATTTGTATTTGTAATGAAATGAAAAAATATTTTATTATTCTGGGACTGTTGTCCCTTAAAACAAATTATAAATACAGATTGTATGTCAGTGTGGTTACAATTGGATTATGTATTTACAATGAGAGTCGGCTAAAAATAAAAATACTGAAGAAGCGAAAGAAAAGAACAAGGAAATTGTACATATATATATAAGAAACTAAAATAACCTAAATAAATTGAAGTAGTCTCAGGGGATGCTTAGATATTTCTCTTAAGTATATTTTGCAATCAGTCGGATTGAGAAAGGAGTAGGTGTTTAAAGAGGAGAGGTTTAAAAGAGGAAACTGATTGAGCGTGTCGTATATCAGCAGGGATGGAATTCCAGAGGGAGACGGCTTGTATTGCAAAGGATTTGTCAAACGCAGCAGTTCGGTGAGGAGGAGGATAGAGGTTGGAAGTACGAGATCTAGTGGGACGGGATTGGATGGAGTATTTGAATTGGAAGCTGTGAAAAATGTAGGAGCGTCGATGAGTTCAAATGATGTGGTACAGAAAAGTGGCTAGGAAGTACTGACGGCGATAGTATGGATAGAGCCACCTCAACTCAGTGTAATACTGGGTAATGTGCGTATCCCTTGAGATTCCGAAAACAAATCGTAGTGCGCAATTCATTAGGCGTTTCGAGAGTCCACCGTACACCATACAGCCATAGTCGAAGCGGGGGAAAACAAGGGAGGAAACTAGGAGTTGACGGTACTTATATGGAAGGAGATATGGAGGTATTTAATTTTTTATATTGATAAGTTCAGTTTTTTTTTGTTTTTTTTATATACATTTAATTTCAGTATTATTATTTTTATGTTTAATTTATTTTTATTTATTATACATACAAAACAGCCTGGAATACTGGACAGATAGACCTCTTATTCAACATGTATGGCTGTTAAGGACACTGACTGTAGCCCATATGTGCGTCAAATAGCGCACATCAGTGGCGCCATCTATTGGTCATCAGGACAGTGCCATCTACTGGCAAGCTGAAGAAGATTAGCAACTCCTTGCCTGGTGACCTGTGACCAGAAGGGCCAAAGTCCAAACCTGTGCCAGTCTGAATCTAAGACTGCCTACAAAATGGTCTCCATGGCCATGCTAATGTCTAGCTAGACCAGTATAAAGAAGTGGTTGGAAGAGGCAGCATGGATGTCAGCACATGATAAGACATTCAAAGATGCCAGCAAGCCAGAAAACATAAATCAACTCAGATGGTACAGAAGTCAGTCCTTCGATGGAAGCATTCAACCAGCCAGCATCTTCATTTATTTGGTCATCCCATAGTAACAAATAGTTCACTAACACAATAATCAAAATGTATTTCTTGGTATCGCCCATCAACCTCTGTTTATTTCAATCTATTTTCTTTTTCAATATATTTTATACTAAATCCTTTTTCCTGGTCAAAATCCTTGTATAGATCCACGAAGCATGACCTGTATGCTCTAAGCAATAAGTGTTCTGTGCCCTCTCCCTCCCCCTATTCTCTTCTTCGTGGTAAAAAATAGATTCTGTTTTCTTCTTTGACTCCTGAATTGCTCTCCAATTTTCCTTTCGACAATTTTTCTGCCACTCTCCTTTAGGATTCTCGGGTATATCTTTTTTGACACAGTAAGGAGTGATATATCTCGACAATCGCCAATTATCGTCATTAAGGGCACATTTGAATTTCAGAGAAACATGAATTAGATAAGGAAAGGTCCAAGGTACCAAAGATAAACCTAACGCGAAGTTTGATTGTGCTAAGAAAAACAAATTAATAAAAAAATCATTCAAATTTATTTGCATTCATAATGTTTTAATTCCTTTTAGAGAACGGGCCGAGGTGTTGGTGATATCTCACAGCGAAGAAAATATGACAAGTCCTCCAACATCAAGTAGAGACACGATTAGAACCTGTGACACTCCTTTCTCCTCTGAAGATTCTCAAAGGTATTTTTTTTTAAATTTGTTTTAAATATATGCTATGAGCTTATGATTAATTTTTATAACATCACATATTTATTAAAATTATTCTATAGCCTGAAATTTTAATTTTGTTTTATATAATTATATAATTTTGTTTTATATAATTTAATTTTGTATTATCAATATGCACTAAATTATACACTAAATAAATCAACATTTTTAATCGATGAAGAATAAAAAATAAGTTAACCTCCCTCCACAAAGTTTAAGCAATCTAGAAGCACAAAGTTTCAAGACATCTAGAATCCGAAAAACGAATAAAAACATAAATCAGTCCGTCATTCATAACGGAATAACGACTCCAAGATTACTTGACCGATTGTTGGAGCTTTACTGTACCCATTGTTTTGTTTATTAATAGTATAATGTCAAAGGGCACCCCAGGATGATCATCAGAACTCGGCATTACCATCCGCCCTTTCCTTTCAAGATGGCGGCCGAAAATCCTATCATAATAAAAATCTACATACTTCACCGAAAATAAGCTGGAAAAAAAGTTAGGAGGGTTGGTGAAATTAGATTTTCGAATAACGCAAAAAATATACTATTTTTTGTGGAATTTTCATTCAAAAGTTTACTAAGTTCCTAAAAAAAAAATAGGATTTTTAAAATCGGTCGGTTTTGTTCAAATACTTGTTATGTTAAATATTTCCCATACTGCTGCAAATCTGATATCTTTTGTTTTGGGTTATGATTTTTGGAAAGACTTACATCAGCTGGAGCAGTCGATTTTGCCTATATTTCTTAGAAAATTCCTCATGAAAAAAATTCAAAAATTAAAAGAAATAACTTTTTGTTTATTTTTCTCAATGTGACAAGAAAATTAGTGTGATTTGATATACAACAAGGGTTTGAAATATATAATTTAAAAAATAAAAATAAAATCTGATCGGGATGTTTATTTGAAATTTTTAAAAATCATTTAAAGATTTTTATTTAGAGGGATTTTTATATTATATCATAAGTGATAACAATCATATTCTGGTCATTATTTTTGAACAAAATGTTTACAATTATAAATATTAATAATTCTACTATTTACTATTTTTATTATTATTATTTTTAATAATAATATTAAAAAAGTGTACATTAATAACATATACTATAACTATTAATAACAAATACTAATATTTTATTTTATTTTTGTGTGTGAAAAGTTATTTTTATTTTTTTATCAATTTTTTTTATCACAATTTAATTATTATTATTTATGTAAAACCGAACCATTCAGTGATTGATTATTATTTTTAATCGACTCAATAAACACCAAAGATCAGTTTAAATTTCTGTTTAGAAATCAAGCATGATTTTTAAATTAAAAATCAAATATAATAATTATTACATAATTTTATTGAAAAAATAATTATCCATTTCAAACCCTGTACATAACAGTTTGGAAATAATAAACATTTATGTTATAATTTGCATAGTTTTTCCAATTATAATAACTCTAATATTTTCTTTTTCTGTCCACAGATCTTTTACAAGAGGACAGAACGTACCAATAGACAGCGCTGAGCTAGCAGAAAGGGAAAGGAAACGTCAAAAAGCCTTAGAACACCAAAACGCAATAAAAAAACAGGTGAAATCACATCTTTCTTGCCGTAACCATGCTTCCCATTTACTGAATGCAATGTTTATCTAATATTATTAGGTAATGTTTATGGTCTGCCTTAATATTGTTGATCAGCTGGAAGAGAAAGAGAGGATAAAGCGGGAGGAGCAAGAGAGGAACGCGAGGGAGGAACGACTTGCTGAGGAAAGGCTCAAGAAGCAACAAGAGATCGAAAGGCAGAGGATCGAAGAGGAAAGGAGGAGGCAAAAGGAGAAAGAGGTAAATATCATACTTGTTTAAACAAGGTTTATTGAATAATAATACAATGTCACATGGAAGGGCAATAAGTAATAGCGCTGTAGGTGTTCATTCCTTCAATGCATACATACTAGTAATAAATAATTATTAAAAAAATAGTAATAATGATAAAGAGTCAATCCATTAAAAATTATCCAGTTTAAATGATATTCTTGCCCGAATTTTTTAATTTATTATTAGCGCAGTTATTCCTTATTTAATGGAAACCGTAATCATTTTTTACGGTTCACACTTTATTCTTAACGTCCATTTCGAATTTGCTTTTTGACTGAAAATATCTTTTGGGAAAATGTCTATATTAGGTCATTTTGTAGATATCAAAACATACATTTTTTTGTCTGTTGGTATCACATGGCTTTTAGATCTTTTGCCAATTTAATAAGCCTGTTTCTTCTCTGCCTGTCTGAGGCTATTGCATCTTTGTTGATTTCATCTATCTATCAGTTTTTTTGGTCCTCCACATGGTCTTTTGCCTTCTATTGACATAGCGTAACGGCCTACAGATGGTTTGCTCCGAACTACATGCCTCGTCCATCTTAATCTCCATTCCTTCATGAAATATTTATTGATCAATTTCTGTAATCAGCTCTTTATTGGTCTTTCTTCTCTTTGTATTAGTACTATATTCCCAGATCACCCCGGTTATCGTCTGGAGGATTTTTCTCTCAAATGTTTCAACACTTTTATTTACGCTGGTTAGTGTGTATTGAACATCACAGTATTGAACACAAATCACAGTATTGAACACATTTTATTTGAGATTTTTCGGGATTTGAATAGATTTGAAAGGGAGAAGCTCTGTTTGCTATATGCAGGTCTATTTCCGTCCGTAGGCCATTTATTCGTCTACAATCCAACAAACCAAAATAAAAATTGAAATAATGATAGAAACTTGTCTACGTTTTCAATACATCACCTAATATTGTTTTACAAATATCATAAAAATTAACATTAAACTAAACTTTTTAAAGTTAAATAATGAAATGAAGAAAAGATGAGATTCGCCTTTTGATTTTTTTTTTCTTTCAAAGCTTTATCATGGTGAAGAAATTTCAATTAAAAACCTTTAAGAAATTTCAATTTCAACTTAAAACCTTATCCTGTTTTAAAAATGATTTTCGATGTTAAATGTCACAATAGGAACAAAGTGAAAAATTATTAAATTAATACCGTTTATACTTAGAAGGGCAAGACATGAATTTAATCACTAAGTTTCAACTGGTTCTGTTAGTTATGGTGCAACAAATATCGCCTACTAGGAACATAAAAACATGTAAATATAACATTTTTATTTCCACTTCAGTTTCATTGAACAACTGGGGTTAGAGTTACAGAAAATTTTTTTTCTATATATTATTACTTTCTAATCATCAATATGCAGGGTGTTTCAAGATTAAGTGGCCAAACTAAAACTTTGAATTAAGGACCTCAAAACCGGAAAAAATATCCTGTGAAGGTATGTCCGCAAATGCTTTGTTTAGGTGATATTCACATCTAAAAATTTTCATTGTTATGAATTATTTAAGTTATATTAAGTAAAAAAAAAAGTAAAGAAAAATTATTTTTCTTCAATTAGATGTTTATCCTGCACATTAGGGAAGAGGTCCGCGACAATGGCTAAATGTTAATTATCCCAATCAATGGATTGGCGGCGCAGGACCAGTGGCTTGGCCTGCACGCTCTCCAGACCTGACACCACTCGATTTTTTTGTATGGAGCTACATTAAACAAAAATTCTATGAAAGTCCGGTCAATGATCTTAATTCCTTACGAAGAAGGATAATGGATTTTTGTGAAAGAATAACACATTATCCGTTCTGTCACTGTTACTGTTGAAGAAAGATGCCGAGCCTGTCTTAATGCTCAAGGAAATCACTTAGCTCAAGGTAGAACAAATGAATAGGTTTTATTTATTTCATATAACGTAAATAATTCATAACAACGAAAAACTTTAGGTGTGCATATCTCATAAACAAAGCGTTTGTGGACATACCTTCAGAGGAAATTTTTTTCTTGTTTTGAGGTCTTTAGTTCATTTTTTGGCCACTTAATCCTGTAACACCCTGTATACTATTTTTATACATCTGTTAAATCAATATATATTTTTATATACTTACAGTATGATCGATAATAAATTATTTAAATAAATAAAACAGCGGAATGTATATAATGCAATGCGGTGAACCAAACGATATCAAGATAAAGCTGGTCCACAAGGTCGAAAGGCGATAGTCGCGTGAAATGCGGTACTTTTACTTATCTCACGATAGACTGGGGCCATTCGCGATTTTCTCGATCAATCAATTCTCCCCTTTGTAGAGTTTTAATAACATGAATTCACTTTTATTATAGTTTCCCTATTTTAAGTGTTATTGAGGGAATCATTTATTTTTTATACAAAAGAAGTTGGCTAGTCTCACAATAGAAAATATGCTATTTTACACAAAAGAGGTATGACATTTAATTTTTGTAGTACTTATACCTAAAACTGCAAATATAAAAAAAAATCCATAAATGCTAATTTTTAGATTCAAAACCATCTAGTTTGAAAGATTAATTTTTTCCAGGACCTCTTTTCAAATGTTTCATGTAAACACATTTTAAGAAAATTGATAAATAGTGGTATAGACCCTTTTTTATCAAATTATTAACAAAAAAGGTGGCCTACAAACGAATTGCATCATTTGGCCTAAATAATCTCCTTATTTTGACATGTCTGGGATGGAGGTCACGCTAAACGGTCCAATATTTTTTATCTCTCTTTCTTCTCGATTGGAAAACAAATGGGTGTTCGTGAGTTTGTAGTTAGTCAGAAAATAGACAAGTTTACCCATCTCCAAATTGAAAATGCACCACCGTTCCGAGAATAAAAAAGTTATAGACTACGACAAGATGAAGCCCTTAATAAAATTTTAGATGAATGTTAATAATTTGATAAAAAGGGATCCGTACAGCAGACTAATATATATTTAAAAAGTTGTCAGTAATTTAAGAGCACTTTAGTCACATACATTGAATTAATTAAACTTTAGGAAATAATATTAATTATTTATTTATGATTTTCTTAAAAATTAAAAATGTGAACTCCAGGAAAAAGACGAGAGGATTGCTAAGGCAATGGCGGAAGCACTGGAGCTGGCAGAGAGGGCGGCCCGGGAAGAGAAGGCCAGGGCCAGGAGGAAGCACCTCCCAGAGCTCCACATCCAAGAACAGCCAATCGTAGAACAGCAAATACAAGTAGAACATGTCCAAGTGCAACATGATCAAGAGCATCTACAGGAAGTGCAGAAGTTGATCATCCCGGAGCCACCGCTGCAACAGCAGCCACAACTTCCTTCACCTGTCGTGGAGCAACAGCAAGTACAGATCGTCAAAGCGCTTCCATCACCGAAGCAACCACTACCGGTTCCTCCTCTTATCAAGGTAAATATTGTAATTTTTTTCTGGTTTAATTTTTTACTCACTAATAGAAATAAGAAACGTCTGAAATTTACATTACAACTTTCTTAAAGTATAAATGAAAGAAAAATCACTAAGTTTGTACAGTGTTGATATTTGACATGGTTAGTTCTTATTTATACATAAGATCTGAATAATTTCTAAGCTTATGAAACAGCTGGAGAGGCCGAAACGTGAGACCATCCATGCCGGAGGGGAGGAGCAGGAGGCGGAGCAGGAGACGGAGCAGGAGGTGGAGCTGTCCGTGCGGGTGGAGCGGCTGGAGATCGAGGCGGGCGACCTGCGGGTGGTGCCGCCCCCGGGCAGGCTGCTCACCCCCAGCAGGTACCGGGCCGGCCGCTCCGTCGAGAGGGCCACGCAGACCGAGGCCAGGTGAGTTCCGCCCACCTTCCCCTTCCTCTTATATATAGTACAGTATTCAGACCGAGTAATCCAACTGTCCAGCGGGAGAACGAAGGTGATGAGGAGGTTCCTGAGGCTAGAGGAGAGGCCCAAGTGGGGAGTGAACCGACCGACCACGCAGTACGTCAAGGCCAGCGACCGGGATCCCTTCAGGAGGTCTCGACATCCTGCCAGGACTTCGCCCAGGGATAGCAGGTACCTCATGTATTCTTCTCTCTTACTGGACTAATCTGTGATAATCTTTGTTACTTATGAGAGATATCAATTTATACGAAAAATTCCATAATTTTTACTCTACTAAATCGAAACCACACGAAGTTATGTAACGATTTTTTGAGAAATGGCTAGATCGATTTTTAAGATTCATTGCTCAAATTCTTCGGTGAGATCCCGTGATTATTTGATACAATTCGATTCCGACCGCTTTCACCCATGATATTTAAGTTTAAGTTTTTTCTCCTCATACCAGACTGAAACGACAAGAAACCGCTCGACGTTTCCGATTACTTTAGCACTTACTAGACAAACGCTCTAAACTTCCAATTAATTACAAAAGAAAAAGATACATGACTATAATAAGGCCTATTTGGACTTACGGAGTTGAGCTATGGGGCTCCACTAAACCATCGAATTCCTCTCGTATCCAATCCTTACAATCCAAAATCCTTCGTAAAATCCTCAATGCGCCTACTTTGTTACAAATTAAACCATCTATAATGACCTTAATGTTTCTTATGTTTCAGATCTGGCCCAATCCAGATACCTATCCTTCCATAATAAACTTCAGAATCATCCAAACCCTCTCGTTTCTAACCTTGCTTCCTCTTCAATTCCTGATAACCGTCCGAGGCGTCTGAAAAGCCCCGTGATCTCCTACTGTAGACATATCATTAGAGTGCTACCATTGGATAGTTACTCAGCAAGTGTTTTCACGTCATTATATCCATATGTTCAAATTTACTAGATGTATTTCTTTAATACAGTTGTAAATATCATAAAGAAATACTAAAAAAAAAAAAGTGTTTTTCATTTATTATTTAATTTAGTTTCTATATATATGTTGTGGATAAAATTGTATCTCTTAGCAGTGTTTTTAATTTTGACAGCATGTAATAATACTCGATAAAGGAAAACAATACATACCTGAAAAAGCAATATCATGTATTGTCAATGTTCCCAGGAGAATAAAATACGGTGTCTTGTAAAAAGATAATTATTCGATTTGAAATTCGAATAAGAGCGTATTTTACAGGAATTTTCAAAAAGTAGTGTTTCCATTATTGTTACATGTTCAATTACCAGAGGAGGATATTCAAATATGCAAGTTACACATTCGACGTTTTAATACATCTGTAAATATTCCATTCATGAAGTAAAAATAACTTTTATAAATTTCCACTTCGCTACATCAATGATATGTAAATTTGAATACACGTGTGAAATACATGTCGTTTTTGAAATAAGTGATCTTGTTTCTCCAATGAAGGAATAGTTTATAATAACGAGTCTGAAAAAAGTTCATGTTACCAATTTTATCTAGGTTCAATTGAAAGTAGTTTTATATTGCTATTTTATACCTTGTCTGCTGATCGCAATACATTTTTACTAAATATAATCAAATCAAATCTAATTTTATAAACAATAATACGAATGTTTCAAACAACTTTTTCATTCATTAATTTAAGGATTTCACAAATATTTTATTAATTGTATAATAATTGAATTTTTCATTTTGAACAATAGTATAAGCTTGGTATTTTATGGAATTATTTTAAACTAGTAGGCCCGTGCGAAAAATTAGCAGAGCATATTGTTTTCAAATGCCAAATTAATAAGAAAAGAAAATAATACAACGTATCAAAAAAATAAAGAAATCAATTGTTACCTTATGGATAAATATAACCGACAAAGGAAACAAAAATTAATTAAAATATTCATTATTGTTTTTAAGCAACATGTTTACAAATTTCAATAAGCTTTGCTAAAAATTGTCCGATTTTGATGAATTTGTTTTCCTTTTGCAGAGAATATAATAATCTGTTATATAATCATGGGTATAACCAAGGGAAAAGTGTGTAATTTTTAGTTATTTGCAAATAAATTTGGTTTTCTTTCATAACTTGTTTGCTTGAATTGTCGGGGTGATTAGAGTATTTTGCCCGCCTGAAGGAGAAGAAAGCCTTATAAATTGGTGGCTCAATCTTGAGAATTTGTGAAGAATTAACGATGATATGGCTTGCCGATCAAAAACACCATCGATAAATAATATAAACTTCTCCTCTCTCGGTCATAGAGGACTCCTGTCGACGAAATTATATTCAATATATTATATTGTATTCAATTACATGTCTCTACAAGACAGTACTACAATTAACGTAAGGTTGTGTGAATGCGAACCTATGCCTTGCGTTATCTCGAAAATAGTGCGTTTTCGGGCTTAAAAACTCAGGATCCGACATTGATCCAGGCTTGCAGTACGCATCACAGGCAGATCTACGGGGGAGAGAGGGGGCTTTTGGGCTGAATCCCCCCCCCATAATGGTAAAATATAACCATGTTTTACAGAAAAAAATATTAAAAACTATTTCTTTAAGCATTCTTGTTCGTGGAATTACATTTAATAGGACTTCAAGAACCACTAAAACACCATTTCATATAGATAGTTAATTTCTTTCTTTTTTTTCCAATTAATTATCGTTATATGTATATGAAAAAAAATCTTTCGGGCTTAAGCCCTCCCCCCAAGATTAAATCCTGAATCCGCTAGTGGTACGCATCAAAATCTTCAAGGTCCAATTTGTCCCGTATCGATCTACACACCTACCACCGTTCCAGTATTGAAGCCTAGCCTAGAAAAACAAAAGTGGAGAATACGATTCGCTAACTCCCCGTGAAATTCTGAATCCAACCGTACCTTATTCATGGTATTTGAGCATGATAGGAGCTTATATTTCGTAAAAAAATGATTTCGAGCCTTACTGTAATAACATATGTGGGGATTAGAAAGAAGTTGAAATACTGGACATGATAAATTATAAAAAATAAATGTGGCCTTTCCTAAACAAGTAATTTCTGATATATTTATAATTTTATCATTACCTTTTAAGTTGATTTGTAATAATTAAATATCGATACTTCATTGAAATGTTTCACACACCAACTAAGTTTTAGTTACAGTTCCAGATCGCCGTCACCTCTCGAAAATTCAAAGGCTTCCTTTAACAGCGTTAGCTCCCTTGGAAAAAGCAATGCTACCTACACGGTTCCTGGTAAGTAACTTAAAATAAATATATATTTATATATTAGCTAACAGTGTTCTGTTATTTTTGGGTTGAATTATTCATTATAGGAAGTTGAGGCCAACTCTATTTGTATGGAAATATCCCCGAAAACAAATAAATAAATATAAAATAGATAATATCTTAAGACTGTTCAAATTTAAACTGCAATCTACTTCTGAATCGTTCCAGCCGGTTAAGTTCTAAACATCAATTAGAAAATAATCATTTAATGATTATTATCAATTTCAGTTTTATAAATGTGCAAAGGGAGCTTAGCTCGATATTATTTTTTCAAAGTATGGTTCACTGTTACCCTTTTCTTGCCTTGATTAGATCCATTATTTGTCCACCAATATTACTCATATTCACGAAATATAAATTACTTGAAAGAGCATTGAACTCGCACCAATCAGTTCCGCGATTCAGATTGGCCGGCGATAAGAGATATGGGAGTATCGCATGCCCTTGAGTTCATCGGCACAAAAACATGCAATAAAGGCGATCATGTGGCAAGCAACGTCTGTTGATTGTTTCCTTAGCACACAACTGGCTCAACAAGTGGCGGAACTATTTTCGTTATTAAACGGAAGACTCGTTGATAGTTTTCTATTAATAAAGAAAAAAAAAACACCACAAACCAAGTATTTTGTTGTTTATCTTCAAATTAGTACAATTCTGTTTTATATAATTCTTTTCACTTCAGGTTCTAAAATAATAACACTTCGGGGTCGAGTACCCAACGGAGACACGCCCAACTTGTGTAAATTGGGTACATGACCCAACAGTAATTGCGAACAACTTGAGCGTGAACATGGAAAGCATTATCACCAGATACTTTGTGTACTTCCAAATCATTTACTTTTTTGATGTTCCACTTTTTTAATTCACACAGTTGGTAAATGTCTTTATCCTAAATTTTTTTTCACTTAAAGTTTCTATTCACTCCATTTTTTTTTTCATCCCTTTCTCCTTATTTAGGCTGTAAGGGTTTTTTCTAGGACCAGGGTAGGAACGAGGGATTAATGCCAAAGTTAAAAGCCTCCCGGCAAAGAAACACGAACTCGGTATTATTTTATCATGTTATGTTCTATCTGTGTTGCCAGGCAACGCGCGGTGCTCTGCTACACGCACTAGCCCAATAGACTACTCCGTCCCTCGCGAATTTGTCATTATCTTATCATTATCTTCGGTTTATTGGGTTGCTGAGCAACGCGTGTTTGGCAAACGCTTTAGCCCGTTCCTTACCCTCGCCCATCTCCACTTACCTGACAAAATAAAGATAGCCAGTGAGTATGCTGTCAGAAAGTAGAATAATGTAAGACATTGATAGGCGTGGGGAAGAGGAGTACCCAGCGGCATCCTTGAATTTAGTGTTTATAGCTACGTGAGATCACTTATCCAGCTTCTATGAGGGTGTTAGTTATCGTAAAATCTTTTGTAGTGTGTCCGTATGAGGTCGTTTATTTAAGTAATTTTGGTGACTTACTATGGAGCTTTAGTTACAGTTCTGAAAGTTTTTGACTAAAATGTTTGTAATTTACGTGTGTGCATCTTTTAGTCTATGAAGCTTAAGTCCAAATAATCTTAAGTAGACAAATGTAGGTGTTGAGTTTCTGTTTTAGTTTCAATTTTGTACATCTTGAAAGAAACGGCTACTGTATCTTTCCAGACTTAATTTATTAAGCCATCTTACCTTCTTAATTTATTAACTCCTTGTTCCTCTGTTCATCCATTTAACTCGAGATCCCAATCCACAAACATATTGATTGTTTTCATAGAATATTTATAAAATACAGCCTAATAGAATATAGCCTAATATTTATAAATTTTTGTTTAAATAGGCTCACGAAGATCAATGAAAGTTACCCGCGGTGTGTGCACCCCCAGGGTTATGCAGGTCATTCCCACAGGGGGCATCATCAGGAAATCATCTGCCGGAAAGAGGATCATCTCTATCAGAGGTAATACACTGTTACTGTAACTGGGTAATACACTGGCTAATTGAGGTAATACAGTTTTAATTGTATCCATTTTTCGTACAAAATAGCCATATTTTGCATATATATTAATGCATTTAATTGAGACATCGCACGTTGATAAGAAAGCTAGTAACAAATTTCCGAAAAGCATTTTTTCATTGATACGAAAGTTTGATCCATGAGCAATAGCTGTTGTTTTACTGAAAATGTAAATTTTTAATTTTGTAAAAAAAAAAAAAAATAGGGATTTATTATTATGTCCAATATTTAATACACCTCCTGACTTTTTACGTTCCTTCTATAAAATTTCATTTTTATATTTATAAAAAATGAAATAACACGAGAGCAACAGCCGTATTCAAATTTAATTTTATTTGGGAAACAAATGAAAAATGATTTAATTGGTTCATTACTGCTAACTTGAAGATATAGAACTGCTGAATTTCTTTCTCGGTTTTTTTTTTTTTAAATTCAATTTATCAATATAGTGAAGATAGAAGAAAAAAAAATGATATCCAAAGGTATTTCTCGTACAAAAGCTGTATTATATGAACATTTTAACTCTTATGTTCGATTCGTAGAGGCTCTAAGAGGGAGGAGGGGGAATGCCGGGGTTGTTGGAAAAAACTTAAAAACACCGAAAAGATCTTTTCTAACTCAAAAGCATTTCACATACAAAATTTCAATAATATAACTCAATTTGGATGGGCTATAGAGTTCCGCAAAACCGTAAAAAAAAAATCGAAAAATCATGGTAGTGTAATTTTTCCCTACATCAATGATATGATGGATATGATCTGGGATATAAGGTTTTATTTTTTAACTTCTAAATTTAAAGTAAAATATGTTATAGATAGCATTACATATGTTATATAATAATTATGTAATATCTTTACATATCATTTTTGTTTCATACGTTTTAAAAAAGGATGTAGGATTTTAGCAGTAAATTTAATATAGAGCGGGCACTTTGGCCCTTTATTTATTTCTACGATTCTGGTTCTGTGGGCAGAACTGTGTTTACTACTGTATATTTGATAATTTCTTCTTTTAATCTGTCAATGGTGATGATCTAGGTTGAGGAGTTTGCAACTCACTTTATAAATTAAACGCATAAAATACCGATTTTAACCATTTTTATTAAAATATCTACAATCGTACTAAAACATTAATACATTGGTTTATTACAAAAGTCATTAAGCAGAATTTCATAAAATTAAATCACTGAGTACTTTGATCTCTGTGAAATCAAAATATTCTGCACTTATGTTAGGGTATTATTTTTATTATTTAGTGTTTATTATACAAAAAATTGTGTGTCCTATTTTGAATTAAATAACTTTAGTTTTCGCGTACGAAAATGCTTTAGTTTTCACGTCGTTAAATTCACAAAAACTTACTCAAAAGTTTAGCTCTATCAAAAATCCACTTAATGATTTTTGGTATTGAATCGACGATATATTTAGCAAGTTGTGAAACTCGGTGCTTCTCTCCCATGAATTATATATCATTTGTAATATCTGCAAAGTATCATTGTGCAAACTTTATTTATTCTAATTTGTGAGGTATTTTTATTCTTATTCTCTAATAGATTTATTTTTTAACACTTTATTATATCTATATTTTTTAATGTAGTTACTTTTTGTTTTTAGGTAATTTTGGAAATAACGGATCAAAGCGACTTCATCTACCTCAGGACACAGAGAACGTACTTCCAAAAAAAATTGAAGTTTCAGAATTTTTATCAGTTAATCAAGTTCTCTCTCAGCTGATCGACCTCAAACATGTACGAAACATATTTCGACTTGTTTTAAATGATTTAACGCTACTATAATATATATATATATATATATATATATATATATATATATATATATATAATATATATATATATATATATATATATATATATATATATATATATATATATATATATATATATATATATATATTAAATCAAAGACTATTTAGAGAGGGCAATGTAATATGTAAAAGATCTCCATTTTTATAAAGAGTGTTTTAATGATAATTATTGAAAACAAAATCAAATCTAAAATTTAAATAAAATGAATCGATATAGTTATTTATTAATTTATTATCAGTGAAATTATTATCTTGTTGGTATATAATAGGAATTGGTTTTCCGATAAGTTGTTGAATAATTACTTGATTGTTGAATAATTTAGTAAATTTAAATTCTTTAAAAATTTCTATTATCTTAGCAAGAAATATTATGTTGATGTTTTCTTTGTTTGTTTTCTTTCACCATCAGAATAATAGTTTGGTGAATTTCAATTATTCACAATTATTCATTAGGCTCCTGTTGCCATTTAATATAAAATATTACTTGTTATACTTCCTTGAATTAACATAATATTCAATAGAGTATTACATAATAACCATGAATCTCTTAATATTCTATTCACAGATTCATGAAATCCTTTTTCTTCGATTATAGACAGATATCTTGTATTAAATGGAAACAGGAGCCTTTAGAGTAATGATAAAAATTTTATTTCATTAAAAAAAATCTGATGATGTGAAAAACATTCACGTCACCATGAAAATTATTATTGATATAATAAACCCAAATTAAACTAAGTTCAATCACCGAAAGAGAGCAATAAGAAATTGAAATTTCCAATTAAATGAAAATTTGTTTATTTTTTTATTTCTAGGGTCTTCAAATGAAACAGAAGGAGTGGGAAATCACAAGAAGTCCAACGCCATTTTCTGAAGTGTCCTTTAAAACATAAAATATAACTAGTCATTGTTAAGGATGTGATCAAATTTGTATAACAAATGTTTTTTATAACTTATTCGTTAGTATAGAATAGCTTCCTTGTTGAATCATTTGTACTGTTGCTATTAATAAATAGTTTATAAAACAATTGCTTATTCTATGATCCTGAAGTTTTTATTTTTCATTTTAATATTAGAAAATAATGCTGTAAGGAAATAATCTCAACATCTATTTTATGTTTCCTATATAAGAAAAAAAAAAAGAGAGAAAAAGTATGAAATAAAATAAATATTGTTTGAAGAAATTTTGTTCCATAATGAGCGATATACTTCAACATCACAATATCAACTTTAAAAATATACGTATATTGATTTTATCCAAACTAGGTCACTCTTTATTCCCAAATTAAAGTTTTTCTTATTTAAATATGAATTTTAATCATAGCCTATATGAAACAACTGGCCTATCTGCCAAGTTTAAGAACTCGGTATAATCCCTTCGGAATATCCTCCTTCAGAAATATTGATCAAACAAAACGCAATTGCAGCCCATCCCTTTCTGCCAGTGGGAAGTACAGTCACACTTCCTCTGGACTCCAGACTTGGTAAGTCACAATCTGTGAGACGCATAACTTTCTAGAACTATATATATTATTTAAATTATGTATATACGTCGCAATGGTTGTTTATTGGTAGGAAAATTAGTTTGTTTATAGAAAAATATATTCTTTTTTGTGAAAGAGTAAACGTTTTGTTTCAATATGTTGTCTAGATGAATCATGTCTTACAAATAACAACACTCAATTTGTTCGCTTTAAAATCTAAATATTTTCTTAATGATGTAGAGATGGTTGACCGTTGATATAATATGAGAAGGAGTTAATTTGAGGGGTGCGGTCAAATAAATACTAAATTAAAATATAGTAATTATTTAATTTTTACCGACGTTTCGACCCACTTTGCAGGTCGTCTTCAGGGCTACAAAATATACAAAACATGTTGAAAATAAAAAATAAATATAAATAGATATAAAATAAGAATAAGTTGTCAGTTACAGAAATAAAAAGATGATATCAGAGATATAGTGGGTGACAATTTAGTTAAAATATTAAGTATTATATATGTAGAAGATATAAACAAATTGAAAATAAGTATGAATAAAAATAAAAATAAAGGAGAATATAGCATGTAAGTTAAAAGTAAACAGATTGCGATAAATAAATATTTTCTTCTTTCAATATTTTTATTTCTTGACATTTAATTGAAAAGGCTACTGATACTTACCACTGTACTAGTTATATTACTGTGCCATATCTATATACTACTTTTTTTAAAAATGTATATGTTGGAGGCTGGGGTGAGGGTTTCATTCATTGCCATTCTCACACTGAAACTCTCCTATACTTCAGGGTTATCTCCTCGTCAATATAAAATTTACCTGTTTGTTAATGATGATTTTAATTTGATTGAAAGCTTTTGATCGAGTCTGGCATCCGGGGCTACTTGACAAACTCCGTAAATTCGTACATCCTACATACTTCCGTTCCTACCTAACTGATAGATATTTTAAAGTGAATCACAATAACCCATATTCATTCTTTTCCCATTGCGCTGGTGTTCCTGAAGTTAGTACCCTAGGTCCTATCCTTTACATATTTTATATAACTGACATCCTAACACATATGTCCTTTCATTTAATAATGATTCAACAATTGTGTCACAAATCTTGAAGAATAGTGTTAAAACTGGAGGATTAATATAAATCCCATCAAATCACCTTCACCCTTCGACGTAAACCTATGACTTCCTGTCCTCCAGTTTCCTTTAATAATACCCCACTTATCCCTGTTGAACAAATCCGATACCTTTGACTCCACCTGGATAAACGTCTAACTTGGAATCCTCATACCAGACTGAAACGACAAGAAACCATTCAACGTTTCCGACTACTCCAGCACTTACTAAACTGACGCTCTAAACTTTTAATTCATTACAAAAGACTCTTATACTGGACTACAATAAGACTTATTTGGACTTACAGAGTTGAGATTTGTGGCTCCACAAAGCCATCGAATTCCTCATGCATCCAATCCATACAATCCAAAATCCATCGTAAAATGTTGTCACTAATAAAATCCATAACGACCTTAATGTTTCGTATGTCCCAATCCAGATAGCTATCCTTCCAAATAAACTTCAGAACCATCCGAACCCTCTCGTTTCTTACTTTGCTTCCTCTTCGATCCCTGACAACACTGCGAGGTGTCTGAAAAGAAGATGGTCTCGTGATGTCCTAATGTAGATATATTATTAGATTGCTACGGTAGGTAATTTCTTAACAAGTGTTTTCATGTCATTTTTTCTTTTTATCACATTTACTGAATGTATTTTTATTCTTAATACATTTGTTAATATCATAACCTCAGTCACAAACGTTTAATATAGAATAGAAGAATCACTACATCTTAGTTTTATGGAAGAATGACAATGGTTATATTTTAAAACAGTAATAGAAGAATCGTGTTAAAAAATATTTGTACTTTTTTATTGAAATTCGCAATTGTATAAAAATAAAAATATATATATAGTAAATATAAACATAAGAATAAAATGACATGAAAAGACTTGTTGAGAAACTACCCCCTTGTAGCACACTAATAATATATTGAAATGTCACCTTTTGGGGTGCCACTGGATAATTATTGATGATAATTACCCAGAATTATTAAAAAAATTATTAATAAAAAATTAATTTGGTCCATGATTAATGAATTGGATTTCTTTTCTCAAAGGCTGGTTTGTGTTTATCATGCTTTCTAATTACCAACATTACCTGTGATCATCATGATATACATAGCTGGCAGAATTAAAATAACTTTTACTATAAAACTTAATTTATTTCTATGTTTAATAAAGTATATATACAAATTATATTTACAAGAAACTAAATACGTGATTCAATGAATTTAATAAATGACTATGAATTCAGATAGACTATTTGAGAATTATTGCCATGAAATATTATTACATTAAGATTATAAATAACAACTTAGCTATTATGGTATGTGAAGTGGTGTAGTTATGGCATGTTTCATCGCTGCATCCGCTGATCCGAGATCATATCGTCAAGGCCAGGTCCAAAAACCTCTCCAAGACGCCCATCTCTGTGGTCTATGTCGGGTCAAGGCTTCAGTCCCCAAGCCGGAAGAAAACATAAGACCTATCCTCCAGGCCAGAAATCAACATAAGACCTCTTTTCTTACTTTTCGGCGTATTGTATAGAAATATTCAGGGTTCAGCAAGGATGGTTTCCATTGGTTCTTAACTTCACCCTATTACTTCACAATAAGTGGTAACACCCTAAAAGGGCCAGTTACTTAGCCCGTTACTAGTTTTTACTCTAAGCCTTCCCCATGGTCCAGGTACAGGTCGGTCCTTATCTACCTGATCCTCTCCCTTGATGCTGTTTTTGATTTCAGAAGTCGGTTTCATTCAACTTTGTCTTCCACACACAATAATAATTTTAAAAACTTATTTGCTATGTTACATACTTATTTGCGTTTTCAATACATAGCAATATATACATTAGGAAATCACGAAGCTATCATCTTTTCAGATACGTAATAAGAGGGTTATCAGGAAACGAAGAGAAAATAAAGTTAGAAATTGTTAGAGAATTGTTATTCTCGTACCTCTAATTGTTTCAGAATATAAGCCATCCGCAATGTCGCTGAAGTTGGATGATCTTATTGGGAAAAAAAAAGAAGCTGTGCAAGTCTTGGACCTGTCGAAGGCAACGGCCAATAATGCTGACGAGTTCAAAAGGGTCATGGAGAAGGTTCCGGACTTCAAAATAAAACCTGAAAAGGTAACACAAATTAATCCGTTGCGCAGGCCCATTTTTGTCGTAAATTGCTTCATCTCATCGTAACCTACATAATCTACGTACGTTTTCAATTTTGAGATCGGCAAACTTTTTCTATTTAATTTGTCACTAAAAATCACAGGCGGATCTAAGGGGGGGAAGGGGCTTTCGGGCTGACGTCCCTCCCCAACATGGTAAAATGTAACCATGTTTTACAGAAAAAAATATTAAAAACTATCTCTTAAAGTATTCTTAAGTAATTAATTAATATTCTAGGTAAATAATTTCTTTATTTTTTTCAAATAAATTATCGTTATATGTATATGAAAAAAAAATCTTTCGGGCTGAAGCCCTCCCCCAAAATTAAATCCTGGATCCGCTAGTGCCAAAAATTCATGAATAACCATTTGCTTTCCAATTGAAGATAATAAGATCAGAAAGTCGAAAAAAGGTTGCCTACAGAAATATTGATCCGTTTGGAATGACTTCCACTCCGAAAAAGTTAAAATAACGAGGTTATATATGTCGAACGCTCCAATATTTTTATAAGCCACTTATTTTTTTTTCGATTTTGTGATCATATTGTCTTACGATTCAAGTGGAATCAAATAGACAAAGTTTTCCCATCTCCAGTTTATTAACGCCCCTATTCTGAGAAATTTCGTTAATAAAATATTTGTAGGTTACGACGAGATGAAGCTATACGAAGTTTCAGGTGAATATTAACAACTTGATAAAAAATAGTTTGTACCACGGACTAGAAACAGTGAAAAATAATATCAACGTCAAGGTTCAGTGCCGTAAGTAACTGTTAAAATTCTAATTTAGCGGAAATTTCTAAATCATTTTCAATAAAACCATAAATATATTGAAACGTAGAGTAGTTAATAACCCTGTAGCATTGTACGCTCGGACAATTTGAGATTTCTAGGAATTTTTCAATATACCACTGTCCACAAAGAGAGATATTATTTTACAATATTTAAAGGAATTGACATTCAAGCTTATATGTATTGATGCAGATCAAACCAGAGGACGTTAAAATTCAAGATAAGCCGAAAAGGTGGCACAAGAAGTCGAAAAAATCATCTTACCAATTCGCGGATCCAATTCCGACTGAGATGAGGGCTCTGAACCTCGATGATCTCTGTTCTGTCCCGATTCAATGGAACATGCTAACAACGCTGAGGCCAAAGTCGAAAATCGATGAAGAGTATTTTTCCAGGTAATTGTCCAATTTATTATAACTTTAGTAAAATACAATAATATATGAGAAAACCGACACCATTTCTATTAAACAAGAGACTGAGAATGAATATTTCTATGATACAAGTATTAGTTAACTGTTTGTAATTTAGATTGCTTCTCGCATCTCGTTTTCACATAATAGCTTAAAAAACTGCAATAAAGTAATGAAATAGTTTAACATCAAGTAAGAATGAAGTAGTATGAATTCTTTCATGCCTAAGCAGGAGGGTTGGCGGTAGCCCGATAGGATAATCGATGGTATCGATAGATGCGACAAAGTCCAATCGATTGTCATGTGAATATCGTGTGTTAGTGTTTAATAGGAAGGACAAGGTGGTGAAAGGAAAATAGTCAATTTTATCCTTATTCCCTACGTACTAATATGCATTTAAAAAAATGCAATTTACTAATTTACATAGCATTTGTTTTTTTGTTGTTTTTTTTCAAATTCCTTCCTAAACACACTAAAAATCAGAGAGTATCAATTTCTGTTAAAAATTTTGTTTTCATAGTATTTAAATTTTTTTCAGTATATATGTTCTCTCTCTTCCTACCCTCCCACTCCCTTCCCCACCACACAGTCGCTATCCTATAATTCGCCTCATTGGGTGCATGGCGTTAAGAATTTTAATAAAATTCAATAATAAAATTCTTAGTCAAACTATGTCAGAATATCGCTTAGTAATACATTTTTTTTTTTTTTTACTAGAAAAAATTATAATTTTTTTACACTACGCACTTTTAAATAGAGTTTTTTTTTTCATGATTTAATTCCGACTGTATCCTGTCATCCTAAGGCTAGTAGAGCTGGGGAAATTAGAGTTGGCCGCACGGCAGAAGGAGAAGAAAATACCAGAAACCCAATTCCTCAGGAAAATGAAAAACAAAGCTGGTGTCACTGAAACGAGATTTCTTTCGTGCAACGAATGCGGCGAAGATTTCTGCCAGCGGGAAACCTGTCATTTAATGATGTACGACAACTTCAAAAGGTATTTCATTGCTGATTATGATGTTTTAAAAAGGATTTAAATTGGATATAGTAAAATAAAGTGAATAACGGCTTATAAAACCTCAAAAGGAGCATGTTGGTAAATTGTACCAATATTATTAACATCAATAAAATTGGCTTATATCAATTATTTTCGATTTGTATTGAAATTTGTCTAGTATTAATAGTTTTTCAAATGTTCCGTTCTTTCTTCGGAAAATTTATCAAACAAAGTATTGATAAAAACTATTATGGTTATGTAACAATTAAAAGGTGAGCGTGAATTGGATGAAATAGCCGTATCAACAAAATTGTAGGTTCAGTTTATAACCATCAAGGATATTGCTGAACTTTAGTTTATCTATCATTCCCAAACAACAGAAATCTCGAAGATACCTAAAATTTTGAAAATCGTGATATCGCGAAAACTGTGGCAAAAATCGCGGAAAAAAAAAGTAAAAAAGCTAATAATAATAATCATGAAAATGGCCAAAATCATGAAAATGACGGATATCTCGATAATTATGTAAATCTCGAAAATGAAAAATCGCGGAAATGGTAAAATGGAAAAATCACAAAAAAGGTAAAAATCTCGAAAATGCAAAAATGATTTTTAATATGTAAAAACTCATTATTTCTTTATGCTTTATTGGAATATTTTCTTATTTTATTGTCCTCTGATATTGTCCATAGTAGCAGACTACTTATATCAGTTACAGACTACAAAATGTCACCCTTAGCACAAATAGAATAAAAGTTGAAAATTTTTATATACGACTTTTTGCACGAATAGAAGTGATATATACCTAATAGGTGCGTTTTCAGTCCGTAAAAATCTCAAAAATGGAAAAATCGTAGAAATGGTAAAATCTCGAACATGTCAAAAATCTAGAAAAACGTGAGATCGCGAATCTGCTGAAATCACGATAAAGGTGAAAATCTTAAAGATTTAAGATTATGAAATGTCACGATGATTTTTTTCTTTTTCAAGAAATCAACGACTTATTAATTATTTAATTTGTGTTAGTTTAACACATGTATTTTGTATTGCCAAATATCTGGGTCCTGCGACATAAACCTATCTTTTGAAATAAATTATAAAACCCAACAGAAACACTATCCTCAACACAAAAGAAGATAATTTAAGATAATACCCTAAGTACGATTCTTATTTACTGTTCCTTTTCTGTTTCTAGGGAACCGATCTCAGAGACAATACACAAGAAGGAAGAAAACCAAAGAGGAAGGTCTAAATCAAGCTCGAAGAGAGGAAAGCGAAGAAGCAAGTCCCAAAGAGGCCGGTCAAGAGCAAGATCCAAGTCCAAAAGCAAGACCAGATCAAAAAGCAGGAACCGATCCACCAGCAGCCGCCAGCGATCCACCAGCAAGTCGAAAAGTATCAGCAAAGAATCCAGTTTCGATAACAGCGCACCGCCCAAGCGCAAAACCGGAAAGAAGAAGAAGGCAAAACAGAAAACTCAAACGAAAAACAAAGCCGTTAAAGATTCCAAGCCAATCAAGCCGAATCCTAAACCTACTAAAAAGTAAAACCTAAATAATCTCATACGAGAGTAGAAAATGGCTAATTCATTGTTAGTTTTTACTGTTTATATCATATTGGTTTTACAATCTTCTTGTCATTTATGAAATATCTTATCAAATATTACTCTTCAAATTTATTGGTTGTATTTTTTATTTTTACTTTATGAATTAGTCCAGAGGTGTAAAAAGAGTTTTGTTTTTAATTGCAGTATCTTAAAGCAAAGTTTAAATTAATATTTCGTATACTTGAAACAATGGGTCTTTTGTCTTACTTAGTACTTGTCCCCCTAACTGTGGAAGGGAAACCACGACGTTAATATTAACGTCGTTTGAGTACTGGCCGCTCTCTATAACGAATAGTGTGGCCCAAAATCGGTCTTACACTTTGCAAGACCAAGACTAAGACCGCCTCACTGTTGCAAGACCAAGACTAAGATTGGTAAAAAAATCTATTTTTTGTATAAAGATTTAGGCAAAATAGTTACTAATACTTGACAATTTTAGATACTATATGTAAAGAATTGGTATAACCAATATATTTTTGCATTTAACTCCTCTAATTTTTCATTCGGGCTTAGTTAGGTTTCCCCTATTTAAGAAAATACAGTAATATCTCTATAGTACTAAGCTAATAGGTAGCTGCAAGACCGTTACAAGACTCTTGCGCAAGACCAAGACTGAGTTTGCTAGACCAAGGCTCGTCTCGTTCTCGCATTTGGGCAACACTAATAACGAATGCGGAGGGGTTTCATGCAAATATATTGATAGATAAGTTTCTCCAAAACGGATCGACTCCTAAGCTTGAAACAAAAAAAAATGGGATAGATTCATACTGTTTCTTCGTAGTTTTTAAATGAATAGACCGGCAATAATTGGCTACTTTTGGGATTCCTGAGGAATCTCAGTGTGTTCAAAGTGATCTTGAAAACAGCTGCCGTAATAACTTGAAAACAGAAGTTCAGCACTTATAGTCAGTAAGTGAGCACTTTATTAAATATGAATTGTTTGGTTTAAACGCACCTACCAAGAACATAATGATGGTGTTGATCTTTTTTTATATCGAGAAAAAATTCATCGCGTCAAAAATGTATCGGAAAATTTTTGTTACCACTAAAACTGTATTTATTTTTTATTTTAAGACATTTGAATCTTCAGAATAGTGCAGCCAACAAATTTTTATTCAGTGATTAATTTCTATGAATATTTCTTGAAAATGGCCTTGATTTATTTATTGTTGAGTGTGTTATTGAGTAATTGTTGAAACACCAGATCCTTGGGCCACTTTCTTTTTAATCAACAATTTTTCCGAAGAATTTTTTATTGTGATTTTTGTTTATATGTTTATGTTGCTGAACCTCCAAGTTATTTAACGTTTCTCGAAATTGTTGGTCTCAGTATAATGTCGTAGACTGGTCCCTTGTTTCGTAACTCAAATGAGGGATCTTTAGTCTAGATGTGAGAGTTGATTACATTGTCTCGTAAGTTCTTGTCTTTAATTTCCTTTGTATGTTCTAAGTATGTGTTTTGTCTAAGTAGAGTCCCAGATACCATTTTTTGAAGTGAAAACTTCTCTAGGTGCGTTTTGCACTTTTTCATGGAGAGTGAATTCGATTGAGTCGTCATATCTCCGATGTGTAACGCTCGGGTTATATCGGCTAGAGTCGACTATTGTATTTTTTCATGTGGATTAAAATATTTTACTGAAATTTTTGCGTATTTTAAATATTAATTTAAGTGTAAGTCTTGTAATACATCCTAAATATTCGTTGTTGATTTGTTTTTCTTGTTTTGTTATTCCATATTTATATTCATACATATTTCTCATATAATAATATTTATTTATTTTTTATACATGAGGAAGGTTTTTTATAATACATTATAAATAAATGCAGATATATTTTGTATTTGATTATAAGCTTTTCTTATAGCCTCGCTCATCGGCCATTTAATACGTGATATTGGCAGTGATGGGAAAGGACCTCCGCATCCCTAGACACTTCTCCCTGTCGATGAAGAGGGAGTTAACCTTCATGTGCAGATCGGCTTCCAAGTTGGATCTGGTCATCAGGAGCTGCTGATGCTGGGCTTCGGCCTCCTGCAGCTTTCTGTGCAATTGTTCAACGGTCTCTTGCAAATCGGTCACCTCACGAACCAACCTAAACACAAAATCATTTTAAAAAGATGATAGGAAAAATTTAACTGTAGAACATGTACAAATATTAAACAACAATTTGTCCATAGATCGGACAAATCGTACATACATCCATTTGATATAACTTCTTTTGAAAATGTACGAAATGACTGACTAGCTTAGTTACTGATTCGCAGTCATAAAAAGTTTTTCTGGCATGGCATTCGTAAAATGCCAGATGGATGGAAAAATTGTGTTGATAGCAATAGACAATATTTCGAATAAAATAGTTGTATTCAATAAACCTGTATTTTCTTTGCGTTATCATATCTACACATATGATCATGTCATATATATACATATGACTGCATGTAAAATATAATTGTATGTATAACTATGGCTATTTAAATTCTAAATAATTAATTCTGGATTTGAACTTTCATTAAAAGGAAAACAAAACACATGTTACCTCGACTGGGCTTCATCTTTACACAATTCTATGTCTTTCCTGTGGGACCTAGCTTCCAAGCGGGTCTGGGCCACTTTCATTGGATGCGACTTGTCCATTATCGCCTTTCTCAGAAGTTCTATGCTCTTTTCAATGTCGAAAACTTCTTGCAGAACCTAAAATGCAGAGATGAGATATATTTTTCAAATTCGAACCTATATCTGCAATGAATAAATTACGATGTATATAGAAAGTACATAGGTAATTGTTAATACAAGTTATGGTAAACTATAATTATGTCACTGGAAGTCTTGGATAGTTTCGAAAAAAATACTTTATTCTGATACAAAGTCTCTCAAGAATAATAGAGTTGTACAGAAAAAAATAATAATTCTGGCCAAAAGATCTGTTACGTTATATAAATAAAAGATAAAAAAACTTTAAGTCAACTAACAATATATACTATACGAAAGAAATGAAAGTATATAAAATATTTAAACTATAAACAAAACAAATAAGAAATAATAAAAATAATCGCTTCTAAGAAAGAAAAAAAAAAACTAAACTCCTCGAATAAATGAGCACCTAGTCTCCAATAATTAAAATAATAAAACTTATGCAAATTAACAATATATGTACAATAAATATACAAAGCAACCGAAACTGTTTTTTATATTTTTTATTTTTTTTTTCCTACCCCCCAGGAATTTCTTGATTACAAATAAAATATATATATAAATGTTATATATAAATGTTATCCGAAACTGCGTACAAAATACTTAACATTAAATGCAAAACAAATGAGAAACTATATAAAATATCTTAATAGTACAAAAAAAAAAAAAGATAGGTAGGAAAACAAAATAAAATTAGACCTCTCTGAAGGATGAGTACTGATTCCCCAATAAATAAAATAAAATAGATCCGTTATTTAAATAACATTACATTCAAGAGACTGATAAAAAAAATGAACATGTATAATATGTATATATATCAAATACAAATCTAAAAAAAAAGAAGCGTTTTAGCATTCTTCTGACTGTTTAGTGTATAGGAGAATTTTAAATGCTGATAAGGAGAGGGGCATGCCGGATTTTTAAATGGAGTGAATTCCAAAAAGTGGCGTAGCGGGCAACAAAGGAGTTTTGTAGAAAGAGGTAGATCTGTGAAAAGCTGTTTAAAGGTCACATGATCGAGATCTTGTGGTGAGGGAGTAGACAAAGGTCTTAAATTGGAATAATTCGTAAGTATAGGAAATAGGATAGCTGTTTATACATAGCTAAAAGTTGGAAACCAAAAGAGACTATTTTTAAAGTAGTATGACTATCAGTAGTAACGGTACCTCAGTATACAAGTGATGTTATAGCAACGACTATACATACTAGCCTAAATGTATGTGCTACCGCTTTTCGTTATATGTTTTTCTGGTTTAAATAAAATGAGAGGACAACGACTTATAAATCTAGAAATAATCAATATTGTCGATTTGTTATAAATTATAATAGCAATTACTCCTAAGAAACAAAGCTCCAACTCACTCTGTGAAGATGCATCTGAGCTTTGTTCTTAGCCTCCAGTATCTCTGTCGCTCTCCTAGATAGCGCTGCATTAGTATCGTTCCAGTGGTTCCAGATTTCGTTATTTACCGCATTTATGAGGTTGTCAGCGTCCAATCGGATCTGAGCAGATCTAGCCCTCTCTGCCTGTGATCTGGTAACTACCCTATTCGAATGTTCTGACCAACTTTGAGGAGTACTCAGGCTGAGGAAATACAATTGAAATGTATCACATTAAAAAGTCTCTGAAACAGTATCCAGCAAAATTTAAATACAATAAACTTTGGCCATTTATTAATTCTCTTTAAGTAAATATAATAAATTATTACAGGCAACATTATCTTAACGAAAACCTAAAAATAAGATAATAAAATAAGAGCAAGTATCTAATTTACACTACAGAATGTTTTTGAAGTGATAAGTTCTTTAGACGTTCGTTCGGGTAAAGTCGTCTAATTTTTGCATGTAGATTAAAACATCGCAAAAATTAAAATTTGGACTTGCATAATGTAAGCTAGGGAAATTTTCAGCATTTCTTCCTCTTTGTAATGAGTTATAATTCAAAATTGTGTTTTTACATATCGAGTTAGAGAGTCGAAAAGGGGAATGAAAACGCACAAAAAACTAATAATAACGACTGTTTTGAACGCTTGAAATGAAATATCTCAACATTTAAATACTATGTAGAATACCGAAACCAATTTTCGGAAGTCAATATAGATATATTCTTTAATCAGCCATAAAAATAAGAAATTATGTGTTTCTATTCGATTTTCTGAAGCACTCGATAGTTTTGAAAAATTACCGACTACCGTTACAGAAGTTATATTACAAAAATGACAGTTTCTGTTAGATATTTAGCAAATAATATGGTGTATAAAAAAATGACCGCTTTATCAAATTTAAGATTTCAAAAGACTATAAATATTTTAATCCTATTTAATACTGACCAATACTTAATAAACCCTTTAGAGCATTTTCAAAGCTTGTTTAATCCCATTCGACTTTAAAAAAGAAATGCATTAGTTTAGTTATTTGTTTCAAAGAGGAAATATGACTGTGTCCTACGAAATTCTCGTAATTTTAAGGCATTACTAGAAAAAAAACCCCAAAAAAAAACAGCCGCTGAAGCAACTTGTGATATTATTAAATATGAAATTGTTCTTGACCAGCGAACTGTGCGGCATTAGTTTGAAGAAATTAGCAGTGGAGATACGACGTTGGAAAGGAAGAATGGATATTGATGAGGTTCTGCAGAAAGCTGTTGAGTCAAACCCGTCCACATGTACTCGCGAACTTGCCAGGGAATGTGGTGTGTCGAAAAATACTGTTAGACACCATCTACTCTCCATGAGGAAGGTGAAAAAGACCAGTAGACTGGTCCATCGCGAACATACTCCTCAGTAATCAGGTAAGAGGTTAGGAATTTGTGAATATTTATTGAAAAACACTTGCCTGAAAAAACTTCTGCTTCATCCACCATATATAGTCCAGAACTCGCACCATCGGATTACTACTTATTTTGATCCATGGCATATTTTCTTCAAGGGAAAAAAATTGATAATTTTGTGGAATTTTAAATCGCTCTCCAAGTGTTTTTTGAAGGCCATCCCAAAGAATAATATCAGCGTGGGATCGAGCAATTGGCTGACAGATGGATCATGACCGTAGATATTAATGGACTATACTTTGAGTATTAATTGTATTTTATATCAAAGAAATAATAATATAAATATTTGGTTAAAAACGGTATTTTTTTTATTCACCCTATTAGATCAAAGTTTTCACCACATATTTAATTATCAAAAACATATTGTCGTTTTTAGAATATGATACAAATGAAGATCATTCAGAACAAAGTTTACTAGATTAATTTATGCACAATTATAATTGTATATATTGTAAATGTTATTATTTTGTGAATAGACACCAAAAAAAAAATTAAATTTCATGTATTAATCTGGTTTTGATGTTTTCACTTCTCTCGTGTGGTATAAAGCACACAACGTAGTTTTTTAGATTTTTTTGTTTTTATTTGTGTGGGTAAATATTAAATACTATCTAAATGATCGCTTTAATATTTTATTGTATATTCACTCACGTATTGTCATATTTTTCTACGCCACCGTAGTAATTGATGCCTCTTGAAAAATTGTTGAGCTGATGGCAGACATTATCTATAGCGATGGCTGATTCCTTTGACTTTACGTCAGTTTCAAGCTCGTGTTGGCTTGCCCGGTTTGTTCTTATCTAAAAAAAATATTTATATAAGGAAAATTAAAAAATGGATTCTAGTACTTCATTTACTTATAGAAATAGTGAGGAGAGAGGAGAAGGCGATGGAAAGTGTTGTAGAGAGTTGGAGATTTTAAGGAAAAATGAAAGAAAAGCAATGAGAATGTGGCGTAAGAGGGACAAAATAAGAAAAAAAGGGGAAGGGTGGGGTGGAAATTAAATTGGAGTTGGATAGGGTTAAAAAAAGAAAAAAGGAGAAGAGAAAATAAGAGAAGGAGGGCGAAGGAAAGTGCTGCAAAGGTAGGTGGGAAAAATAATGGAAAAGCGTGGAATAGAAGGAATAAGAGGGGGGTGAAAGATAAAGAGAATGGGACAAAAAACAGAAAGTGCTGAAGAAAATGAATTAGGAAATGAAAAGAGAATGGAAGAACAAACGAAAGAGCTGTATAGGGGAGCAGGGAAAATAAAGAATAGAAGAGTTGAGAGTGTGATGGAAGAGGAAATGGGAAAGATGATGAAAAGTATGTGAAATAGAGGATTCATAGGATCAAGGAAAAAGAAAGAATAATTGGAAGACCGAAAGGAAAAATGGGGAATAGATGAAGTGAGAGTATGGTGGAAGAGGCTCTGGGAGGAGGAGGGACATTGAGGATAAAAAAGAAAAAGGTGGGGAAAAGATTTGAAATATGGTTTGGATAAGGTGAAGGAAAGAAAAAGGTTAAGATGAAGAGAGAAAGGGAAAGCGAGAAATAGATGGAGTGTGAGTGTGGTAGAAGAAGTTGAGTGGGGAAGTGAGGGAAAGAAATATTTATGAAATAAGGTTACCTGCTCAACCACTGTATTCTTCATGTCTGACAGTTTCTTTTGTACCATCTTTAAGTTATCTATTTCCCTCAACAAATACTGCTCTGGCTGATCGTGAACCAAATCGATTCCTTTAACATTTTATTTATTCACAATTATTCACATCACAATTAAAAGTTTATTAATTATCATTGAAGGAAGTTAGTCGTCTGTTCTACATATCGTTGGTGATAAATATTCAGGAAAGTGTTCCAGTACTGGTGTTCAAATGCTTGAACACCTTCAGTGCTGAAGGTCCAGTTCCTGATGATGACCCACATGTTTGGTTTGAAACGTCCGGGCTAATAAAAAAGTTTATAATGACTGCGTCATGAATATGTATTAATTATCATATATTAGGAGTTCATATTACCTATTATGTTCTTACAGAAAATTCTTGATAACAAGATAAAACCGACAGAGCTAGTTATTCATAAAAAAAAAGGAATAACCTACAATTTACAAAGGAATTAATGTGATTTTATTATTAGTGATTAATAGGCAGTGGCGGGTCGAGCAGCCCAGGTCCACTTTCTTATCATGTGATATGCCGAGTCCTTTTCATGTGTCATTTTCTCCTACTAAATTACATTTTTGGGAGGAGAAGAGAATCGGTTCGCCAAATCTCTAAAGCCACTGATCCTGAGTTTTTCCCGATGTAGGATTCAGCAAACGCTACGAACACAAATTAGATCGAAAAGCTATCAATAATATAGTTCAGATATACTTCCTTCATCGAAAAGATAAATGCGAGGTGTGGCTATTAAATAACAAGACTGGTGATAAAACATTTAACTATGATTTTATACACATTTACTTATTTTTACCTTCGATATACACTCATTCAAGGCGCCCTGCAAACCTTCCATTATCTCAAACAGTGCTGGAAGTATTCTTCTGTCAGTTACTTCACGACGCGTGACTCTTTCTCTTTCATATCATGAACGGACTCTAATCTTGTACTTTTTAATGCCGTTTGACGAATCGTCCAAGAGTCCAACTTCACCGAAAATTGTGGGTGGGTGGCCTAATGGGCTAACGCGTTGTGCACAGCACAACCGAAGGTCAAACTGTTAATCAACATTGTTACAATGCATTCGAGTTCTTGCTGAAAGAGAACTCTGCTTGTGTCATAAAGAAGCTGATAGAAGAAGACCTCCACGACTGTTAAAGACACTGAGATTCGCATGGAGCATTGTTGGAATAGAGGAGTGTATATTGAAGGTGATAATAAGTAAATATGTACGAAATCAAAATTAAATGTTTTACAACACCAGCCTAGTTATTTAATAGGTACACCTCGTAGGGATCTATAACTCAATGTTAAATTCTGAGCCTGATACACTGATAAATTTCCATTGGTCTAGCATTAATCCTCTTCTTCGACAGTAAGTGCAAAAAGTTAGATAAAACTAAGTCAGGTGGCTAGGAAATACCTTGACGATGCTCCCGGTGGTAAAGACATTCCTGTGCAATGTGGTAGGGAACCTCAGTGTCGTTATAGGCCTTGTCCAGGGCCCGCTTGGTGTCCTGGAGGAGGTTCAACTCGCCGATCATCTTCTCCAGTTCAGTGGACACTTCGTTCCTCCAATAGGTGGTATCTGTTATCCTCTCTCCGATCCTCCGGCCTGAATCCCTCTGATCGGCTGAAGTTTTGTCATCGGTCATTCTACGTGAATATGCGTTATTCAAAAATTAATAGATAATTTCCTGCACCACTTTTTAACTTTAAAAATAATTTTTAAAGATAATGGAATTATCATCATCTGATCAATAAACACTGTTAACATAAAGAATCTAATTTTGATTATCAAAGGCTTGTGCACACAGAGCGCGATATACTCCGGCGAAACGATATTGCTGTCCACAGCAGAGAAGGGCAAATGATCTATCCTGAGTACTGAGTACCAAGTATTTTACTCAAATACTTGCCTTTTTTTAGTACCAAAGAATTTAATTACTACTTCAGTTGATGCCAAACTTTTAACTGCAGTAGTAATTGAATTACCAATAGTGATTCAATTTGAATAAATACTTGGTACTTGTTACTCAGAGTAGCATTTGCCCATCTCTGGTCCGCAGCCAATAGGCAATATAGTTGTTAAATTCTATTCTACTACCACAGACAAACAGATCTCAATAATCCTTAGCGATACAGACAAAGGGATCGCTGAACACCGGGACAAATCACGTTCTGTGTTTACGAGCCTTAACGAAAAGTCATTGCATACACTTAAGAGACCTGCGATACATGAGAAAGTAGGCTCGATTTAATTAAATAGATTAAATTTTAAATAAGATTCAAATAAAATTTACCTCATTAGCCTAATAGCATCGGACCTCACCCTTTCTGCAATATTCCTGTTAGTATCCGATTCATTGTAATGGCTCAAAGCATTTTGGACCCATTCATAAGGTGTATATCTGAAATATTCAGTTATAAAATATTAATAATTATGATATATACGTGACTTAAAACTCATATCCAGTCCTCCCAACTATTCCCATAGGAATAAAATATTGTTCCAAGACATGAAAAAAGAAATATTTCTATAGTTAACACTTGTAATAGATAAAACAAGAGCACAATATTATATCTAGATCTTGGACTCGTACCTAGTGTATAGAGCTGCTCTTGCAGCATGGGTAGGATTCTTTTCGAATCCTGTAATAAGGTTGGGAAATTTCAAACCTTCGGTGATCATGCCGGTCGGAGTGCACACTGGCTCCATCAATTTGTTCGTCACTCCCAAAGCAGGTCTGTGGAAGAAAATAGTGACTTTATAATTTCATTAACACTTCCTATTGTGTGAAAATAACAAACAGTCAAATGTTAATTACAAGGGTGTAACTTGGATGTTCTCATAGCCCATAATCGGGCGCCATGGGTGTTGGCGAGGTGTCATGTAGGATTTGGTGATTCGCTCTGGAACGTTACCACCAGCTATGCTTTCCATACACGGTGGAGCTCCAGCTGCACTCCACGGCTGCAATTGCTGTCGTAAAAACATTTTTTGTTAAGAACTATAATAAAGATGTCATAACTCACACATAACTATTGATAGCAATATTAACTAAACTTATACATTAATTGTAAATCAACAAGCCAGAAAATTTATAAAATCTGTTATATAATAATATAGAAGGCATTTTATTCGAGATTTCATAAAGTTTATGAAGATCTCCTCCAAAATGTCCTCGATGTCACCACTATTCGAGATAGGCTAGTCCATATTAGAGCCTCAATGTTGTAGGATTGAATTGAGTATGAATTATAGATCGAGGTGATATTACAGAAGCAAAACAGTCTAGAATTCACAATGGTTCTCTTTAAATCAGTTTCTTATGTAAAATCCGTATACCAGAAATGGATAGGGTGTGGGTGATCGGGTGGATAGGTAGGGGAAAAAAAGTTTCTTATGTAAGTAACTTGGTGCCCCCCAAAGAAACATTTTTTCTCGGAAGTGAAAGACTTAAAGTGAAAGACTTTTTTAAATAATTTTTGAAATATATGTTATAGTTTCCAATTCACGGTATTATTGACAATTCACACACTAAGTACGTATTTATTGTTCTAACTTTCTCTTTATAAAAACTTCTTTCGTGTTCTACATATCATTGTAATGCAAATATTTTTATTCACCCATATATGTGATATGTTCCTCTTTTCTTCTTGTGTGGTAGTTCCGAAGTTTGAGATTCTCCGAAAAGCACATATAATCGAAAGTAATGAAGGAATTTTAGATCTCAGTTTCAGCTGAGTTTTCATGATATCCACGACTAATGCTTTTGTAAATATTTCACGATTTTGAGCATCTTATGTATTTTGCTGAGTGAACCGTTTCGATGATCCTCTTTTTTAAGGTCACTAACATTAAATACAAAGTGAATATTCACAATTATTGACATAAAATCTTCAGATTTATGGAAAAAAGAAAAATACTTCATTTAGTTCTATGATGACGAGGTACTGGTTTAATTGATTGTGATGCTTCACAGAAGATTTGGATAAAGTATATCCACTTAAGTAGGTGGATATGTTGAACAGAGGTTTGAGATGTGCAAAAGAGGCAACGTCCGAACCACAATCAATCAATGAGTAATACAGCCCGATACGGTTTTTCCTAGCGCGAAACTGCTCCCACATAGCGACTAACACCACTCGCATTAAACAAACACTTTTTTTAAAAAAGATAGGCTTGCATTAAATGGTTTACATATGTTTTGGAAGGGCAGTATTTCACACGATGGTGGAGTTTTAGTCTTAATCAATTAATCTCATTAAAATATTCTTCTTACTTCGATCATACAACAATGATTTACAGTAATTTTGTTTAAGTTTTTAATAATTTTAATTTAAGTTTGTCTGACGATGAAAAAAAAAAGAATATGAAACGTAATAAATAGAGTTGCCTTAATCGCCAAAACTTTTCTTCGAATACTTACTTCGCGCAGCTCTAAAAAACGTAAACGTGTCGAGACCTCCTCAATAAGCAATCGCCAAGGATCTCTGTCTAATGCGGCTACCATCCACTTGCGACTCGAAGGCTCCTTGCATCTCCTGCCACACAGTCAATCCAGCGAAGCCTTGCCCTACCTACCGTTCTTTTGCCATGATCTACCTCTAAAAGCAGTTTCCTCGAAGTCTGCTCATTATTCTTCCTGGCCATATGACCTGCCCACCTTAATCTGGCTCGTTTCACAATAGCTACGACTTTACCATATCAATAAATTGTATAACATGGGAATGTATGTATGCATATACAATATGCATATCGAGAGACTATATGGTTTGAATGTACGCTAAACTTCAGCTACTATAGATCTGGCATTAGTGGTAGAAGTTACCAGTACCACGTTGTATAGGGTGTTAGCACGTGTAATAAATATATCAAAATTTAAGAAATTGTGGTTCAATTAAAATATTTTTTAAGCAAAATTATTTTTTTAGCTGAAACCAAAATTCAGTCAGCTAGACGTATTAGACATAATGGATACATGCTGACGTTCAAGGTTCGGGCGTAACCTGACAGCCATTATTCATAGGAGCGACTAGTTTCAACATTTTTCCAAAAAACACCTAAAACTCATGATTGTGTGGAATTAGATCCAGATAACCCCGCAAGTTGAAGGCATTTGTATAGTGTTTTGAGACACTTTTCATTGAGACATGAAAAAAGAAGATTGGGCAGGTTTTAAAACTAATTGCCTCATAAATGATCAGATATTTACTTTGTAGAAAAAAATAGGTTAGATAATTCATTAGGACAAATTTTTTAATCATTGTTATAGTGGGATGGAGTTTGATTCCTTTATCACATTATCACAAATAATTGACAGTAACTTGTCGAAGTTAATTACGCCACGGTAAAATAATTCTGCATATTACTTATCTAATTTATAGATACGATTAAATGAAATTGAAAATATTAATTATATTAAGAAATGGCAATAATTAATTTATCTTCACAAATCTTAAAACTGAATATTGGACACTAAGAATAGTTAGTTAGTGAGAAACATAAATATCATAAAATGTTTTTCTAATACATGAATGTTTGAGTTTTTATTTTTACATACCGTATACATAACAGTTTTAGTTCCCATGTTGTTCGTTCAATTAAACCAAGAGATATACTATATATAATGCCGAAAATTAATTTAAATATCAAATATTATCTTCAATTTTGTTTTCTATACTACTTCACTAAAAGTAGTTTCTAGTTTCAAACATCTGATCGAGTTTTAATCGATACAGTTTACAGTCCTACAACGAGATAACCACCAAGAAGGGAACAGCAGTTTATTTTTCTTTGAATCAATTGACTAAAAAGTGTAATCAGAACATAACTTAAAATTTTTCTAATTATGAGTGAGACTATGGACCGACCCGAAGATGCTCCTGAACGTATGTTTTTTTCAAAATCTTATTTTTGTATTTTCGATTATAATCTAATTCTTAAATTATGCTTAGACTGTCCTGGAACTCAAAGTGATTCAGCAGGAAAGTCTTCTGCCTGTGCAGGGTGTCCTAATCAATCTATTTGTGCCTCTGGTGTGGCCAGAGGTCCTGATGTTGGTAATTAATTATTTGTTTTAATTTTATTCACCATTCTATGCTTCCTAATTTAAATCTTACCCAGCTAATTTTGTTGTTCTTACAGGTGCTGAAATGGTCAAAGCTAAAATGTCGTTTGTTAAACACAAGATTTTTATACTCTCAGGAAAAGGAGGTGTTGGCAAAAGTACTGTCACTTCACTGTTAGGTAGAGCTTTGGCAGCCAGATTCCCAGAGAAAAATGTAAGTCGGACCCAACTGACAAACTGAGCCTTGTGTGTGTTCCAGGCCTATGGAGGGTCTCGTCAACTTGGTAACAGTCTCCATCTGACACAGTATAGTTATATTGATCTGTGTAAATCTGTGACTTACCCTTATGACCCCATTTCAACCAAGATTCTTACCCAATTCCTTAAATGAATGATAGACTTGTTTAACAATGTTTGTCTTTCAAAAAAAGGTAACTAACAATTAAAAGGCGCAAGAATGATGTCAGTTATTTAATTCTTCGTTTTGATTTAATATTTTGGCCTGCAAAATTTCATTAGCAGTAATATCACCAACATTTTTGCAAAAAGTCCCCAGACTAATTCATTTTCTAATGTTGCCCAGAAATTAAAAGTATTTAATAATTCTAGTAGAGATATACGTGTAAATATTTCCCTGCTGATAAGTAAAAAATAATTAAATTAAGTCTGAACAAATATTCCTGATTATACTTTTATCATTGCAACAACAATATAATAAACCATCTATCAATCATTTAATTGACTTAAAGACTTGATTGATTATTTTTAATATAGAATATATGCCATAATATACCTCCTTTTCTATAATATACTTGGATACTTAATTATTAATAGGTAGCTTCCAATAATTGGATATAATAAATAGATTTTAATACTTACAATATAAAATAATGGATTCAGCTTTTATAGCTCATTAATTAATAATTTTTTCTTCTTTTTTCCTGGGAAGCTGTATAATATTCTTTAATTTCGGCAATAAAAACTTCCAGATTTACAAACAATTGGTTTATTTGTTCATGTGCATGTTAAATTGATGATTCGGGAAAATTATTCCCATCTTTAAAATTCAAAATCCCATACCTTCATAGCGATTTATGGGCTAGTAAAGAAGTATTTAAATGAATGTATGTTACATTACATGTTAAAGTTGTGTTGTTACAGAAATGTTATAATTACCTAAAGTCTGATGTGCTCCTTTGTCATGATTTGTTATAAATTTATATTATAAATATAATAAAAAATTATATTATCTCCAGATATATTATCAACATTCTTAGGACTAATAATTGGGTCTCTGCTATGGGGGCACTATTGACCTTTGGATATGACTATTTATTGTTTTACTATTATAATTCAATGACTGTTTGTTATATAGTTGTATTCCAGTTTTACTATATTTTAATTTTATTTTAGATATCTGCGTAGTGTGTTCCCAAATGTTTGGTGTCTGTTTTGTAATTTACTGTCCTATTGTTTTGGTTTATTATTTTCAATAATGAACCATTGTGATCAAACAAAAAATTCAAAAACTTAACCCCCCTCAAAATTTGAGATTTTATGTTTCAGGATAAATAGAATTCGAAAAACGAATAAAAATTTTTAGTCCATCTGCCCCTCCGCGCATCTTCTCCGAAACTACTGGACCGATTTTTTTCAAATTTGGATTGAAAATTAGAGGTCATCCGAGGATTATCCTCCCACATCGGCATTACCATCTTCCTTTTTCTTTCAAGCTGGTGGCCGAAAAACATGTGTTGCTATAGACTGTAGCGCCTAAACGAATGTACCGATTTCAATGAAACCTGGTTGAAGTAATATCGATGCACTTTAGATTTATCTATATAACATACTTCAACGAAAAGAAGCTGGGAAAAAAGTTACGGTGTGGTTGACAATTTTGACAGTTTAATTTGTAAATTATATTTTTCTTATCTAATGAGTCTATTCTGTCTTTTATATTGGTAATGTATCTGCCCAGTTTTTTATTATTGTATTGTCCAAGTTTGATTTCTGGTATGTCATAATTTTTAAACACATCCTTAATTTTGTTTTTTTTTGTGAAAGGTTGTCTTGATTTTTCTATTACATTACCCAATTTTTTGAAAAAACAAATTTAACGCAGAATTCTTGACATGGGCATAATTTTGGACGAAGAACAGTTACTTATCAAACATTTGGGAACACACTATGCAGATATCTTAAATAAAATTTAAAAAAAAAAGTAAAACTGAAATACAGCTTTATTACAAACAGTGATTGAATAACAATAGTAAAACAATAAATAATCATATCCAAAGGTCAATAATATCCCCCATAGCAGACACCCAATTATTAGTTCTAGGAATGTTGATGCTCCAGATAACATAATTTTTTATTATATTTATAACATTCCTATCTTACTGATAGGCACTTCAAAGTAAATCACAATAATACCTATTCATCCCTCTTTTCTCAATCTGCCGGAGTTCCTCAAGGTAGTATCCTTGGTCCTATCCTTTACACAGTTTATACAGCTGACATCCCAACCCATCCTAACACTGTTATTACCACGTATGCCGATGATACATGTGTCCTATCCGTTAATAATGACCCAACCATTGCATCCCAAACTCTTCAATCACACATCACAAGCCTTGAAGAATGGTGTCAAAACTGGAGGATTAAAATAAATTCTAATAAATCCCATCAAATCACCTTTACCCTTCGACGTAAACCTATGACCTCCTGTCCCACAGTATCCTTTAATAATACACCACTTATCCCTGTTGAACAAATCCGATACCTTGGACTTCATTTGGACAAACGTCTAACTTGGAATCCTCATACCAGACTGAAACGACAAGAAACCGCTCGACGTTTCCGACTACTCCAACACTTACTAGACAAACGCTCTAAACTTCCCCTTAATTACAAATGACTCATATACTTGACTATAATAAGACCTATTTGGACTTACGGAGTTGAGCTATGGGGCTCTACTAAACCATCGAATTCCTCTCGCATCCAATCCTTACAATCCAAAATCCTTCGTAAAATCCTCAATGCTCCTTACTTTGTCACTAATAAAATAATCCATAAAGACCTCAATGTTCCATATGTTTCCGATTTGGCCAAATCCAGATACCTATCCTTCCATATTAAACTTCATAACCATCTGAATCCTCTTGTTTCTAACCTTGCTTCCTCTTCGATTCCTGTTAACCCTCCGAGGCGTCTGAAAAGAAGATGGCCTCGTGATCTTCTCATGTAGACAAATTATTAGAGTGCTACCAGTGGGTAGTTTCTCAACAAGCGTGTTTCATGTAATAATATTTCTCTGTACAAATTTACTTGATGTATTCATACTAATACAGTTGTAAATATCATAATAAAAGTTAAAAAAAAAAAAATATTTATAACAAATCATAACAAAGGAGCACATCATATTTTAGGTAATTATAACATTTTTGTAATAACTTTAACATACATTCATTTAATTACCTCTCTTCTAGCCATAAATCGCTAAGAAAGTATGGGATTTTGAGTTTTGTAGATGGGAATAATTTTCCCGTAACGTCAACTTAACATCAACAAATAAACCAATTGTTTGTGGATCTGGAAGTTTTTATTGCCGAAATTAGAGAATAATAATAATGTGTACTGATTGCTTTTTATATTCACATTCTATTAAAGATAACCCCTTTATTTATTGAACATTTTGGCAAAATAATAAACATATAAATAGTTTATTTACTTAAACCTTTCCATGTAGCTATTTTGTAATTTAACAAGTTTTCTGGTCAGATGTTATTCTTTTTTTTTCTTTAATATTCTGTTATTCTTAAGAGACTTCGTCCCAGAATAAAGTTATTTTCTATTCTATATCTCAACATAGATTTTTAGCCAAAACTTAAAATATGTTGATTACTTAAGCTTATATCTTTCAGTTATAATTTTTTTTTTTAATGTATCATGTGTAAGATAGTTTAAGGATGTTTGTAAAATTCTAGTTATACAATTATTCTAAGTAAATAAGCTAAAAATTTCACATAATTTCTGTTTTACAAGACTAAAATATTTGTATTAATTAAAATTCCAGAAATCTTCGGCCTAGCTAATTATAGGTATGTGAAGTAAAAGTAATTAGATATTTCTAAATTAATATCATCTTTCTACAATTGTAAGTTAGTTTTAAGAAAAAAGAAAAAAAAAATCAATACCATGAAAGATTTTCAAATTATAATTTACCCAGAAGAAATATGTTATTGCAGATTGGAATTGTTGATATAGACATATGTGGGCCTTCAATGCCGAGAATAATGGGTCTTCTCAATGAACAGGTATGAGACCTGTATTTCTTAATTATATCTAGGAAATTATATAATGCTATTAAATAATTTAAAAATGTTTTTGCAGGTTCATCAGAGCGGTTCAGGATGGTGTCCTGTGGTATTTACTTTAAAATTATTAGAAATATAGGAAAACAAATTAATTGACGCTTTGTTTTAAAGGCATTATTTTGAATTTTGAAAATAAATAGATTCTGTTTTTCACTAGTATGTTGAAGAAAATTTGGCTGTGATGTCGATTGGATTTCTTTTATCTTCACCTGACGACTCAGTGATTTGGAGAGGACCGAAAAAAAACAGTAAGAAAAATTGATTATATTTTGATTACAGCTGTTAGGCTTTTTGCTGTAAATCATCAATTACTGACGGGTAGTTTATATTTAATATTATGCTATGTGATTAATTTTACACTCTTTTTTTTTTTAATTAATTATATACTCCTTTAGAAGAAAAAGCATTAGGGGTTCGTTCTCAAATAACTTTTCAATTTGCAGTCCCGTGCCTTTACTGGCTTTAATTTCTTTAGGCAAAGCTACTTAATATTCTCTTAACTTGTAACACCAATTAATGAAACAATAATAGTGTCTATATTTATATATTCGGTTAGTATCTGAGTTTGTTATTACGGTAACTATCCCAACTCTTAGTTGGCAATTTTCTGAATTACATTATGTATGAGCAGGATGTCCAGAAGCCATGAATTCTTTACAGATTGGAAATTATGTTTGATTTTTTTGCAACAGGAATTATGCTTGAAAAACAACCAGTCGTCAGGAATTGTTTTTTTAATCTCTACAAGTGTTCAAAATATGATATAATTTCCTTTTCCATGTCGTAATACCAAGAAAGCTAGAAAAAACATATTTTTATCTGAAGGAAGGTTTAAAGGCTACAAATTATCGTACCACTTGTCGAAAACAAAAATCTTTTAAGTAAAATGGAGCATGTAATAGTTTAAATTGTAAATACAATCGTTATTTTTCTGTTGGCATTACAGACCATGTAGATCTTTTGCTGCCTTAACAAGCCTGCTCCATCGCTGCCTGTCTTGGACTATTTCTTTCCATTTATATGCACGCAGCTCTGTTCCCTCTTTGTTAAGTCTATCTATCCATCTGCTTTTTGGCCTTCCATGTGGTCTTTTACCTTCTGTTGAGGCATTCATTGTAACGTAGAGGCTTCCAGATGGATTGCTACGAGCTTCATGGGCCATCTTGACCTCCGTGCCTTCATATCATGGGATATTGATTCACCAGTTTCTGTAAGCAGTTCTTTATTGGCCTTTCTTCTCCATGTGTTAGTACTCTGATCCCAGATCTCTCTGGTTATTGTGGAGGATTTTTCTCTCAAATCTTTCAACCCTTTTTTCTAGGGTGCTGGTTAGCATCCAGGTCTCACAACCATATATTAGAACTGACTTTATCGTAGCATTGTACACCCCTAGTTTGAGATTTTTCGGGATTTCAATACCTTTGAGAGAGAGAGAGAGAAGAAAGCTCTGTTTGGGCTAGTTATACGCTGGTCTATTTCTGCCCATTGGTCATTCATTGAGGTTATTGTGGAGCCAAGACATTTGAATTTTTCTACTCTCAGGAATGATTTTCCTTCTACGCAGATCCTGTTATTGGAGTGGAATTTTCGGCTTATTATCATATATTTTGTTTTGTCTTCATTTACTTGTAGACCAATCTGTTCTGCCTCTCTTATCAGTGTTGTAGCGAGTTTCTTAATGTCTTTTTGATTACTTCCAAGGATAGCTATATCATCTGTGTATCCAAGGATTTTATGATTCATTCCGACGTGGACCCCTCCATTTTTCTGTGATGTTGCTCTTATTACCTTCTCCAGGGCTAAGTTGAACATCGGTGATAGTCTATATCTCTGCAAATAGTATCCATTAACAAATCATTTTGAAATCCATCATTAAATCAAAAGTGTAATCTGAGAGAAATAATTTTTAAAGTGAACCAGACTTACAAACGATAGTTAAATTTTTTTGTCAGCGCTATATAAAATAAGTAATTTTTATTCTTCAATGTCACCTGTAATTATGTTTTGCTCCTATTTGATTTTCAATAGAGTCAAACCTAGTGAAGAACCAAATCCTCATTTTTGTAGTTATAGCCTTTCCCTTGACATCAGAAGGTTGAAAACCGGATTCACAAATTTTGATTTGTCAGCAATTTCTTGATGAAAACTAATTCTAATTTAAAACCTATTTAATATGCTGAAAGAGTGAGAAAGTTAATAAATCTTAAATTAAAAATTAATGTTTTATATCTCGATAAAAGTGTTGATCTTATAATACAATGTTGAACACTTGCAATGCACTATTTGTAATTACAACTTTTTAAATATTAATCTTCCTTTATATAAATATCTGTTGTAAAAGTTTAATTTTATATTGCAGATATGATACGTCAGTTTTTGTCTGAAACTGACTGGGGAGAAGATGGTCTGGATTTTATGTTATTAGATGCTCCTCCTGGGACTTCTGATGAGCACTTAGCATCAACCGGCTATCTCAAGCCTACGGGTAACACAAGTGCTATAATTGTTACTACTCCTCCAGAGTTGGCTCTTCTTGATGTCCGTAAGGAAATAGATTTTTGTCGGAAAGTAGGCTTAAATATTTTAGGGGTCGTTGAGAATATGTCTCCATTTGTGTGCCCTAAATGTCATGTTAGTAATATTTATTTGCCATAATATGTTTTTTTTAATTATACAACTTAATTAATCGATTATATTTATATTTTCCTTTCAGGTAGCATCTGATATATTTCCAAAAAACACTGGCGGTGGAGAAAAAATGTGTAAAGAAATGGAAGTTCCATATCTTGGTCGTCTTCCTTTAGATCCAATGCTTGGTAAAGCTTGTGATGAAGGTGTCAGCATCATAGATAAATTGCCTGCAATAAACCCAATTGTAGAGAGTAAGTTCTGTTCATCAATCAGTTTATTCTGACTTTGTCCTGATGTGTAGACTCCATCTAAGATTAGTTTGTGGGTGGGTAGAAAGGGAGAGAGATGCGCAATGGCAAAACATTTTCCTGCCAATTCTCCAATCTTTTGTCTTCTTTACTCATTTGTACGTACTTCTAAAAAATTTTTTATAAGTTGAAATTTCTTTTACATTTCTTTTATCAATTTTCGTTTATTATGTTGAGTAAACTGAGTAGAGAGAAAACTATATACTCTCAAACAGAAAACGTAATTTCGAACGTTTATAAATTCATGATAACAGAGGCTGGGAATATTTTTTTTTTCTTAATTTGATTATTTAACCATCCTTGTCATTATTTTAAAATTAAAATCCCTACCGTTAATAAACATTTATGCAAAATTTAAAGAAAATGGATTAACGCTTTCCCGCTATAAGGTGGTTGCTATGGTGAAGAGGGCAAGTGCAGCTGGAGAGAGGTCTTGCGGAGGTGGAACAACTTAAGTGGGGAAAAGCTGTGCGAGCTTCCTTCCTCTACACGCAAACTTATCTTAAGATGCACTATACCTTACTGCCTGTCTAAAGGGAATCACTATCTCTACCTATTTTATTAATTTCTTTGTCCCTAATTGAAAGTAATATTAAAGTAGTATTTTAAAATCAAATTAATTTGTGTTTACAGAAATAATGTCAAACCTCTACATATTTTTTTTTCTTGTGGTTTTATAGACCTTGTAGAGCTTTGGCAGTCTAAACTACTCTTCTCTATCTCTGTCTATCTTGGTCTATTGCTTTTCAGTTTGTGGGTACAACTGTGCAACATTTTTGTTGATATTATCAATTCATCAGTTTTGGACTTACACTTACGCCAACTGTTGTGTTCTTTATAGAGACTTATTTTTTGCTTAAACTTATGTGTCCCATGCATAATACCTTCTGATCTATATATCATGAGATATACGACTAACCAGTTTCGATAATGAGTTCTTTATTTGTATTTCTCATCCATTCATTAATACTTTAAATCACCCCATTTGTTGTGAAGAGGAATTTCCTCTGAAATCTTTCAATTGTTCTTTCTAGGTTAATGATTAGAGTCCTGATCTCACAGCCATAGATTAATGCTGGTTTTATCTTAGAAGTGTATCCCATTAATTATTTATTAAATCTATTTAGGATCTTAAACTAAAAAGAAATAAAGAAATATCTGGCGTGTCCATTTACAAAAAAAGATGCAACAAAATTGATCCACCTGTTTGAGAGATAATCTTGGCACATACCTGCAGACTAATGGCCAAAAAGGCATCTTATTTAATCTTTAGAGGTTCAAACTTAAAACCAATCTCACTCCAAATTTATTTATGTTAAATACAGTATTAATTGATTAATCTATTGAGAAAATCAAAGCTAACACAATGTTTTTTTCTAGATATCATTCTGCAGTTGGAATCAGCCTAAATCACATCAAGTACATCTATAAAGAATTACACACATGATTCAAAAGTTAATTTTATACAGATTTTATATTCCGTTGCTGTAAATACTTTCAATAAATTACATATTTTAATTTTTTATGCTAACATTTAATTGCAATGTCCTATTCTATGAACACTAAAAATAAATTAAGTATTGTAAAGATTCTATAAGACATTAATGGACAGGTTATCTGTTTGACTTCTATTGAAAAATATGACAAGTTAGTCAAAGATCTATTGTTTTATTTATCTCAAGTAAATTTGGCCTACATAAGTCCACAGCTATGATCTGCCTTAAGCTTTATAATAATTAATATCTCTGACAATTCCAATTTAAAGGATAAGTTTGCAGCCTTGACCACTGTCTTTCCGTAACACTAATTATTTTCACTCAATAACAATTACCCAACCGCAAGCCATTGATCTCCTCCACAATCCTACAATATAGACCTACTCTGGTCTAAGCTCCTCTTCCAATATTCTGAGTCAAGAGAACATCCTCCACATCCTGTAACCAATGAAATCTATTCCTACTTCCTCCTTCTTTAAAATAGTCAGGACTTATATGTCAAATTTTTAAGATGTCTTCCTCTAATGTACCATTAATTTGCGATATTTGAAATAATTAACTGTCTATCATTGTTTATAATAATAACAATGGCTCATGACTTATGACAGAATTTGATAATTAACCCTTTAATGATGGTAACTGATATATGAGGTTGAGAGAATCTGAAAAAAGACCATTTTTAAAAAAGCTCCTAGCCTATCTTTCTTTAATAGACAAGAATATTCAACCTTTAGGATAAACATATTAGCCAGTTATAAAATAGTCTATTGAAAATCATGTTTATATTAATTTTCTGAATTGAAATATCATGGACAAATAAAATATTGGTAATTTGTTTGAACACTTCCCATATACAAATTATCCATGTACTGTTGTTGGCATATAGAACATTTTTTGTTATTTAATGTCTCATGTTCATATATAAATTTTAACATCTATATTCTAACTATGCCAAAAAATATTTTCAAATTTCAAATTAGTAGCTACAGTTTACAATAATAAAATTTTAAAACTTCGATTTGAAATAATATTTACATGTATAGTAAATCTTCAGAAATGAAATTATGGATGAATGAAATGTAATATGTCTAGTTGCTTTTATTTCAATTTCTACAATTTTTTTTAAATCAATTTTTAATCTGATAAATTTGATTACATTCCTGTTGGCTTATATAATTGATCTTACAAAATTGGAAAATAAAATCCTATAATAATTAAAAGATGAAACAATAAAGGATTCTATAACTTACAAGTAGGTATTCAAAAAATATTTCCCTTACTTAGGGATAAATTATATTTCTTTTTTTGAGAAAAATAAATTTAATTTAGATCTAAACTGACCATTAACTGACATAGTTAACCAAACGAAGAAAACTTTGCAGCAGTTCAAAGAATAAAATCAAAGGATATTAATGTAACTGAATTAAATAATATCAAACAGTTTAAAAATAATATTTTATAAACATAAATGGTTACAATATTAGACTTATTCTAATATTCAGGTGTTACAATATTAAACTTATTCTAATATTCACAAATTTCTCAAAAAGATAGGATTAAAAATGTACATACATTTATATCATAAATGTATAAAAAAATAATAATTTTTAGTTTACAACTTAAATATGTATTGTTTCATTAGTTTCAAAATTGTTAGGCATCTCTTCAGTCCGTCGCTTTTTAACAGGAACTGGAACTATATCCTCGTTCTTTCTCTTTCTTGATTCTTCTTCCTCTTCCTCGATTATCATTAGCTCATCATCATCATCTATAATGTTAACTTCGTCAGTATCATCACCTGAAACATCATATTGTATATTAATTACTTATTTTCTGGAACTGAAATTAAATTTAAAATAAAATCATTGATATATGTTTTTGTAGAAACCAACAAATTTCAATTTACAATTTAACTTCCTAAATGAAACTATATAATTTACGATTGTATTATTCTACACAGTTATTTTATTTTTCCTAAAATAACAGACTTCTGGACAATATCCTAGGTCAGTTGTGGTGGGGGAAAGGCAATGATGGTGCATTCCATATCAGTTTCATAATTTAGAATAAGGTTATAAGGGCCTCCGAGGTGTCCAATAAATGTATATTCTATAGCCCTGGAGCCAGGGCCCAAAAATCGACGTGATCGCAGGCGAAGGTTTGATTGTGAATTACGAAAGTGTATGTTATTCTGAGTAAAAAAAAACCTTGTCTGCCGTTCCAGATCCGCTGCTTTCAAAAATGGCGGCTGATTTAAAGAATATTAGGCCAGTGATTTGAGGATCGAAACGGGAAATCCATTGTGAAAAATGTGAGAAAAGTTTTTATTTTTTTAACTTGCATATATGGGTTTAGACATGTAAAAAACAAAATTGCTAACGCGGGCTACCAAGGGAAAACTTTTTACAGCTAAAAAAGTCAGATTTTTTCGATATTTTTTGGGTTTTTCACCTATAACTTCTAAACAATGCATCAAAGCGAAAAATCTATTCTTTAATAAATTAAAGAACGTTAAATTTTGCGTCATACGAGTACATAAACTTTAAAATTTGGTTACGCGATAAGGTATAAAACCACGGTCAACCAACGCTGAACTTTACCAAATTTGTCAAAAACTGAGACAAATTACTATAAATGGCCCTGTAACTTAAAATGAGTTTCCTAAGAGGAAAAATCCATAGAATCAAAGTTGTAGAGCATTAAATTTTGCGTCCAGTGAGTGCTGACATTATTATTGTAGGCCAATTATATATCTCGAATCAGGATTCGTTAGTCCTTTATAAAATTCGGAATCTTTCGGCACATCGTTTACCAAAATCTTTCGCTATTGAGAGGTGGAAAAGAGCTTATACTGCATGTAACAGACTTTAAACAAAACCAACTCAGTAGAAAAGACACCCATACTGTTGAAATATTGAAAATCACATTTACCTTCATTACCAATTTCCAATCATCGAGAGATTACCGATTTTTTACGCAGCCAGTGACCTACATTAAATTTGTTGGTACTCAGTATACGCAAAATTTGATGCTCTACAACTTAGACTCTATGGGTTTTTCCTCTTATGAAACTCATTTCCAAGTTACAGGACCATTTATAGTAATTTGTCTCCGTTTTTGACAAATTTGGTAAAGTTCCGCGTTGGTTGACCGTGGTTTTATACCTTATCGCGTAACCAAATTTTAAACTTTATGTACTCGTTTGATGCAAAATTTAACGTTCTTAAATTTGTTAAAGAATGCATTTTTCGCTTTGATGCATTGTTTAGAAGTTATAGGTGAAAAACCTAAAAAATATCGAAAAAATCTGACTTTTTTGGCTGTAAAAAGTTTTCCCTTGGTATCCCGTGTTAGCAATTTTGTTTTTTACAAGTCTAAACCCATATATGCAAGTTAAAAAAATAAAAACTTTTCTCACATTTTTCGCAATGGATTTCCCGTTTCGATTCTTTAAATCAGCCGCCATTTTTGAAAGCAGCGGCTCTGAACGGCAGACAAGATTTTTTTTACTCAGAATAACATACACTTACGTAATTCACAATCAAACCTTCGCCTGCGATCAGGTCGATTTTTGGGCCCTGGCTCCAGGGCTATTAGGCTTAGGATGGCTAAGCAGGCTTTGGTTGGTTGGTGTTTTGCCCAGAGCAATCTATGAACCAAAGTTTACGACTTCAAATCTAGCGCTGGTGGGCTTTTAACTCTGGCATTAATCCCCAGCCCTTACCCTTGGCTCTGAACCCTGTATAGCCTAAAAAGGTGATGAAGAAGAAAAAAATATATGTATACTTCATTTCCCCTACTTTTCCATTAGGATCAAAAGAGCTAATGAGCGCTGCATAGGGTGGTTTACTAAGCAGAACAATGATACAGAAGTGTGTCAAGTGAATTTCAGTCAATATTTCAACATGTCTAAGCAGCTTTTACTATTATAAAGTTATCTGCATCTATTTAGCCCCTCCACCGAATTGAGTTAAATGATTGAAAATTTGTAGTGAAATAACTTGATGACAGCAAAGCAACTTTAAGAAATTTCTAATTTTTTCTCCCAGCCCAGTCATTTCATTTTTCAGATTGTTTCAATAAAGTCTCAATTTGTTATTTGATAAATTATATTGGAATGAAATAATAAAATGTCCAATAATAAAAAAAGAGAAAGAAAGAGAGAAAATCAATTGATTTTTACATTTTATTTTATTTTCTCGGGCAAAAGTTAATGAAAAAAAATTATATCACTTTTCATTGGTTTTTTAAACAAAAACAAGAAGAAAATACAAACTTAGTGATGGAGAATTACCATTCTTCTCTGGGTGATCATCAGATTTGACTTCTTCTTTTTGAGGTTTTAATTCACTAGGATCGCCCGCCATAAAAAATGGAGGGTCCTCTCTTCCCAACTCTCTGTAAAAGTAACAAAGGCAGATATTTAGCAACAAGTAAAACATCAACTTATGGGATATCATTTATTCACATCTAATGATTTTTTTTTCTAATTAACAGTTTTAATAATAAACTTAATACAGTAAAACATCAACTCACTTCTCAGATAACCATTTAGGAGATGTTCAGGCAATAAACATAGCTGTAAGCTATACCTATGAATATTATATTTTAAGACAAAATATACATATATATATATACACACCAAATAGATACATGGGTGATTCTCAAAAGAAATTCAATCGTAGTGTACCTCAAGTATTATTCTAATTGGACATGTTCTATGAATATATATTTTTTTTAATTTCATTTTTCTCATCACTGTCTACAACCTACATTAAAGAATTTTTTTTTTCAATAAACATTTTTTGTAGTCTTAAACGTTCTCAATTATCATTACCACCACCTGTAACGAAATTTCACTTAAAAACTCTTATCTGAGAACTTTGAATACGTTATTTTTATGGAAAAAGCTTATAAAACTTAAAAGACCATGATATGTCCTATTCAGGAATGAATTCATATAATTTTTTAATTTAACTGGTAAAATGAATAACTAATGTGAAGGTATGTTACTAAAATAATCTCACTACTGTGGGTTTATTGATAATCAGGAAACCGTTTTTCAACAGTTATTGTTCAACTTTCATCGCTACTTGAGTGCATGTATTTATTATAGCAGTATAGTATATTTATTTATATTTATAGTAATCGTTCTTTTGCAATTTTATTTAATTTTTTTTTTTTTTGTAATGTCACATTTTGTTTTCAAATAAAGTTGTTAGTAACTGTGGTTTCTTTTTTGAATATCTGCCGAACCAATTTGCGTTGGCAAGCTCACAAACTTCAAATTCTGATTACCGCATATCAATCTCTTTCATCATTGTTGATGGTAATGAAGAAACATTGGAGGTGATGAAAAAATGTAAAATGAGATATTTTACTATACATATTTTTAAACATCTTTTATTAAGATATGACTGAGGGGCTCCACCTTCCAAATCTAAATTGTATATGTTGGAGTAAATGAGACCATGTTACAAAAAGGAACTTTTTCAGCAAACAAATTTGAAGTTTTTATTTCTGAGAATATCTAATGACAATTTTTACTGGTTTTTAATCAAATATGCTGGGTATAATATTATTCCTTTTTTTATATATTAAAAATAAAATAAAATCGGAGTGAAAAAATTATTTGTGCTTAATCTTAAATTATATATAATTCTTTATGATCCTAGAAAGCCACATTTGGGAGAACTTCAACAATGAAAATTAAGATTTTTTTGAGAATCATCCATATACCGCTGCAGGAGTAAACAATCCTTTAACAGTGGGGTCTGATATATGTATATTAAAAAATTAATGGCCGATGGTCACTGAGTAAATTGCCGATTGGATGATAATTACTTAAACAAATAAAAAATACTTTAATTGAAAAGAAGGATGGTAGGGGTGATCAGTCAAATTGAAATGGTAAAAAATAAATATTAATTTTATTTATTTTTACATTCGCCGACGTTTCAGCCCAAAGTTCAGGCCTTCATCAGGGCTGGGAAACAGTCATCAACCATCCTTCTCTTCAATTATTCATTACAGTCAACCATAAATCCACAATTAAAAAATACTTTATATTAATTAATACCTGTGGGCCATGATGATCTTTAATTGGTAATTTTGAACAAAGTCATCAGCGAGTAAAATAGTACCATCAGATATTCCTAATTCCTGAAATTAACAGTTACTGATATCAGTACTAAAAGATTTTTTATATATATATAAATAATTGATATAATACACAGTCAGCCTCTTAATATACATAGTTAAAAGTTAAGCATTATAAACTTGAAATAATTAAATTTACAGTACCTTTAGAGTTTTATCATTGTTATGGTCGGTTTCACCTTCTTCACTAGAAATAATAACACAACCTGTGGAATCTCTTTGAACATCAGGTTCAATCATATTTAATTTTTCTTTCAAAACTAGAGATTCGAAATCCTTTAACTTCATTTTCATTAAATCTGTAGCTATAGTAACCTAAAAAATATATATATTAATTTGAATCATGCAACGAAAATCACTGTGGAAATTCCCGTGATTTAATCATCCCATCTTAGAACAGAACAACTAGGTAACCATAAGTTTTACTGAATAGGAGTAATTGCAGAGAAAGGTTACATTAAGTGATGCACACAAACATATTGCAACTCGGTAGCTGAAGTAGATCCAATCCATATCTGCTAATTACAATTTTCAAAAATAAATGAATTAATCATCATGAAAAAACTTCATTCTAAAACTGGCCAAGTTCACCTGTCTAGTTACTCAATATCTCAGGATGGAAAATTTTAATTAGAAACCATTTAGAAACGGTTGTAAAATTATAGATACTCAAGTCATCACTCTATTTCAAAATCATGGGGAAAAAACTGTGTGCTGTTTTAACACAGCACTAATTAAAACAGACTAACTAATCTAATATAATTCTGAAAGAAAATATTCATATCGATTACAAATGATAATCTAATTTAATAGAATCATAAGCAACTGTATACTATTTCAAACCTGGGCTAAAAAAGTTGTGTTAAAACCTATTCCAATTAAATAGAAGACACATTAATGTAATATTAATCTAATCAATACCTGTGGTTTTTCGGAGCAAACACAGCATTTAGGATTGGGTTGCTCTAAACATTTCTCTCTTACAATTAAAATATTTCTAGGGTTCGGCGCTTTCCTCAAATAAACTGACTCACACTGATCCAGTTTTCCACGAAGAACATTAATGGCATTCAAAACGACAAGACCAGCAACAACGGCATTACTTGTAGCAATCGCTGGTATGATATTTCCAGCCATTGCTGAAACATTTAAAAAAAACATTAGCATAGAATCTAAAATTAAACAGAAAAACCAATCTAAATGTAAAAATTAAGAAAATAAAGAAATGTTAGATTATAATTAAAAGGCTAACTGTTTCTTTGCTGTTGTTTTGGATTAAAGCAAAAAGCTGCTGATGGAACTAATTCTTTAATCAACAGAAATTTACCATGTTCAATTTACTGAAATTAATGACAGGAAGTTTTTCAGATAATTTACAAATAAAAATTTTAAGGATTACTAACTATTAATGAATTGATGATTCAAATAAATAGTACTTAAAGACTATGTTTCAAGGGGAAGACTTTAGCCAAGTTTCATTAAAATCGTTGCAGCCGTATTGGTGCTAAAGTCTAAAGTAAATCAAGTTTTTCAGCTTCCATTTCAAAAGGAAAGGACGGATGATAATGAAACGTATGCAAAAATATACCTAAATCTGATTGCGACGTATCAAAATTTCAAAGAAATTGGTGAACTTTTAGAGATTAGTTGTTTTGAACAAACTACTGTTTATATTTTTATTTACATACACTACTTCATATTTTTATTTACATACACTACTTCATATTTTTATTTATTGATAACACTAAAGCTCGTCAATAGCCATTAAACAAAAAAAGAAGGAAGAATGATGGTTGAATGATAGAGAAGAAAAAGGGACTGAACCGTTTTGTGTTTGCCTATTTATGTAATGATAATAATTTTAAAATTAAAAAATATAAAACTGTTGGATAAATATAAATGGGGATTAATCATCAAATAAGAAAATTTTACTTATTGATATAAACAGCAGAAAAATTATGATAAAAATTAATGAACAATTGAATTACGACAGAAAATAAAGAAATAAAATAAAATAAATAAAATAATTATAAACAAATGAGTCAGGGGTTAAAATACATCATGTAAACATTATTCAAACTTACATTTAATATCAAATCTTGATTTGACAGGAATACCAAAAATGTGAGCTCGAATATTAGCAGCAGATGCCACAAAATCCATTGAGGATTTGTCATCTTTATCCCAATCCAATCCATTATTGTTTTCCTTAAAAAAAAAAAACAATAAATAATATTAATAATCAATTTCTTAAATAATTTTATAGATATATGTACATGCATATTCTGAAGAGGAGTTGGTTGGGATCTACAGTCATAAGTGTGTATGTATATATATATATATATATTGGTTTTGCAGGTGTTTATTAAAAATTGATTATTTGTAAAATTGGGTTTAATATTATGATTTTAGATATGTGAAATTTATAAAAATAGAGAGGAAGAAGGTTCTAGATAGTTCGTGTCGGTCACCCGGTTTTGAGCAATGAGAATAAAGTGAATGGTCAAGAACAACTGGCACACTAGGTAGTAAACTAAGTGTCTGTGTTGACATATTTATTATAGAAATAGAATAGAAAATAAACATTATTCTGGGATGATGTCCCCTTTGAATAACAATAAAGAACAGTTACAAAAGAAAAATACATATCTGGCCAAAAACTAACTTATCAAAGATTCAAACAATATATACAACTTAAATAATAGTATGTAAATTACTAAAAAACAAAATAAAATCTTCTCAATTATATTTATGATTTTACTAGAAAAAATAACAAAAAGAATTACATGTACAGAAAAAAAAAGCAAAACCTCCAGAAAAGAAAAAATATCAAAAATACGTAAATAAAAAAAACTGACTTATATTAAAACCCAAACAGCTAAAGCATACAAAACATATACATATATTAAAGATATATTAATGACAGAAGATGAGCAACGGGATCACAATTATTTGATAAAGGAATGTGCCAAGGAAGTTTGTATCCTGAAGGAGGGAAAGAGCCACCCTAACTGGGCATAGTAGTGAGAAACACGGGAACGTCTCGGGGTTCCTTCGACAAATCTTACAAAGCTATTCATAATTCTTTTTAGTCTGTCCCCGAGTTCCATCGAGAGCCGTACACCACACAGCCGTAGTCAAGGTGGAGGAAGATGAGGGAGGATACTAGGAGTCTACGTGTGGGTATAGGAAGGAGATGGCGGAAGCGATGGAATAGTTTAAAGGTACAAATTGACCGTCAAGAAATGTGGGCAATATGGTGATTCCAGGAGAGGGTTTGGTCAATGAAAATGCCTAGGTTTTCAACTGAGAAGCTGAGGGTGATGGGATGGTTATTTAGATACAGAATAGAAATGTTGGTATTGGATTTGAGGAGGGGTTTTGAACCAATGACAATGGCTTGCGTTTTATCTGTGTTTAATCTTAATCCATTGATGTATGCCCAGGCACTGATACGATTTAGATCTTCTTGGATTTAGGCAAATGCATCATACAACTCTGAGGGAGGGAAGGTAAGGTAAATTTGGGAATCATCGGCATAGAGGTGATGGGAACAGTGGAGGATTGATTTATGGAGGTCATTGATATAGAAACTAAAAAGAAGAGGAGATATGCTAGAGGTCTGGGCCACTCCTGAGGATAGAGTAAGATAGGAAGACAAGGGTTGATTAGGGATGGTGACAGCTTGGAATACAAGGACAGTTAGTTTTTTCTCATCTATAGCGGACTGAATATCAAATTTGAATTATGGCGGATTGTGTGGAGTAACCTGGCCGAAAACAAGGTTGGAAAGGGTCGAGTTGATTGGAATGTTCAAGGTTGGGATTGCACTATTCTTTCAAGGGGTTCTGAAAGGTTGCAAAGGATTGACATTGGACGGAAATCTTTGGGAGAAGAATGGTTAGGATTTTTATTTAATGGACGAACGGTGGCTTTCTTAATTATATATGATGATGATGATTATATTATATGTGATTAGATGTAACAATACTTTAGTTGAATACAAGGTCTCCTAAAAGAATGGTATTTTAATTCAAATAATAAATTAAATTGTAAATTATTAATAGCAATAATCAATAAATTCTTAAATTTAGTTGTTCTTAATCTAAAATACCTGAAATTCATAAGAATATTAACATAAATTCCTAAATCCTCCTTAATATAATAAAAATATTATTAATTGAAATAATAAAATTATGGGTGTCAGAAACTTAAAATATTAAAGTAAGAACTAATTAAGGAATAATTACCTCCAACGCCTTCTTGAGACCAGATAAACTTTCTTGAAACATTTTAACACATTCAGATAAATTCCATATTTTCTGATCTTTTAACATGTTTTGGTTATCAGGTTGTAGGACATTATCAACTAGATTAATAATAAAGAAAAAATTAAATAATTTATACTCAAATATTTAAAATTAAAAAAAGTATATATCATACTGGAAAAACCAAAAGTTCTGTTATCTATTTTTTTTTTCACAGGCAAAATATCAATTTCAAATAGAATACTTGCATGAATTTGAATTTTTTTATTCATCAGTGAATGTTAGGTTAGGCTATAAAAATAAAAAGTCTAGAGTGTTTCTTATTTAAAATTTTGGAAATAAGTTGAGCTACATAAATGTATTAATATTTAAATTAGGAGGGAAGATTTTGATGCCTACTCCATCACAAAATGCTAGCACCAAACTCAATTCTAAAGTTTGTCAACTTGGTAAAGCGTTTTCATATTCATTCAAGATTTCAATCTAAAAAATATCTTCCGTATTTTTTTTTCCACTCTGTCATCGCAGGGTAAAGATATTTAGCTTTCGATATTTATTTTAACTTTTATAAATAAAAACCTATCATAAAAAAATAGAAACAGCACACCACGAGTGTATGTCACACTAGGGTCTATCTATGAACAATTTTTATGAATTCTATAAAAAAAAAATTCCATGCAAGTATCTCATTTTAAAAATTTATTTAATAAAAAACGAAATAAAGCCATCATATCATTTAATAGATTTTGTTTTTAACTTAAAATTATAAAGAAAAAAAGTTTAACATTAATAAAATAACTGAACTTAAACCGTCCTCTTTACAAATGTAAAACAAATATTGGTACTTGCAAAAAAACATAAACAAAAAAAAATTAATTTAAGGAAGCTATTTAACTAAATCAAGACTGAATTCACAGGCCATAACGGGGAAATCAGAAATAAGAATTATTTGAAGTAAGAAAATAAAATAAAAAATAACTAAATGTTTAAAATTAAAAAAATAAATATTGATAAATACAAAAAATCAATAATAATTGATTTAAACTTCTAGTTCTGTTCAGTACTCACCGGTTTCAAGAGCTTCATTCCATTTCAGTGGTGTAGGTGGTCTTCTATCTTCCCATAACCCTTTTAATGTAAGCAAATACTGAATATCATCTTCAAATAATTTCACAAAAAGCTGTTGAGGGTCGTACCCAACCGTTTTTGCCCACTCTCTAGTAGACAATCTTCGGACATCAGGATTTGGATCACCACCTGATTCGGCATCAGTAGGATCAGGTGAAACATCGAAGTCTTCTTCCCTAGGGTCATGTTCTCCAAACAGTTGACTGCAAATTCAATTGAAATTTGAAACATAGGAACGATAATAAATATTTCAAATAAACAATAAAGACTATGTACCAGAATAACTTCTTAATTAAGACTAATGATAAAATACTTCGTATACAGTCAGCTTAATTTAGATGGTCAAATCACTTTGATCCAAAATAATTACAGTACAGCAAATAATTTATCAATGACTAAGAAGTGACTTCTAATATCAACAAAGTGGCTACTTTACACCAGGGACAAAACACTTTTTTGAAATACAGTTAAAACTAATAACAGTTGTCAAAGTTTTTGTGTATTACTCATATTCCAAGGAGGCTCTTGATGTCAGACCAGGATCATTTACACACAGTTATCAATAGTTGATAATACAAATTTTATTGTCATCTAACCACTTCAAATAACAATTTTTAGATTTATATTTCCTCTTAGTCATAAAAAAAGTTATTATAAAGAAATTTGTTTACTCATCAGATACTAGATGATCTGACATTCTATTTTTTAACACATATGGGCCTCACCCCTTGGCATGCAGCTTAAGTACAAATGATGCCAAACGATGAAATATGGATTTTGGTATGTACGAAGTATCACTCTTAATCCATTATTAAACTACATTCAAACAATATACACTAGTCACAAAATATGTCGTATAGCTCTTGCTCTATTATAGAAAAGATTGCAATTCAATAAGAGAATATGTCATACTTACTTAAAAAGATGTTTGGCCCAAATTATGCAATGTATTAAAAGTGATGGGGTATTACGTATTGTGCATCCTGGAAAAGTTTTGGGATTTGCTTTTGGATCACACTCGTAACATTTTGTAAGTTTCTTGACAATTAATTCTACTTGGCCTGAATAACCAGAAGTTCCACTTTCAATCAGAGGAACTCCAGCAGCCAAGCAAAGCCTATTAACATGATTTCTTGCAACTCTATTGTCTAAAGCATTCATAACAACGTTGAATTTCTGTATGAATCCAACTCCAAAGTCTGGGCTGAAAAAAATAACAACATAAAGTAAACAAAATAAATCAGTTTCAAATAATATGCAATAAGCAATAAAATTAAAGATAATATATTCAACACCATTATACAGCAGATAAATAAATGAACAAATCTATCACAAATGCATTACATAAAAAGAAAATTCAGTAAAATAACAAAATGTGGTACTACTATAAAATGTCATTCCACATTCATTGATGGCACAAGATCTCATGATCACACCATAAATGGAATCCCAAGAATAGCCGAGTGTTTTCTAAAGTAGGGGGAAGTGACTGAACCATCTAGTGTTGCATGACCTCCTCTGAAAAGAACCCATTGCAACTATGTTTATCCATTTAGAGCAGGTGTAGGAAAAAGGAGTCAAAATCAGTGATATAATTAAAGCTAATTAATGTCTTGATTTTATCTGAAAAAGAGTTTGTGCAAATCTTAATTGTTATCTAAATTAAAGTAGGCAATAGTGTGAGAAGGTCAATCCTCAGTTTTTTGCCGAATCCCATTTATACTATGAACAAACGTACCTCTCACCCTACTTAACAAGGAGGAGTGATATATGTATAATGGTACCAAAAGTACTAAAAGGAAAATTATGACTATTAATCAGATACCCTGACAAAACATATGCATTTTGTTATTACATACCAACTATCAAGTCATGACAAAATGAGTGACAGCTTTTTATATAGTTATTGGTAAGTATATAGCAGACAATTGTACAAAGATCACAAATCACACTGTTCACAGAATGCTAAGACTAGCCAAGTGTGTCCGAAAGTATATTACTGATCTCCAAACCTCTTATTGCTGAATGACTACATGGACAGGCATCCCAGAACGTTTGGGTTATATTATACTGTGAATATTGAAGCAAACAAAATGTTATGTATCCAAATGAGGACTCAAGAATCCTTGTACTTTTGCTGCTTAAACTTTGAATAACAATAATAATGAAGCTTGTTAATTTATTAAACTAATAGTCACCAAATCAAGTAAATGCATAATAAACCAATATAATAATACACCAATGTTAAAGATTTCACAGCCATAAAAAGCTAAATCCGTGAATACCATACATTATTATTGACTTATGTGAAATAGTCAATCAACTAGTAACTATGTATATGTCAAACATAGGTTTCCAGGATGTTTTAAGGTTTAGACGTGCAACAAGTTATAGAAGAATCCAATTCAGGTAGGTATTGAGAGAACCTTTCAGAAAAAAATAGTAGATTAAGCAGAAATCATCAATATCAAACTCAAATGTGAAACAAACTTACCTTGTAACACTTGCATGGTGTGCAATTATTTTTGCATTGGGATTGAATTGGAGAACACTTTGTTTTGCAACTTCAGCTTTAGATTTGCCAACATGTTTCTTTTGGAAAAGGAACTGCCTGTTAAGATTACTTACATCTATTGTATCCAAATCAATCTAAAATAAACAAAATGTGAAATGAACTCATGCTTGATTACAAGTCTGATAACTTAAGTTTTGTTTACTAATCAACTTACAACTTCGATATCTTCAAATCCAGTCAGTACAAGATTTTTTAGTAACTCGCATCCTATTCCACCAGCACCAACTACTAGTACTTTTGAACTATTAACAACTTGCTTCAATTCAGAATTAAAAATTAAGGGACTAGTGTTAGTCATGTTGTTGTTTACTTTAAAAATAACCTCCGTATCCTTAGAAGCCATTTTGCCGGTATCAAACAGTCACTAATGTGTTTGTACTTCTTTGAACTATTTGACGATTTATTATGAGCAACTAAACAATTTACAAAAGTCGTTTCTCGTAATTGAAAAATCAAAATAATAAAACCTATTACTTAAATGTTCATCATAATTATAAGGAAAATAGTTGATAGGTAGTGAATATATCATAAAGATATATATAAAAAATAAATTTTTTTTTGCGTGTTCTAATTCTAACTCAAAACAAACTGAATAAAATAAATAAATCAGTGGTCAGTTTCCAAAATTTACCTTTAATAAATTCAGCTAAAGACTTTAAAAAGATAATTGAAATCATAAAATTTAATCAAGAGTAGTGTTTGTTAGAAGATTGAGAATTAGCCAATGAGTTTAGGTAATATTCAAATTATCGTAGATATAAATAACAAGAATTAGAAAATGTTATTAAAATCTAGTTTAAAATTTAGATTTTATATATAAAAAATTGCTCAAGTGGCTAATTGCACAGATGGCAAGATCAAGCAGCGCTCAAGCAAGACGTTATCTGTTCTCTCTAATGGCAGCAAAACGAACAGGAAGCCTAAATCTCTCTTCATTATTCTTCCCTATGTACCGCGAATAATATGAAGTTCAGCGATCTTCCTAGGCCTTGTCATTTCGTGCATTAGTCGGTAGTAGAGCAGTAACAGTCCAAACTACAATTAGTGGCATTGAAGGGCTGACAATGTATACGAATCTGAGATTGCATTCGACTGTACGGAATGTATAGAAGAATGCACTCACACACGAACCATGGACTATCGTTCAACGGCGTCGTAAGAACCGTTTTGAACGGCAGATGGCACTTCTAGAAACTTCCGTTAGCACGTCGAAACTATGCCGTTGTTTTATAGCGCTGGACCCTTGTCGAAATCCTTAATAGTGCTAAAGTAGATCAGATTTGAATTGGCATATCTGATTAGTTGTGGTACGTGGTGGGGTGCCGACACATCATATTCACACATAAAAAATAATTGCCCCAAAGACCAACTAATATCTCTCTCCACCATCGTATGCACGTATCTCAAATCGGCTGAAAATAATAAAAGGTCCATGATATCCTTAACTTGTCTAGAGACCAGGATATCATTAGTCCTCTGACAGATGTAGGCAATCACATTCCAATGTCCAAATTTTGTCCCAGCCAAAAAAAAAAAATTCTGCCCAATGAACCGAAACCAAGAGTGAACTCCTGGGTGACCATGTTAATGCATCTTCTGAAAAAAGAAACGACGCACATCCTTTTATACTTATGGAGAACGGTAGACTTAGAAATTATGAAGAGGAAAGAGTCCAGGAATTTAACACATTCGAGTTGAAGAAAGAGAATCCCCGTCTACTCAACTATTGTATCGTCCCTAGTCAACTCAATCAAATTCACTCTATCCGGAGTACGGATTTCTTCTACTCTTGATGATATGCCCGCTTCGTTATGCTCCAATCCCACAATGAGACAAATATTTGCGGTGAATTCGGAATATCAGCTAATGGAATTCACCCAACATATTTGTTGAATGAATGTTTTCTGGCTTATGCTAAAATGGTAACAGATGTGGCTCGAAGTACCTCAATATGGTGACATTACGACACTAAATTTGATAGCTGAAAGGACGAAATGCGTGGAATATAACAAAAAGCGGTGCTTGTGAGCGACGAGGGCTCTATGGACTGCTATCTGCAATTATCTTGTTATTTAAAGTGTTGTTGTTGTTTTTGTTATTTATATTTCTTATTATTAAATTACTATATTATAATTATATTTATATTTCTTATTAATATATATATATATATATATATATATATATATATATATATATATATATATATATATATTAATAAGAAACAGGCAAAAAAGAGGCAACACCAAATATATTTATATTTTTTATTATACGAGAGTCTAATTTCATATGAAGATAGGGATTATTTAATAATAAGGAGTAATTCAATAATAAGAAATATAAATAACAACAACAACACTTTAAATAACAAGATAACTGCAGTCCATATAGCCCGCGTCGCACACAAGTACCCATAAACCTCACGGTCATAGGGTGCGTAAATTTTGTATGCACTTTGACCAAAAACCTTAGAAGAAATGCGTCTTATTTCTGAAGCTACTATCATAGCCTTTCATTAAGAAGTGCTGGCTAGGTCCAGTGTGGCATTCTGGAGTGTTGACATTATCCTCTTGTATGTTCTAACCAAGTTATCCAACCACAAGATTAGTGTATTGTTGCAACAGGCAAAGTTACATTCATAGGTGCCTGAACTGCAGATGCGTCTGGGAGGCGTAGTATAAAAAAACGTAACATTCCAGGGGTAAAAAAAACGTAACAAAATAGTTCTGAAACTACAGAATGACGACGGTGTTACTCTAGTCCTAAAGTATATCTGAAGAAATTAATTATTATTAATCACAGGCCATGCTCCAGAGACAACGAACTATCTACAGTGCACTCCTTCTTCACTTCAGTGAATATGATGAAATTTCGTCTATCCTATTTGCATAGGATAGAGAGGCTACTAGAAGAATAGGACATCAGTAATTCCGTACAACCAAATAGACTTAAGGAGGAATCTTGTAACTGGTGTACCCCGAAGTGGCTGAAGATCTCTCAGGAATCAAAAGGGCCAACGTGCACCAAGCTGCAGTTCTTCCAAGTTCAAGTCTGCGAACTATATGATTTACTGTAACTGTGGTTCATCTTCTCTTTGAAAATCTCTAAAGAATGATCTCTCGCGGAGGTTTTTCAAGATCCATAATCCCTCTCAAGGTCTCATGATCTAACTCGTTTTTGGAATATTGGATTTTTTTTATACAGATATAGAAAATATGAATAACGGGATACTAATCATTCTCGGTGACACTACTTCAACATTTTTAATTATCACCTAGAAAACGGATTTTTTTTTTTAACAGTCTAAATCTATAAAAACATTTCAGCACATATAGTACGTAGGGCTTTTTACGACTCCGACCCTATCCAAATTTCATAAGGCAATCCTGTCTTGTTATCAAGCGGAGACAAGCCAACCAAACTTCTCTCCTGTTTTTGTATAATCGATCCCTCAATAAAACTTTTCCATTGATTTCCAGCTGTTTACGGCTTTTGAAAACTCTCTTTAAAAGAATTTTCACACTGTTGCAGGGCAGACAAAAAAAATCTGTGGAATTTCAGAGCAGAACCAGAACATCAGCTTGTTTGCTAAAATACAGCATTACTATGGATCCCAGGGTTATGGCACTGTTTTATTGTTTCATATGAGACCATCAATGTACTAACTAGCATTTGAAAAATCAGAGTGATAAAGGCCGTTTTCGATCTGCCATATGGTGGTTTGTAAGTCAATGAAGAATAATCTTAGGATAGCACACCTCATCAAACTACCAAAGGGAATGGCCAATGTAAACAAACACTCGACTCTGTATGCCTGTTCCTGCATACCTGGGGTAGCAGGAGTGGATTGTGAACACCAGTACTTTTATACCCCCATTTAGGTTTCAGGTGCTTGCTTGCTTATAGGAGGCTCTGTCAGGAGTTTCGGGTACTTCCCACCTCTAAATGGCAATCTAAAATCTAAATCCAGACCATTTCCTTCCAACATTTTTTTAACTTTGACTGCTATTGGCTTTCGTGCCATAAGATGCTGGACCAATTTTTTTTTTTAGTATCCCAATACTTCAAAGATCGTGATAGACTGAAAAGACATGAATAGTTTTGCAAGATTTGTAATTGGGACCGTGAGAGGCTCCTGTATCACGGATTACTGATACAGTAATCCTGTAATACTACACTGATTTAGCGTGGCTCTTTCCTCCTTAAGAAGAGAATATTTCTCCGGTACATTTCTTTATCAAATCATTAACAATCATCATCCTTCTTATGCCTACAACCTTAGCCAATTCAAGCCCTCAATCCATTCTCTTACCACAATATCTCGACCTTCTGAGCTATATATACTTTCTCATAGATCTGCTTCATTTAAAAACTCCTTTGTAGCCCACTCTGTCAATTTCTGGAATTCCCTCCCTATCAAAATACGCCATGCCTCCTCCGTATCCACATTCAAATCCTCCTTTTCCAAAAACAGTCAGATACCTGCTAACTATTGACATTATATATATATATTTGATATCAATCATAAAATCATATGATAATACGGTTCTTTGCTAGGGATATTACATGTATTTCCTCATAGATGAATATAGGTATAGATTTATGTATATCACTCACTACATCTATTTTTTTAATTAAATTGTCACTAATTTTTTTTTTTATACACAATTAAACGCTAACACGTATCTTCCATAACTGATGATAACGCTCTTCTTGTGATGTATTTATATTTTATCCAGAATTTACATAATTAGATTTATATTGACAGAAGCAACTTTCACTTTTCTAAGTAAAAACTTTTATGAGAAAGAAGAACTTATTTTATTTTGCCTCTTTTTCTTTCTTCATTTCTTAAAGTGTATATTTATGCTGCTCTACCATTATATATAGTTTTAAGCTTTTGGTACGTAGTTTTATCTGTTTTATATACAGCTTGTTCACTTAAGGTTTTCTTTTCTTTTTTCTTTTTTTAATTTTATTTATTGTTTCAAATTTTTAGGCCAGAAGTAGTGGTTTCTTTTTGTATAATATTATTATTCTTAAGGGACTTTGGCTTAGAATAAAGTTGTTTCTCCATCTATTTATCTGTCAAACCAAACTGTTTCATTATCAGTAGGATACATTTTCATTTTCCTTTATGCATTTTGTATACATTTTCCAATTTCCTCCTTTATTTAAAAGGATTCTATATCTATTTGTATCTGGAGAGCCACCAATGGAGTAGATTGCGCCGCTCCCAGCCTCAAAATTTTATTTTGTATCACATCCAGCATGCATGAGTTTTCTCTATCAATCAATAGCATCTCGCTTACATCATTCAATCATTGGTCATATATAAATCATTCAAGAACATTAGATCTTCATGTTCACCTCATTTGATTTCTGCAAGCTTTTTTATTAGTCTTATTTATTTCTTGTTAGTTTAAACACTGAGATAAAAAAAAACTCTTCAATTAAAAAAAAATATTGGTCTTAAAAATCCAAAGGAGGAAATGATAATATACAAAAACCAAGGGAAGGAATACAAAATTGTAAAAAAATGTGGCTAATTTAGACAATGACAGATAAGAAAATGAGAAAAATATTTTTAATATTTTCATGACGAATATTAATTTTTTTATTTTTCAACAATATCTGACAAGAAAACTAGATTTCCACTCAAAATAATACACAAAATGTGCATTTTTTCCTCTAAAGTCAATTACCAATGTTTTATTGATTTTATGTTTCAATGTGTGTAAAGAAAAATAATCAATCCTTCATAAAATATCAAATTTACAATTGAGAACCAGCAATTTAATAAATAAAACAATAATAAATTAATTTACATCACACCTTCACAGTGAAAACGTAATTGTTTTTGACAAAATCAGAACAATAATAAATAATACAAATATTAAAATAAAAAATATTTATAGATTATTTTAAAATTAACAATGTTTCAACCAGTATCAGAAGTATAAGGTGACGAGTCTTGTTGGCTATTATTACAGCTTTCACTGGACCAACTATTTCCTCTTTTCATAATGTTCACAGGACCTGGAAGAAAAGTGTTGAAAAGCAGTTAAATGGCAACTTTTCAAAAAAGAATGTCCACTAAATTAAAATTAAGCATTTCAGTAAACAATAATTGTTAACCCTAAAAATGATATCTCAACTTACAAGCACACATTTTTTTCATAACATAGATAAAAGTAATAAAATATTATTAGTAAAGTTTCAATCTAAAAAAAATGTCTATTTATTTTACTGTTAAAAATAAAAAATAAATGGCACTATTTTATAGAAGTTAAACCAACATGGGGGGTGGCCACCAAAGATAATTCTGATTTTTGCTTAGTAGTTAGAACTAGTTGTAGAAGTTACAAACAGTACTAATAGAAATTCCACTAAATCAGCAATTGTAGTTTTATGTAAAGTTACATCAATTACACTAGCTTTCACAATATCCATCACCTGCTTTTAAAGACTGGTCAGTTACGATTATTATTGGCTATTACAGTTTATTTAGGCTCACAAATGTCGGACTTCTTCTTGCTCAAGAGATAAACAGATTTTTAAAGTCTTTTTCAGTTGTCAGACTTCCCAAGTTTATTACTCGTTATACTTTATTTATTTTTTTGCCTCACGGAGGATTAAGTTCATCCTTGCAGTACAATATAATTTTATGTTTTCAGGACATACGCTACAGCCATCCTTTCATCACATTTCTTAATTAATCAATGATAAAAGAATTGACAAAATGGTTAATTGGACAAATCAAAATTTTTGTAACATACGTATTACATCATAAATTATATCAATACTATATTTAACAAGTAACAATTTTTGTTACTATCATTATGGCCTAAAAACGGTTCAGGTCATTGTTCCAATTCATTAGTATAATCACGGTCATTTTCGTTTTTCAAAATTCATTGCAGACTAATGTTATTTTTGGGCCCAATCAGCTGCTTTCAACTTTTGATTTAGAGTCAGGTCTAATAACTGGAGGCCAACTATCATGTTGGACTATATTATCTGAAGTAGCATTAAACAAAAAAAAAAGTAATAACCATTTTGGTGGATCATCCAACACGCAAACTAACTGCTGGCATAAAAGTGGCATTTTAAGGTAATATCCAAAGGTTTCTCTATTGTTTAAAAATTAAAATTTTGATTAACAAGAAAAATCTATAAACTGGTATGTTAAGAGAATGTAGCATAATAGTGAACAATAACACCATAAGAAACTTCGATAATCATTACAACTTGATAGAGTACAGTATTAATCATTTGATATTGTAAAAGCTTTCTATACCTGATGAAGCTGGAGGCTCAAGCACAGAGTTGTTATTACTCGAGGAATTTTCAACTAGATCAGATTCTTTTTCCTCAGGTTTTGGCATAGCTAAACCATAAAAATAATACTTATGAATTATAATAATTAATCAAGTAACAGAAAACACAACCATTAAAAGTTTACCAGCAAATGCCTCTGGGTATTGTGCACTTGTTTTTGATTTGAGAACTTGAATTCGTTTGAAGATATTATCTAAATCCTTCCTCATTTCTACTAAAAGTGTAGTATGCTTTTTAAAATCAGCAGAGGCTGTTTTTAATCTTGTAACACACAAGTTGTTACAGTTAGTCAACATTTCATTTGTTTTCTCAAACCTCTGTAACCTAAAATAATAATTATACGAGTATTGAAAAAGTGTAATTTTTTTTTATTTAAAAAACCATGGGTTGAAAAATGTATGAATATTTGTTTTTTAATGTTTCATTTAAACTTTTTCGCTGGAACATTTTTGTAAAAAATTTTGAAATAAAAGTTCTAAGGAACTTTTCTAGTAATAAAATTGGAAGTGAAGAGAGAAAAAAGGTAATGACGTTTTATTGTTGTAGTTGATAAATTCTAATTTTATATTATTAAATGAGAAATAAACCTTTCCATACAAAATATACGAAAAACTATATATATATATATATATATATATATATATATATATATATATATATATATATATATATATATATATATATTTTTTTTCAGCTTGATAAACCAAATACATATTGTACATAAAATTGTCATACTTTATATTAACTGCCCTAAGTTCATAAACAAAATTAAAGTAATATTCTCAAGGTTTATTAATTTGAAAAAAAAAAATTAATTTCTAAGATGATGGACACACTGACCAGACCTGTATTAAAAACCTGCTCAACCTTATAAAACCATCATTATACCCATTGATACTTATCCAGGAAAACAAGAGATTGCAGAAAATTTGGGAAAGGAAAGTCTTTAGAAAAATATATAGTCCCAGAAAAATAAATGATCTGTGGCTATTAATTAAAAATGATGAGCTTTACAATAATAAAAACAGTGTAGTCACAGTCAAAAGGTACTGCCGCAGATGGCAGATGACCATGTAGAGAGAATAAAGTAAGATAGGTTGCTAAAAAAACTTCTATAGCTACCGAGGAGATCATGGCTGCAGTGAATCAATGACATAGATGAAGAGCTCAGCCATTTGGGTATAAGAAGATGAAGGAGAACCATTGTGGATAGAAAGCCTGGCATATGCTTGATTCTGAAGCTCAGATCGATTAAGCAAATTAATAATAATAATAACTTATTTGAATAGCATATATTTAGAAAATTATATATACAAAGTAATGTAGTATGCAGTATCAGACTTGGATCAAACCGGGGCAGCTCTATTGGGTCCGCTATATTTCAAGGATGACACCAGACCAGTGCCTTAGACATTCGGCGCCCCCTTCCCTCTCCCATCTCCTTCTACCCTAAAAAAATTAAATTGTTTTCTTAAGCTATTTTAAATTGAAATTAATTTGTAATAATTAGTAACCACTACTGAAGATAGGACGATGCCCTTCCAGGTCGGTACCACGGGACGATTGCCCTAGTTGTCCCACCCTAAGGCCGTCACTGCACCACACCAAATATCTCAGAGAACCATATACAAGAACATATATAGAAAATTAGTGTGAAGACCAGTTGCAATGGTTAGCATAGTGTTCAACAATGTAAGATTCATCTTGGTTATTCATAATTAGAGGATCACACCACAAAAAAGAAACAACTAACAGACCAAACCGCAGGTCCTATCTCATCTAGAATTGTAGAAGAAGGAAGAAGTATACCCTACATAGAATAAAGAATACTAAACACTAAAAAAACTTAAAAGTAGGCGAATGACACAAAGTAAATGTAAAAAAAGAAAACTTATTTATCTGAAGTGGATTAGCATGGATACATCATTTTGTTCAAAATAAATCATATTAAATTGCCAATCTTATAATAAGAAACTTCTTGCATAGAATTTCATTCAATCTTACATCTGTTTTTGGGCCCTGATCATTGACTCCACATCTTGTTGATCAACTATGCCAGCAAGCCCCTGGATAAATACTTCAGAGGCAGTATAGTTCTGAAAACATTCAATACTACCAATTTCACTTTCTGGAGTGTTATCAGCCATATTAAAGAAAAAAAAAGGTTAATGTGACTAATACGAATTATTCAACCGAAGATTTGGCATAAACGAAAAAATTATGAGAAATAATGTTGATATAAAACTGAGACTACATCACTTATACATGTCAACATGTCTATGCTAATATTATGACAACAAATAGTAAACAGAAAGGTTATGTTTAAGTTCCGAAATGGCATAGCACAATCTTTCCAAGTTCAGATACAAAGAACTCCAATAGTGAAATTGTTTAAAGGACTTTTTTATGTTTTCCGGTCCTTGATTAGTTGAAAAATAAGCTCTTGTTATAATTTTCTCGAAAAAATTGTTAATGCTCTGACAGAAGGGTCTAAAAATGACCTGAAAATTTTTGAATAAAATAAAGTTACTTATTTCATTTATTTTTAATGACAACAAATTGTTTTGTTTTTTTTATATTTAGCTCATATATGAAAGAACATTAGACAAAATTGATTCATTCATTCAGATTAGTACTGTTACAGCTACTATTGGGGATTACTAGTCCGGCAAGTGGGTGCTATTGTGGTCCTTTTTGCGAACTTCTGATGGCTATCTTGCGCCTTAACGAGGTTGCCGCCGCTTACTTGCCAAACGAGTTGATAGAATTTGACAACATTAATACTGATCAATCAAAGATAAATCAAAATAATGGGCCCTTCTAAAAATGAAGGGAAAGCGAAAATTATGGTTCTGAGGGAGAAAACTGCTACGAACCCGCCAAAGCATTATTTAGTGGAAAATTTTCTATACTACACTATACTTATACATTCTGATGCAGGTTCGGTTTTAAGTATCTTGGCTCCATAGTAAGTGATCAGATGGAGAAAGAGGAGGAAATTTAAAACCGGATTATGGGGTTAACAAAACATGATAGTTAACAACCCTAAGACGTTTTCTCCGTAATAAACTGTTAAGTAGGGTATCAAAATGACTATATCTAAAACAATAAAACGTCCCGTGTTGCCTTATGCTTATGCGACCTGGACTCTAGGCAAGAAATTGGTTTTAAATATTGACAGGTTTGAAGGGAAAGTGTTGAGGCGCATCATGTAGCCTATGGGAGAAAATGGTCCGTACCGCTTGAGAAGGAACAAAGAGATCTAAGACTTATACGACGATCTTCGAGCTTCCCATTTCGTGCGAATTCAGCACTTCAAATGACTGGGACATGTAATCAGAATAGATGATGAAAGAGCAGTAAGGCAATTATATTATGTTACCCCGGATGGAGTCAGAAAGCTTGGAAGATCGAAGAGTCTGCCATCAGTCAGCGCTGTAGGCAGTACCAGCGAAATAGTACCTTTAGGGTCGCGAAGAACAAGGCCGTGGAGAAAAACCAAGGATCTCTTCCCAACCCCATTAAATATTAAATTTACAACTACAACCCAACGAAGGCCTATCATGAATTATGGAAAATATATATATATATATTTTTTTCTATGTAAATTTATCTACATTTTAGTTTAATGCAAATTAATTTTTACATTTCAATAATGAACCGTGACATTCATGAAATTCACCTTCCTTTTCAATTTCCTATAGGATGACCTAATATTCACTTTTTAGCTTGTTTACAGCCATTTTAAACTGGCATAAATGATAAACCAACGAGATAAGTTTGTTCTACAATTGAGAGAGTTTTTGTAACAGTAGAACAGTAAATGTATAGTTTTTTAAAATGACCAATGAATTCAATAAATCCATTGTTTTTTGTTGAATTAACGTTAATTTTAAATCGACTTTTCAAAAGCAATAGTTATTTTCATGGCAATGACTTTTAAATGATTCTTACATAAATTTTTTAATTTTATTTTTTATAACCAGATTGTAATGCAAAAATACAGGAAAAGAGATTCCTTAAGCTCATTCCTAATTAAGATTTTGCTTCCCGTTTTAAATTACCAGGAAAAAGAAATTGTATCTTCAACAACAACATTATTTGAGAATTACAAAATATTTATAGATTCTTTTTAAATTTGTAAAATTAATGTGTTTTTTTTTCTACATCTGTAGTGTTTTTATGTACATATGATATATATCACTTGTTTCTGTTTTGTAAATACTTATTTTACTATGATTCTTAGTAATACGTTACAATATAAAATTTAACTTTCTATTTCAGAGACAATATATTTAGGTTGTACAAGAATAAGGTTCCTCCATAATAGGATCTGATCCTACTCTCTTCAACCTTAGTCTTTCGAAGTAAGTAAACAGTAATATAATACTTTTAAAATGGTTGTCTTTTTTTTTCTTTTTTTTTTTAATTTTACAGTTTTAATTTCTTGAATATCAAATTAATGAATTTAATACAAATCTTCGCTTATACTGTGATTCGCATAGGTCCGAAAAAATCAAATGTACAATCTTGATTAAATTTTAAAATAAATAAATATAAACATATCATTCTAGAGACATCCTGCAAGTCAGCAAAATAATATTTATGTTCTACAAAACGAAAGTTGATGCGAAACGTTCCCTAAATGATGCGAAATGTTGCAAATCTTATTTCTGTTTTAAATTGTATGAACATCGTTAGTTTGATTTTTGTTGTACTACAGAGGTATCACAGATTAAGCAAAGAAATATATATAAAAAGCCAAGAAAAACAATCAGTTTTTTTTTTGTTTTTTTTGGAAATTCCATTTCCTACAAGCATGTTGCCAGAGAGGAGGTTTGGTGTGTTTTATATCTCCTACGAAGTGATTTTTTTCTAATTTATAAACTCAATCTTTTTACTTAAATTATAAATGAATGGCTTTAGAAAAGGGGTCAAGTCATTTTGAGTAATAATCGAAGGGATTTCTCCTTTGAAATTAAATGGAGAGGAAAAATTATCAGAATTGTGAAATTCATAGTAAAATTCTAATAAAGGCTGTGTTTCTTTTCAAGTGTTATTTCAATATATGCGAAGATTTAATGATGAGGAATAGAGTGTTGTTTTATTTTCCACCCATTTTTTGAGCCAACAAAGGGAAGTTAATTAAATTTTCAAATAAATCAACTCCTCAAATAAATATCAACTATTAACTATTGTTTACTAAGCCTATCGTTTAATTAAATTTCCTAGATTAAGTAAAACGAATTCACAAATTAGTGTTAAAATGAGGGTTTTATTTTAAGATTTTTTTTTTTGTAAAATTCGAACTTAAAAAACATGTGTTACGACAAGAAAAGGGGTGTTCATTTTTTTCCATCTGGTAATTGATTATTGAAGTTATTTCTCTGCTCTCATTACTGACCTTTGTCGTGTTAAGCGACTGTTATTTTATAATATGAAAGATTAATAATTATTAACTAAATGATTTTTCAGATATTGTCTTACAAAAGTGAAGTATAAGGGAAACTTGTTAAGAAGGATTTGAAAGCATTTTTAGTATTATGTAAGTTTATTTCCCTACATAAAAGTAAGTCCAGTTTAATACCTAATTTAATTTTTTATTGAGTTGACATCTGTAGACATTGTTATGTAAGATTGGTAATAACTTCTGTTGTTGTTATGTAGATACAGCCGTAGAAATATTTCATTATCGTAATAAATAATTGAATGAATCAAGAATCCACCTTTTTTCTTAATCATAACATCATTAATTTCAGAATTAAAATAAAATACATCAAAGATGCTCAAACATAGAACGCGTATTTACATAAAATATTACATATTACTTTGTAATATTTAAATTCTTTCTGTGAAAAAAAAAGAGAGCTGTAGTATAACCTCTTTTTATTTAGATTGGAATTTATGATTTCAACAAATTCCCTACTGGTCCTCATCAGTTAAAAACGAGGCGTTAATCAGCATTAATTATATCGCTGCTTTCGATTTTCGCTAACTAAAAAGGGATAAACTAAACTCTACTGATCTTTTTGTAGAGATCGGGACCTTACCTGACGATTCAGTCACTTCCGTCCACTTTCGAAAACACTTGACCATTCTTTGGATTCCATTTATGGTGTGATCTAGTGCCACACATCGAAGTGGAATGACATTTGTGTAGTAGTTTCCTTATGTATATCATCCAATAATTTCCTCAAACTAAAAAGAATGCATTAGTGTTAGTACCCTCAGGGGTGCCCATCCCCTCCCAGGTCGATGGCGCAATAATCTACCCGTCCCCCTCCTCCCAAGATATTTTATTGCTCACCTTTTCTTAAAAACAGAAGAAGAGAAGGTAGAATTAGAAAAATCGTAGATCATATACAATTAACATTGCTGCTCTCTGTTCCATGTTTTCCCATAGGACGAAAAATTATAATCCCATCGAAATTCCCCCCTTAAAAATAAAAAAAAACCGTCAAAATAGGCTCCTCTCAAAAAATTTTATGGCGCAACTTGCACCATGAAACTCCCTTGTGGGCTCCCCTGGGTACAGACAGCAATATAAAATTTTACTTACAATAGTTTTCATACAATACTAAAAACATGGGAGAAGTTTTTTTTCATAATACAATTGCTACTAGAAAAAATCTTTTTTTTTTTTTTTTTTTTTTTCTTATGCCATTCTTTGGTCATTTGGCCATCCGACATCTTGCTGCCCAGTATAATTTAGATTTTCTGAAATGTATATTTGAAAATTTTTTGTCGCTTATGTCCCTCAAGGCAGGACATGCGTCTAGATGGTCTGCATCCATTGTTCCTAGATGACACAATTTACAACTAGGATCCTCAGCCACAACTATCTTGTAGAGATGACTCTGCAGATAGTCGTGACCAGTGGCCAGGCGGAAGCAGGCAACTGCATCTCTTCTCGGCAGCTCAGCTGGGATCGGGTTATCCTTCAACCACTCGTAACGCTTCCCTTCCACTTTGCCGAAATGTACTTTTCTTATTTCCTCCTTCACTACCATCTTCACCATTCGCCGTATAGAGTCGTAAGGTTTTGGATGTATCGGCTGAGGCAAATCTGTTCCTCGCTTGGCAAGAATATCAGCCTCAACGTTACCCGGAATCCCACAATGGCTGGGGATCCACTGTAGGACCACACTGGTGCCTCGGTGTGTCAGGTTAGTGAGGAGGGATTTACATTCCAATATAGCACTCGATAAACATCTGGTGAAAATCTGGCACACAGAAAAAATCTGGTGCGCGCAACACATAACTTTCACTTACCGATCTACTTTGAATAGAAATTATTTTCTGGCAATGCTGAGCTATTATAAAATTTTTTTAAGTGCATTTTAAACGGAGCTAAAGCTTAAAGCTTACAGATAACAAGTCATTAAGACCATTATAATTACAAAATGTCTATTTAATATATCGACGACAGGCAATACAAATCTAGTCACTACATCTGCTTTTATAAAACACACAACTTTCTTTGCTTTTATAAACCACAGAATGACTAACTCCAATTTCAACATTTTTGAGTGATGTCATTTTAGTGATATTTTTAGTTGAAAAAGTTATCTATGCAGACAATGAGTAAGTTGATTCCAGAGGTGATGATTGCAGTGTTGAAATATAGAACTGAGAATAAAGGTATAAATTTAGGTACTTATTTCTTATGAAAGATGTTCTTAGGAAAGACACTTTATTAAATATATGTAGAAAAAGGGGCTTTTTTAGTCTCAACAATTAAATAACTATATTTTAAATTTACCCAAATTTTTGTCTCTTCAGGGAAAAAAACTAGAGACCATATTTTTCCTCCTAATTGTCCGATTTTAATAATTTTTTGTTGTTTTTTTTAGGAAATTCCATAAACTTTTAAAAAACAATATCAACAAAAAAGCGTACAATTTTTTAACATCCCTCTTAATTTTTTTTCCAGCTTCTTTTCGTTGAAGTATGTTATACAGATAAATTTAAAGGGCATCGAGAAAATGACTTTAGCGAAGTTTCATTGAAATCGGTACATTCGTTTAGGCGCTACAGTCTATAGCAACGCAGGTTTTTCTGCATTTTTTTTTTTTTCTCCTTTATTAACTTATCAAATTCTTTCAAAAGCTATATGTAGCATTTTTTCGTAACTCTGAATAATGCGAAATGATTTACTTTTTAAAATAAACCATATTAAACGTACTTTAGAGGAAGACATATATGAACATTGGGCATTTAAGCCCTGTAAAGCACGGGCGGATCTACGGGGGGGGGAGGCTTTCGGGCTGAAGCCCCCCCCCCCCCAAAATGGAAAAATATAACCATGTTTTATCAAACAAAATATTAAAAAAGTATCTCTTAAAGTGTTATTGTTCGTGTGATTAATATTAAAAGGGCTTTAGGAATCACTTAAACACCATTTCATACAGGTAGTTAGTTTCTTTCTTTTTTTCCAAAGTAATTATCGTTATTTTTATGAAAAAAAAACTTTCGGGCTGAAGTCCCCCCCCAATATTAAATCCTATATCCGCTATTACTGTAAAGTGACATCAACGGGGATAAGACCTAAATGAAATGATATTAAATACCACTTAATTATACAATGATACACCGAGTTTGACCAAAATCGTTAGAGCCGTTTTTGAGAAAATTGTATAAATGTGTTTCAGCGTTCATATAAAGTAGCACTTCGGGTAAACCGATTTAAACGAAAAAGTTGCTGTCACATCCGGACCGTATACACACCTTATATACTTAATCTTAATATCAGTTTCGTACTACTTTTTGTTTATGAGCTGTTAACACACACCCACACTAGCGGATCCAGGATTTAATTTTGGGGGGGGCTTCAGCCCGAAAGCTTCTTTTTTTCAAAAAAGTAACGATAATTACTTTGGAAAATACGAAAGAAACTAAGTACCTATACGAACTGGTGTTTAAGTGATTCCTAAAGCCCTTTTAAATGTAATTACACGAATAATTATACTTTAAGAGATAATTTTTTTATTTTTTTTTCCGATAAAACATGGTTATATTTTACCATTTTGGGGGGGCTTCAGCCCGATAGCCTCCCCCGTAGATCCGACGGTGCACACCCACACACACCATTTTGCAACACTTGGTTATTTGAACTCAGGGGACCTCAAAACATGTATTTCCGTTGAAAACTGAGATTCGAAAATTTTCACGATCGCAATACTTACCCTTACTATATATTACATATATACGTAAATGAAAGTAAAAAGTAATTGAAACATTTCACCAATTAATCGTCATCAAGATAGAAAAACAAAAGATAAAATGAATGAAGCCTAGAAATAGCTCATCCTACACCAGCAGTCTAAAAACAGGATAAATGGAAGTAATATCACTTTAAAGCACAGATGGACATAATCATAATCAACTATTACAGTACTCATGATTATTTGATTACATTATTACAGTGATCTGGTTACCAATTAGGATTGTAATGAGGCAATCGTTTCACCTTTTTGCTATATTGAATCAAGTATAAAATTAGCATGCCCGTTAAGTTTTATTTTTACTTATAATCACGTAATCATTGATTTTGATTTTGCCCATCTCTGTTTTAATTCAAAGCGATACGCAGTGCATCACTCAAAAACATTTTAACATTTATTTTCCAGTTTAGGGAAATTTAAAGGGTAGACAACTGTCAACACTAATAAAAAGGAGATAGTTCTACTGGGGCACTACTTGTGACAGGATGTCGCAAAAAAAAAAATAATAATAATAATAAAAACGTCTTATATTAGCTACTGCAATTGTCAATAATATCACCAAATTTTATGTTCCGATGGATGTATAATTTAAAAGATGTGTTAATGTTTTCAGTTAGATTAAGAAAGTAATTAATTTTGAAAAAAAAGTATTTTATATTTAGGATTATATTTGGTTTGGTATTGCCTCTAATATTATCATCATGTTTATTAATATGTGAATATTTACTTCAATTATTAATAAAAATATTTTTGAAAATCCAAAAATGTTATTCTAATTTTTTAGTAAATTTAATAGACTTTTCATTTTTCTTTTAAATTTAGATGATTTTTAGTAATTTATCATTCTATTTATTATTGATTGAATATAATTCACCATTAATGTGGTTATACCATTAATAATTAATTTTTAGGATAGTAATTTTGTAAATTTATGTATTTATATAAATAAAAAATATTTATTTTTTAACCATTTTCATATATAATTCATGGGTTATTATGATTACACTTTTATTACATTTACTTTTTGGTAATGAGAATGATTTGAGTAGTTAAGCATTATATCACTCATCACGTCATAAACAGAATTTACATGTAAAAATTTTGGTTGGCTTTGAATGGAGTGATATAAAATAATACATAATACAGAGTGACAGTATTCTGTCTTGGTAGTATTGTCCTGATAATTTGGCAGTGTGAGAATGTCCCTCTAGACACTAGTTGTATACTTTGGGACAGTTGAAAAATGGCACCTTCCAACACAAATAATGAAACTAATCAAAAATGGTATCTTTTTTTAACACAACTTGTGAATAATAATTGGAAAATGTTAGTACCAGAAAGCAATATAGCTTCTGTTCATCTTTATCTTCAATGAAAAGATGTAGCAATCAATTATTTTTTGTTTTTAAAAGGTTTGTTTGCAGGCTTAATAAATTCATTCATAAATTCACAGATTCTCTAAATCTATTTATTTTATATAGTTTTATTATAAAATTATTTACAACATGAAAGTAATGGTATCAGAAATGAAATTAATGTTGTTTTTCTCAGGACCTACAGAAGCTATTATAAAAAAAAAGATGAATATGAAAATGACTACTCTTCATTCTATGGGAATTACAATGAAAGTTATGGTAGCTTTTGCGATGGGTTAGAAGCTGTTTCTTGGGAGAACCATTCCCTACCAGATTTTACAAAAAATTTTTATATCCCACATCCAACTGTGTTGAATAGACCTTATGCTGATGTACAGCAATATAGAGAAAGCAGAGGTATCAAAATTGAAGGAGATGCTGATAATAATAACAATCCAATCATGTATTTTGAAGAGGGCAATTTTCCTGACTATGTCGCAGGAACTATCAAGTAAGAGTTTGCTTTATTTCCTTTCAAATTGATATTTTATTATAAATAAATATTGCTCAGTTTTGCAAAAAACAAATTTATTATTGGTTAGTTACATATTCACTAGTCATTATGAAACATATTTGATTAATCACTTGTCAAAGTGAGAGAAAAGCATTTATTGATTTAGATCATTTATGGATCATATCACTGATACACTATTGACCATGTTCATAAATATCTTTTTTATATTGCTTTGTAAAAAATATTATAAATAGTCGTCCAGTATTCACAATCAGCTTAACTGAAATTGTAACTGTAATAAGTGTTATAATTTTTAAAATGGAGGCTCAATATTACAGGTGTTGATCAAATTCAATAAAAATAAAATAAGTCTTCCAATGTATATTGTTTATTTTTTTTTCTACTGGTTTCGGTCCTTCATGAAACTGTCATAATTAAGTCTGACAAAGAGCCAAACCAGTAAAAAAAAAAAAAATAAATAAACATTACACACAAGATATTTTTTGTATTGAATTTAAGTGATATAATCTTACAATTAAATTACATTTTACTTCGCCTGTATATTTATTTTAAATAAAATTAAACTTTCAATAAAGAAGTTTCTTACCTGTTTTTCATTTTTCAAATAAAACTTTTTTTTTTAATCTAACAAAGTAAAGAGCTATACAATATCTCTGATATCTTAAGGATTCAATTTTTAAAAAAACAGCATTAATTTAATTATTAAATCACTAATATTAAAAATCAACTCATTTTTCAAAAGTGATTATTCATCTGTCTTATTTGAAAAATGACTATACCTACTTTGTCTTAGCATTTAACTAATTATTAATCATCAGCAATTAAGTTTATTAGTCATGAAAAATCAATAATAATTTTAATTAGTTCGCCCAAATTGAAATTGAATTTCATTGCATTGTAATACATAAATTTATAGAATGTATTTTTAAATTTGCTTCTAGAAAAATGGGATTTGATTTCCCAACTGCTATTCAAGCTCAAAGTTGGCCAATTGCATTGAGTGGAAGGAATATGGTTGGAATTGCTCAGACTGGTAGTGGGAAAACACTAGCTGTAAGTCTGTTTGTATTACCTAGATATAGTTTTACATTGCTATTTCATGATTTCAAAATTCATGATTTGATCATACATAGAGGTCTAAACATAGTTACCAACTCCTATAATGTAACTTTATTTTCAGTATATGCTTCCTGCAGTTATCCATAGTATCAATCAGCCAAGAGTACAGCGTGGAGATGGTCCTATTGTATTGGTGTTGACACCAACCCGAGAATTAGCTCAGCAAATTCAAGCAATTCCTATGCAGTTTGGTGATGTTTGCAGGCAAAAGGCTGTTGCTGTTTTTGGAGGTGCTCCCAAAGGTCCCCAAGCTAGAGATTTAGAGAATGGAGCAGACATAGTAATAGCCACACCAGGTCGCCTTATAGATTTTTTGACAACAGGTATTAATATTTTTTTATTATAAAAAAAATAAGAAATCCTGTTTATACTACATGTTTATTCTTTTTTTGTTTTTCATTAAATTTAAAAGGCTAATTGTATACTTCTTTAAAACTCATTACAAAAGTCTAAGAAATGTAACAGTGTGACTAGCATATTAAAATGTTTGATTTACATGCTCAAAAACACAATAGAAAACTATGCCAGATGTTTATAAATTGTCCTTTTTCAAATTAAAACTAATATTTTATCATTAATTTTTATTTGTTGAATGATCTTGCTCAAAAAAACTTGACAAAAAAGTACAAAATCGTTTGGAAATTATAATCTCAATTATGAAAAAGTGGTGTATAGTACCGATTGGAACTGATACACTCATATTCATTCTATAATTATTCAAGAAATCAGTTTTGGATGATTAATTAGTTCCAAAATTTGGTATGTAGGTACAACCAATCTGAGAAGATGCACTTATTTGGTCCTTGATGAAGCAGACAGAATGTTACATATGGGATTTGAACAGCAAATTAGAAAAATTATGCAACAAATTAGGGCAAGTATTTATCATATTAATAGTAATCCTTTTAATATAAATTTTTTTCAACACATTCTAATCTATAAAAGCAATAAACAGCTCACCCAACAATCAGTTATAAAAATTATAATTTCCAAAATCTCTACATCTTTAAAACACCTTTATACAGCTCTTTTTAAGGGATTATGAGTACATAAAAAATAATGAAATCCTATTTCTAAAGCTAATTTCTAATTACATTTTCAATATATCTCTCTAATCTCATAAGTGTTAGATTTGATATAAAAAAAAATTATATTAATCTACATGATTTAAATTTCATATCTAAAATATTTTATTTATGGTGATGCATAATAGTCGCTCCTGGCCCATTTTGATGAATTTTATGATTTTTCCCTTAACAACTTTTACCATTTGATTGCAGTCTCTGAAACTTGGCTAAAGCCTTCAATCCCGACTTCTCAGATTTCTCTACCCAACTATACTCTCCTTCCTCATGACAGAGTGGACGAACCGGGTGGTGGCGTGGGTCTCTTTGTTCATGACAGTCGTAAGTCCAAAATACTCAATTGCTCTCCTCCTACCGATTCTCCTCACCTTGAATATCTGTTTGATGAACTCCTCACCGTCTCGCATTCCCTTCTCTTTGCTGTCATCCATCACCCTCCCAGAATTTCATTTCACCAAGCATTTGATACTACTCTTTACAACCTAATTCTGTCTTACTCCAACGTTATCCAAACCGGAGACTTCAATACCAATTTCCTAATTCCTAATAGTTATTCTTACCTAACAACCCTCCTTGATTCTCTTGGCCTCTATATAGTGTCATACCCAGTTCTCAGAGTGCTGCCTCGATCTGTTCATCCTTGATTCCTCAGACAAACTCCTTGCCACATCACAGCACCCTGTCCCTTTCCTATCTTCCCATGATCTTATCCAAATTACCTACAATATACTGGTCCCACTTTTCTCCCTCCAAACCATATCTCATCGAAACCTCAATTCCCTAACATATGAAACCCTCTCACATGATTTCGACGCTATCCAATGGGACTCCATTTATCATTCAAACTCTATTGATAGCATGACAGAAACCCTTACCTCTCACCTTCATAACATCCTAGACAGTCATGCTCCCCTTATAACAAAAACAATCCGACATCCCCCACTCCTTGGCTAACACCTACTCTGAGAAAATTAATAAGAAGAGATGCTGTGAGACAGCAGTTCAAAAGAACTCACCTTTCTGAAGATTATCTCTCCTTCAAAATACTCCGAAGCAGCATTCCATGCCAAATCCCTTCACTTCCATCAATCCCTATCCAGCACTCCAAATTCCAAAGCCAAGTGGGCTATTATCTGTAAATTGTCCTTAGGCTAATCCACCCAAACCCAGTCTATCTCTATTTCACCTGAAGTACTCAACACTCACTTTGTCTCCTACTCCTCCCATTCCTCTTTCCTAGCGCCAACTCTGATTCCCATTCTGCCCTCCTTTAATCCCAATAATTTCTTCTTTTCTCATATTAATCCCGATGACCTCCTTAATTTAATTCATAAATCCCAAACCAATAATTTGGGACCAGACAACATCCCGATTAAATCCTCACTTCCCTCCATTCTTCCTATCCTTTACCATATTTATAATTTTTCATTGCAAGATCTCCATACAGCTATAGACCAGCATAAACTCACCATCCTTATTCTCCTTAATTTTTCCAAAGCCTTTGACTCAGTAGATCACAATATATTCCTTACCAAAATTAAAAAGATCTCCTTGCCTCCTAGTGTTGTCCTTAAATGATTCCAATCCTTCCTCACGAGTCACTCCCAATATGTTGTAATCCCTAATAATCCCCCAGCAGAGTTTCTATCCATGTCCAGAGGTATTCCCCAAGGGTTCTCCTTATCTCCCATCCTGTTTTCCATCTATATCAATGACCTTCCGTCCTCTGTCCTGCACTTTCAATACCAGCTGTATGCCGATGACGTTCAAATTTACCTTTCCTTTGATCCGGCTGATTCCACTGCAGCAATCCCACAACTTCAAGAAGATATAGACAGAATCTGTGCTTGGGCAAACTGCAATAGGCGCACCGAGGAGACAAAAGCTATTTTTATCGAATCCCCCGTACTCATAAAAACTCATAAAAGTATAAAGTATTTATACTTTGTTCTGAAGGGAAAACAGTCCCAGGATAATAAAAAGATTTTCATTTGAACAAAAAAAAAAGATTAAACTAAATTAAAACCACTTGAAATCTATTATTTTCTCATCAGCTGATATAAATTTGACTAAAATAAAAAAACTATCGACATCATAAAAAGTATATATTACAAAAAACATTTTAACCTAAGTTCATTAGTATCTGTGAAAATGTAATTGCAGTCATTGAAGAATAGAATATATTTAAAAGAATAAAATAATCATTTAAGCTATTAAGTTTTTGGTGGACAATAAGTAATGTTGAACAACATGTTTACAGCTAGAGTTAAATAAATGAAAACAGTAATAATATCATAAATTAAAATTTTTCAGCCTGACCGTCAGGTACTTATGTGGTCAGCTACTTGGCCCAAAGAAGTTAAATCTCTAGCTGAAGATTTCCTTCAAGAATATGTTCAAGTATTGATTTTTGTTTTCTATTTCAATTAAAATAAATCTGGATATTGAAACATATCATATAATGTTCTAATTATTTTCAGATTAATATAGGATCATTAGGGTTGTCAGCAAACCACAATATTCATCAAATTGTTGATGTTTGTCAGGAAAATGATAAGCAATTAAAACTTCATAATTTACTAGAAGGAATTGGAAACCACAAACTAGAACGAACAATTATTTTTGTAGAAACCAAGAAGAAAGTAGATTCAATTACTAATGATCTTAAAAAGATTGGGTATATTTTATTTATATACCTGAATTTAAATTTAAATGCAGAATAATTAGAGCATAACAATTTTTTATTTCCCCACTATTATTTCAGTTGGCCAGCAGCTAGTATTCATGGTAATAAATCACAAAAGGAAAGAGATTATGTTTTAAAAGGTATGTAAAAATCGAAATGGTTATATCTTGTTATTATTTTTTCTTCATCATCATTTGTAGATTGTTTAAGGCCAAAGACTAAGAACTTGTTTACTGATATGATGCAATCTGTGGTACACATCTAATCTTTACTCTAGGTACCTAGCCAGTTTTAAGAAAACATATGTGGAAGATAGCTATAAAAACATTTGTATTCTGTAAGATCTTTGATTTAAAGGCAAAAATTTTGAGGAAAAAAAATTGTAATTTGCATTCATTATAAAAATTCATATTTTGAGTTTTTGAGGTACATAAATCGAATATTGACTTTGTTTCTCTCCCCTCCTCCCCAAAAAAAACATTTAATGGGATCCTGAGATGTGTATATATATATATATATATATATATATATATATATATATATATATATATATATATATATATATATATTATATATATATATATATATATATATGGGGCTGAGGTAGCTGTGCGGGCTAAGGCGCTTGCAATAAGTAACCAAGTTGAGCAATGTCGAGAGTGGTTGGCACTTGGATGGGTGCCGTCCATCAGGGAAAGCCACGCTGCCCGAGACCCTTCCCTGGATTTGTGAGTCCCGTCAGGTTACTGTAGGCAACTCACACCGACCGGGCGTAGAACTGATGACCTTACCCACATGTACTATATTTGGCAGATATTTTTAGTCTTAGTACAATATTGTACGTAGATATGTGGGAATAAATATATTTTTAGGGAGAAACAAAAGTTAATATTTGTTTTTCACTCATTGAAAAACCCACCAATACAAATTTTTTTTTTCCAAAGTTGGAGTCTTCCTTTTTTTGAAAACCACCAAAAATTAGTTTAATTTCAAGAGAAGGAATCTTAACTTTTTTTTTTTCATCTCTCTTGAATTATTTTTAATAATTGTGTCACTCAACATTCATGATTATATTTTATTTTTATAATGGTATAAATATAAAATGTTGATTCATGGTAGTGATTTATATTTATAATTTTCTAATAACAATATTTTTTTCAGAATTTAGAGATGGTAAATCACTTATTCTTGTAGCAACAGATGTAGCAGCTCGTGGCCTTGGCAAGTTTTATAATTTAGTATATAATTCAGTAAATTATTAGCAATCATATGTTATCATTATTAGTATTTCTCTAATATTCCTATTAAGCACAAACAATATAATAATCAGTGATTTATAATCACAGTCTTCTTGAAATGTGCATGGGCAGAAACTTTACTGCTCTGTTGGAATAGTTTTTATAAAAATTAGCTTTTTCAGTCAGTAACAGTTTCACATAAGAACTGTGTGAAGAAATGTGAGGTTGTACTATCTGCCTTTTAAGGAGTGATAAATTGGGAAAGTTAAAACATCAATACTGCTTTAATTAAATCATAACTATATTTAAGTAAGAGAATTTTTTTTCTCAAATATTGATATTTCCAATGGTAGGGACCTCTGCTTAATAAGCCCTATTTCAACTGAAATGGAGGTATTGGGAAATTTGTCTTTTGAGGAAGGATAGCAAGCAGAAGTACAACAGTTGCGGGGGGCAGAACGGCCAATCGTGCTAACGGGGGTGGAAAATACACGTTGCCTGGCAACCTGATCAACCGAAGTTACACTGTCTTCCTACTCTTCTACATCCGAATATTTTTTTTCTAGGCGCAATTTGGGGACTTCATTATTATTCATATATGCAACATGCCCTGTCCATCTTAGAAGTCCAATATTTACCACATGGATAATATTAGGATCATTATAGAGACAAATAAGCTCAATGTTTCTCTTCGGAGTCCATACACCATTGATAAATGTAGGCTCTAAAACCCTTCTTAAAATGTTTTTTTCGAATCTCAATAGAGATGATTCTAGTGCTTTTGTCATTGTCCAGTGGAAAATAATACTTTTAATAACCTTCAATATCAATTTACTAGGTATCTCATATCTGATTATTATGGTATCTCAATTTCAATTGAGAACTAGGGAAATAGACAAGGGAAGCATTACAGAAACTAACAGAGGGGTTTCTGAAACTTATATAATTACTTCTGAACGAGCCCCATTTAAAGATAACTAAATTTTTTTGGTTATTATTAATGTCAAATGGCAACATAATATACTTTTTTCAGCTACACAATTTATATATTTCTTGTTAGGTAATTTTTAAGGTCCAATTTAATATTTTTCTAATATAAATAAAATATACCAGATATGTTTTAATAAATATTAATCAATTAACATCTTTATGATATAAAAAAGAATATATTCTTTTTTCAAATAGATTTACATTTATTTCAATATAGTTTAAAAAAATATTAATTTAAAAGTAGCTTTTAATCCTTATTTTTTAAATTATTTCTCAAACAATTTAATTTCATTGATCATATTTTTTTAGATGTTGAAAATGTCATGTATGTGATCAACTATGACTTTCCAAAAAGTTCAGAAGATTACATTCATAGGATCGGTCGTACTGGCCGATCAAATTCATCGGGAACAGCTTATACATTCTTTACCTCTGCTAATCAAAGACAAGCTAAGGATCTAATATCAGTATTAGCTGAAGCTAAACAGCAAATAACTCCTGAATTACAATCCATGATATGGTTTAATGGTCGGAGAAATGCTTTTTCAAATGGTGGTAACAGTTTGTATATGATCTGATTATTTTTATGTATTTATTTTTAATATAATGGAGACTTTTCAGCAAAGCCGTTGCATAGGTTGTTGGTGCTCCACATCAAACTGTAGCCTATTTTCTCATGTTACCGAGTTATAGGTTCTCATTATATTTTAATGAACTTTTGGGCTTCCACCAATATTCAATAAATTTTGAATCTTTAGCCAGCATATAATTTTTTTTAACTACAGCAATGGGAACTGAGGCTAAATAATAATTTCTACTCAACAACGTGTCCTGAATAAAAGTATTCTTCTTCTTCCTCCTATGTGCCTTTTAGTGTGGAGAAGCCTCCAGCCACTTTGACCATAATCCCTGTCTCTTGCCCATTCCTTCATCTGACCTAGGATTTTTCTTCTAGCCTCACCTAGTCACTGGATATGTTCCAGATATGTTCTTCTAGGCCTACCCCTTGTGTCGTGCCAGTTGGCCTCACTTCCAAGCATTTCCATGGTACTCTGCTTTCTTCCATTCTACACATGGGCCCATACCATTTAAGTTGCCGGCATTCTATAGTTGCTTTCAGGAAGGGTATCAGGAGTTCCTCTCTTATTCTTTCATTCCTCACTTTTTCTCTCTTCGGTTTTCCCAAAATTGTTCGCAAAAATTTCATTTCAGCAGCCATAATCATGATTAAATGTTTGTCTTGGCTGACCCATCTTTCGCTGCCATATAGTAATGTACGGAGATATACTGCTAAATAGATGTGGAGTTTGACATTCCTTCCTACATCTCTCTTTCCAATTGTGTTGCAAATCTGGTAATATATACTGTTTGCTTCCTTTATCCTGTTGGAAACTTCTTTTTCTATTTACCCAGATTTGTTAAAAATTGTTCCAAGGTACGTATAATAGTCTACATTCTTCAGCTCTTCTCCAGTGCATGTCATTCTTATATTTCCCACATCCCCTCATCTCTTGCTACAGTCATGACCTTACTCTTGCGGCTATTGATACTCATTCCTCAATGAGGGAGTTTTTCCATTCTATAATGGCCTGTTGCAGTTTTTCTTGAGAATCCGTCACCAGCATGATATCGTATGCATATAGGAACACCTGCACTTGAACTATTCTCATGTTCTTCCACATGTCTACTACAGTCCGAGCAGTTCTTCTTCTGCATAGTTTGTGGATTTCGTCCATAAAGATGGTAAACAACAATGAGCTCAAGCTGCTGTCTCTCTGTTTCACGCCTCTCTCCTTCAGAAATGGCTTGGACTCTCGGCCACACATATACGCACTATTCCTTTGGGCCTTCATATGTAGATTTTATTACTGCCAGAAAGTCCTTGGGAACACCCTTTCTTCCAAGTGCTCTCCATACTTCACATCGGGATACTGAGTCGAAGGCAGTTTTCAAGTCTAAGAAAGCGATATATATAATTCGATTTCTATTTCATGCCTTTTCTACAATATTTCTGAGAGCAAATATGTGGTCTTGTGTTTGTCTCCCTGGTCGGAAACCAGCCTGATCTTCTTCTAATTCTGGTTCTATCAGCCTTAACCTATTTTCTAATATATTGGTGTAGATTTTGTAGGTCACTTGGGATAGGGAGATAGGCCTGTAGTTGCTACATTCAGTTGTCCTACCTTTCTTATAAATTGGCATTATGATTTTGTATTTCCAGTCCTTTGGGATAACCTTATCATCCCATATCTTCTGAAAATGTACTTGCAGTGATTTTATCATTTCATTTTCTCCATATTTAATAAACTCTGAAAAAATGGCATCCCTGCCTCCTGCTTTGCCTAGCTTCAGTTTTTCCAGAGCCCTTTTTATATTATCCTCCCAGATAGTATCATATTCATCACTTGATTGATCTCTTCCTCCTGTTCTTGAGTTTGTCTGAGAACTGTGAAGAGTAATGCTGCCTCCTCTATCCAAGATCATGTCTGGGTCTGTGATCATATGTCTGCTTTCATCTTTTATATTTCCGATCTCTTTGGACGTTTTTCCCTTCAGTGCTTTTACTTTTTTCCAGAACTTCTTTATATTTTCCTTATAGTCACTGTCCAGGCTTTTTCCAAATTCTTCCCATGACTTTTTCTTGGCCTCTCAAATAACACGCTTAGCATCAGTCCTCCACCTAACACACTCTTCCCAGTTCTGTGGCGTACGGTTCATCAGGTATGCCTTCCATGCCATTTTCTTTCTGTGTATTGTTTCTTTGACCTCCTCGCTCCACCAATTTGTGCGTTTATATCTGGTGCTTATTTTCTTCACTCCACATACTGACCTTGCTGATTCAAGTATGCTATATTGTAGAAACTTCCAGATTTTTTCCACAGTCCCATTATGATCTAACTTTTCCAGTTTTGCTTCTAGCCATGTCTCATATTCTTGTCTTTTCTGCATCGAATCAAGGGCTCTCACGTTAATCTTCTTGTATGCTTTGAATGTCATGTTTCTAGGATTCATGATCTGTGTGTGGAATCCAATTCCAATCCAATTGGAAATTGGCTGTTATTATCCAAGCCGAGACGGCCTCCCATTCTTCCGTTTTCTTGTGTAATTCTTCCTTAATAACAAAGCCGACTCCTTCTTTAGCATGTTCTCCTTTAGAGATCCCTGAATAAATGAGAGTGTAACCCTTATCCAGACGCACTTCTCAAATTCCTTTCTTTTTCACCTCAGATATACCAAGAATGTCTATCCTGTATTTTACACAATAGTACACTGCACATTTATACAGACATTAAGGACAATAACAATACACACCCTAGGGTTATCTCCTCTAGGTGATAGCCGGCCAAGGTGAATTCAGTAGTAGACCTGCTGTCCTAGGGCCTAAGGACCTTCCTGCCAGGCCAATCACCCCGATGGCAGTATTAAGGATTCATAGAAGTCAAAGAAACCGTGGAACTGGACTGATAAATCGGAAACAATATAGAAGGGAAAAGGACTTCAGAATTGGTACTTAGAATATAAAGACCATCGTGGGTAAGGAAGTTGAACTCATGGAGGACATCATAAAATAAAGGAAATAATAAAAGTCTCAAAGAAGAAATAATGATCAAAGATGGAAAGAAAAGAATCAGAAAATGGAATGAGGATAGATCATGCTCTGTTATCAAGAATATCTTGTTCTTTATATTTTTGGCTGTGGGGCACTCTTGGCTACAGTGCCAAGGTGATCACCCTGGTCACCCCACCCATGCAACAGCTCTGTCTTTCAGATTATTCAATAATCTCAAATACAAAATTAAATGTATAAGTAGTAATTATATGAAATAATCTTCCCCTATTTTATACAATGAAAAAATAACATTTTTTTTTTTTTTCTATTCTTACCATATGCTATGTACTTTCTATATATTACACATTCAACAATATTTTTGACCAATACCATTGCAAATGCATTTATCCAAATTTATAAACCAACCATTTTGAACTAATCTTAACAAAAAATAAATAAATAAAATACGAAGTTAATTTGTACTGCCAAATACAAAGATACGAAGAAGTAAGACCAGTGTGTCAGAAATTTATTTTGTCAATGTTATATAATTATTTATTGTTACATCAGCCATGCCATGAGTCAACTCTGGAATCACGGGACCCTCTTAAGGTACACCTAGCCTCTATAAATTTTTTTTTTCTTTAACTAAGGGAGAAAACTTGAGGGCTGGACATGATCTTGTCATCTCACTTCTTTTCCCTTCCCCTGACCAAGAAAAAGCACTCGAACTCAAGACCCTTCCACTGTGCAGGAAACAATGGTTCCTAGCCACATGAGATTATGTAACCACCTCTCTCTTCAAAGCTATGCATTCTCCCACAAGCAACATAAATCTGTAAGAAGAACAAATTATATGATCAAAGATGGTCAATAGTGCCTACTGGGGATAAAAAAAAAATATGCATAAATAATTAGATTAATTATCCAAATTTATAGGTAAAACAATTTATGTTTGTTAAATGAATAACTTATTTCTGTTCTGTTAAACAGGGTACAAGAACATTGCACACAAGGACTCAGACCAGTTGGTTTACCTTGAGAATCCAATAGATGATTTATCATATAAAACTAGTGAGGCTACTAACAGCTGTAACAATTACTACTGAAATTGTTTACACACCTCATAATTGTTTAAACTAAATATATTTGTAAAACTATTGTCAATTGTTCTAATGTCAATTTGACAAAAATATGAAGTTAGTTTTTTTTTTATTTTGTAATACACCATTTATTTCCACAATAAAACAGATTCAAATGCCAATCTGACAATTTATCTAATATACTTTACTTGTGTAAGTCAATATATTAGTTATGTATATTACCACCACAATGTATAACTTACAAATGTGAACATAGCTTTTTTCCAAAAAAAGTTATTTACATTTTACTTTCCCATTGCAAATCATTTTTTTCATCTCTTAGTTTTTTTACTTATCTGCATTTATAAGATTTATTTTTTTAAAAAGCTTCTCGTAAATTAAAAAAAAAAAACAATTACTTTTTTACATTCATTACTAAAACACAAAAGTGATAATGCATATACTTTCCTAAGGTTTTAAATAGATCATAGTTGTCTATTGATATATTTATACAAAATATATTTATATCCCATTAAGTAGACTCACAGGTGATTGCACTTATTTGTTGGAATTATTGCAGGAAACTGATGTAGGTAAAGTTTAAGCAAAATGTAATGGCTCTGAAATCTTTGTATTTTAAAATTTACAATGGAAAAATAGATGATGTAGTGTTTTAATATGATCCCTTGCAGTGCCTGGGGCTGGGCATCTTGGACAATTCCTCTGGATCATTGACCTGAAGAAGGGTGCCCACTCCTTTGGAATAAAATAAAAGTTACGAAGCATATGAGAATAATTAATTATAGCCTATTAATAATCAAACTAGATTAGAAACATTTAAATGAAATAAAATTGAAATATTACTTAATTTAAAACAGTTTAAGAAATAAATTTAATGTCTTGAGGGGAGATGACATTATTGTCTGGGCTCACCCACCATATGTGTCTAGCTTTAGACATATGGCTCCTCTGGACAATAATGTCACTAGTCCCTTTTGTTTCCTCTCTTTCACCAATCTATACACATTACAGTTTTGGTTCTGGTCACCTCTTGATGTTAGTGAGGGAAAAAATGTGAGAAATAAATAAAACAAAAGTATTATGTAAATTCAAAAATATTCATCTTTAATCTCTGTATTATGTTAATTCTAAATCCTTACTTCTGAAGGAAGCCTTAGAATTCATGTAGGTTTAAAAAAAAATTTACTCTGAATTGAAAATTTCTGATTGATAACGTTTTAAACATCAAGGTACAAATTTGGTTCCATGTTAAATCCATTTTGTCATATCACTATTTCGAGCACTGAATGTATTCAAGATAGACTTGAATACATTCAGTGCTTGGAACACGCCCTGATGATGACCCACACGTTTGGGTTGAAACGTCGGCGCTAATAAAAACCTTAAAAATGACTCCATCCTGACTGTTTATCACCTATGATAAGTAGAACAGTCGACTAACTTCTTTTAATGAACACTATTTACTATTTCAAACGTTAATACAATATTAGGAGTATTAGTTTTGCAAAATTTTAATATACATAGTATAAAATCATTTAATATAGTTATCTGAATTTGTAAAAGAGTGATTTAACAACTTTTAAAAAAGTTCGTAAAAAAAACATGTTTTAAAATATTCCGTGAATATCACATATACATATTTCTACTTCTTTGGAATACAGTATTATTGGTAGAGGTTACAAACATAAACAATATTAGAAATTAAATTTTTGATATGTTTATCAAATTTTGTTAGAATGCCATTGGACATAACAAGACTCACTGATGGTTGGTTGGAGCTGGAAAGTGATCCAGGTTTATTCACTTTATTACTGGAAGATTTTGGAGTGAAAGGTGTACAGGTAGAAGAAATATATGATCTTCAGAAATCTCTGGAAGGGCCCGTCTATGGTTTCATATTTCTTTTTCGGTGGATTGAAGAACGGAGATCAAGAAGAAAAGTTGTCGATCAAGGTGAAATTTATGTTGATGATGAAGAAATTGTTAACAACATATTTTTTGCTCAGCAAATGGTTCCCAATAGCTGTGCTACTCATTCATTGTTGTCTGTGCTCTTAAATTGCCCAAATATTCATTTAGGATCTACATTAACACGTCTTAAGACTCATACAGTTGGTATGGATCCAGAAAACAAAGGCTGGGCAATTGGTAACACTCCTGAATTAGCAAGAGCTCATAATTCACATGCTATGCCACAGGCTAAAAGACGACTTGATAAATCTACAGGTGTTTCTACTGGAAGGTATTGTTTATTTAACTATTCTTAAAATATACATTATTATTCGATAAGATGCAAGTTTTTATGTGGGATCTTTGAATTCTGTTATCTCCTGAGTATTCCAATGTAGATCCCAATTTCATGTTGATTCCGTGACTGCCACAATACCATTCAGAATTCTTTAATACAAAGCTAATTTAATTTAATCATATAGTACTATGACAAATAATGCTTGTAAAGGAACATTGAGACAAACCTAATTGATATTTTGGGCAGTTACCTTGTACAAGATAGTTTTGTAAATGGCATCCTAAGCAATAACACAAAATACAATCTTTTAGTTGGATGTTGTGCTAAATTTTATTTTATATTTTAAATTTTATGAACTTACTCTTACTTTTCATTCATGACCAGAACGTACTTTATTTACTCCATATGCTGGTGAAAACTGTCAGATCGGTTATAGTATGTAGTCCTCCTAGGTCAACCTCTGTCCAAGACATTTCCTTCTTCATGTAGTGTCGCTCAGGATTCATCTTTATCCCCCATTCGGTTTGCTATTTATATAAATGATCTTCCCCTCCTCATCTATCATTCCCAATACAATATATATGCTGCTGATTTCCAAATTTTCCTGTCCATCCTTCCTTTCAATTTATTATCAGACACAAATTAACTCTGTTCTCACATAATAATCTCAAATATTCTATCCTACTATTAAAAACCTTCAATTAACCTTTGACCAAACTCTTTCCAGAAAAAAACAATCCTCCGATATCTCCTGTTATTATGTCTTTCCCCTTTTAAATTGACTAAATAACTTTTGTCTCCTATTTCCATTTGAAACCTGTTGGCTCCTGGTCACTTCCTTAACATTACTCTTCTATAACTGTTGTACGGTATACGGAGATATATCTAGGGTATCAAGGTAAACTAAAATGATAAATTGCTTTTTATTCATCTTCAGAATCTCTAAGGATGCCTCTGAATCTTGATTTTATAAAGAGTTGATTTTATCTTTCTTTCTGTTGTAAGTATTTCCTGGCATCCTTCCTTTATCAAGTTATTCATTCCTGTTGTTCCACCGTACAATCACCAATCTATCAATTGAAATCCTCTGTTCGATACTGCAATACCCATTCTCGGTTTTCAGATTTATATAGAGCTTTCTGATTTAGAAATGAACTTTATAAATGGATGCAATTTTTTTTTAAAATTATGTACATACATTATTTGTTCTTTATTAATTATTATTATTTTAGGTTTGTTTTATTTTTTTTCATAAGTTATAAAAAATATAAGATACCATATTATTTTTACTTTTATTTTTTTCTACCTAAGGCTCTGAAGTTCAGAATTCTTTTCCTTTAATATTATACTTAATGAACTTGTTCCAGAATAAATGAATAATTTATTACTTAACGGCTTTAAAATTCATATGTGTACATATGCTGTTTAAGTGATTTTTTATTATTTCATTTTTTTTGTCTATTTTTTGCATATTTTTATTATTTCATTTATTTTTATATATGTTGCAATGTTTTGTAATGTTTTTTAATTATATGCTTTTATTTTTTTGGTCTATTTAATAGATATCTTGTAAAATAGAAGTATTTTTTTATTATTACATTTGTTTTTGTTTTTGTTCAAAATTTCAATAATATCAATACAATACAATAAATATGAATACAAAGATATTATCAGTGTTAAGGTTATAAACATTGGCAGATAGCAGTCCGACGCTACCCGCTATTATACAAGTACCCAATTAAGAGCCAACTAACATTTTTGTGAAACTGAGTTTTACAATTTCATTTCACTTGAAAAACCCAATGTACAACATTCCTCTATATCACTTATCACTATCTGATATAAATAGAGCCTTGTGTTTTTATTCGTCCATTCTTGAAAAAATGGTCAATTGGTATAGTAAAACACTTCTTCAGAAAAATGTTGGTTGCTTCCTTTTTGCAAATTAAGTTTATATTATCAAGTGTTGCAGTTCATATTATTGGTAATATTCATTTCATATGCAGTCTAAACCATGAAATCATACTTCCTCCCATATTAGAAAGTTTTTTTATTCTGTATATTTTAGTTTATTTGGAATTTAGTGGACTTTTAACTATTAACTGTTATTTTTTTCAGTAGGTACACAGGGGAAGCATTTCATTTTGTCAGCTTTGTTCCGATCAATGATAGACTTTTTGAATTAGATGGTCTTAAACCATATCCTATTGACCATGGACCATGGGCTACTGGAGAAGAATGGACTGATAAAGCAAGAAGAGTTATAGCAGACCGATTAGGTGGTAAATACAATGACATACGATTTAATCTTATGGCAGTGGTACCAGATAAGAGATTAGCCTTACAACATAAATTGAACATGCTTCGAACTAATCGGTACGTGATCTAGTTACTGCATATTTCTGTACTTATAATTTTATTTCATTTTTTTTTTTTCAGATCCTTATTTATATTTTTATTTATAACTATACTATCCAAGAAATCATTCAAAAATGTCTATTACACTTTTTACAAAAATAATATCTTCATATTATGTTCCAGTAATCTATGCTCTCTGGCTTTATTAATTTAAATCTCTTCCAGAAATTCTATTCCTTCAAATTTTCATCTATCTTTAATTTCTTTACCAAGTTAACAGTATGCTATTATTCATCACATTAGCTGTGAATATTAATTCGATTAAAGGAATATAGTTTTTAAATACTAAAATGTTGCATTACTCTGTCTACAAATCCTTTCAATAATTAAGCATGCATAATTTTACTAGATAGTAAACTATATATGCCTAATTTTTAAGTTTATTATAAACAATTTTGTTTTTCAATTTTCAGACAAATAGTTGTAGATGCACTGCAGCAGTTAATGAATGATAAAGGAAGTAAAGAAGATGAGATATCCGTTGTAATTGGATCTGAGGTCAAAGACTATGCGTCGCCAATAATACTTCAAACAGCTGAAAGTGAAGAAAACAAATTTGTGGTAATAAGGGTTGCTAAAGAATCACAAACCCCAGATAATTCCTTGGCACCCAAGGATTTATTAGCACTACTAAAAAATTTGGATTCTGAAGTTAGTCTGTGTGAAACATCTCTGAGAGAAGAAAATGATAAAAGGAAGAAATATAAAATTGATGACTGCCGAAGGACTCATAACTATGATGAATTCATTTGTACTTTCCTATCAATGCTCGCAGAACAAGGAAAACTTGCTGATCTTGTTCAACCTGCTGTAATACTTCAGAAGAAAACTGTTCCAATGAAAGTTGTGCAAAAACTGAAACGGCAGGATAAAGTAGGAAAAAGAAAAATAAAGGGAAGAAGAAAAAAGTAATGACTTATGATTTACATTTAATTACAAAGAACTGAATTTCTTTTTATACTGAACATGGAAGTATGTTTGCTATTCTATTTTTAAAATTGATTCAGTAAAATAATGTCATTAATGAGAGGGTACACTTTCACAAAAAACTGATGAATGTCTGTTCGCTCATCAATGAATGAATCTTAAGAAAGAATGGATCACAAAATTTTGTTGGATTAAATTCTCCTGAGAGATGGTACATACTTTGGATAACAAGTTGGGCACTTGTGAAGAATCCGGTTGGGACGAAATCTCCCTTCTTATCTTATCTTATGTCACATAACCTCCCTTCTTATCTTGTGTAAGCTGTTATCCTGTTACATGTCAGTTATTTCATTGTTTATTGTTCATTGTTGTTACATTGTAGGAATTGTCGTCTTCAGAAGAAGAAGAAGCTACCAAATATTTTCAAAAGGCTGGGATAATTCCAATGGTAAAATTCTGTGAAGAAAGTCATGAATTGAAGTTTGACAGGAAGATGAAATGGAGATGCTTTCGTAACAGTTATAAAAAAAATGTATCTTTAAGAAAAGGAACGTGGTTAGAGGGGTCGAAGATTACCTTTTCAATTATCAGTGTTCAGGTTATAAACATTGGCAGATAGCAGTCCATGCCGTCCGGATTCTTCACAAGTACCAAAAGTTGTATCAATGTAAGGTTCTAATGCTTTTATTGATAAAGTTGCTAATAATAGCCTTTGCATAGATCAAATGCATAATTTATTTAGTTGAATAATTATTTTGCATCTATCCTATCTGACTAAAGACTGAGCTAAAGTTTAATAATATTGAATGAATATTATTCTTAATTAGGTTTAATTTACTTTAACTAAGGCAGGAATAATGGATTATCACTTGGGTAAACAATCTATCCCATCCATAATGTGAAGATTAAGAATTATAAAATGAGTTTCTCCAAGATGCAACTCAACATCCATAAACAAGATTCGTTTTGGCCCTGCTGCTGACTTAATTGTCCTGTTCTACTCTTTTTACATCTTTGTTACCACAGTCTCTGATCAATATCTGTATTGATTTTATAAAAGTTAATACTTTGTGTATTTGTTCTTTTAAGCCTACTAACAATTCTATATAGTTAAATCAACCTCATTAGATTGATAGATGTGAGGTTTATCAATTATTTATTATGATCTGACTATTTTTGTATGAACCTTGATATACATGGATTCAGTAGGGTGAATAAAAATTCTGTAGAGCAAATCATTGATGGAAGAGAAGTTATGGTCTCACATTACAAGAAATTTTTTTTTTTTTTTTTTTGTCTGAAGCAAATCCTTTACTTAATACCTGAATGTCTGTCACTGTCTCTTACTCTCATTGTCAGTTGTACTGATGTGGGAAAAGCCTTAAATTTCTCTTCAGTCGTAATTGGTGCTCTCTACCTTGATCAAGGTGCCATTTGAGGTAATGTGTTGCCAGGTTGAGTTAAGTAAAGTATGGCTGTGCATAGAATTGTTTAATGAGATGATTTATTTTATATATACTTTGTGAATATTGAGATTGATCACTTATTATATTGCTGTTGAGGCAGACTGTTACATAATGTATTTAATAAAGGATATTTAAAAAAACCTGAATTTTTTCCTAAATATTTGTAACCTATTGAAAAGACCCAAATTTTTAGTTATACAAGTGATCACTGTAAGGTTGACAAAAAAAAAATATATATATAATAATAATAATTATAATATATCATTAAAATGAACATATTAGTTCAAGAACTCGTGACAAAAAAAATGTCATATTTCATACTAATCTTTGTCCTTTTAAATTGATCATATACACAGGCCTGATGGGAAATATGCATGTCTGCCAGCATATAGCCGCTCTAATACACAATGTCAGCCATGTGAATATAGATAGAGACCCTACATAGGTTGTAAGCATATATATATATATATATATATATATATATATATATATATATATATATATATATAGAGACAGAGAGAGAGTGAGAGGGGGCTTATAGATATATATAAAGCTACCGACCTTTTCAATTTATAGTCTTAAGACATGAAACAATGGTCAGTTACCCCATACCCGTGGATTTCAAGTCAAAAATTTAAATTTACAATTAAAAAAACTTACTTTTTTTGTTTTTTCACTTATATCAGTGAAACTATGAAATTAAAACTGACAAAATTTGTAATAGAAATGGTTATATTAGTTTTTCTGCTATATTCTATGCTTTATGTGATACTCATCCTTGTAATTTACTAATTTAAAAAAAAAAAAATGTTTGCATCGCATTTCTATCATTATTTGACTCTTTATCTTTTCATTTTATGAAAAAGTCATGAGGAAGAAATTTGTTTAATATTAAATTTTCTTTAAGAATATATATATATTGCTTTATTATCTTGTCCTCAATTATCCAAAAGCTAGAGCAATTATAACTTAATGATTAAACTCTGGAACTATACAGAAAAACTTACTTTTCGTAGTTTTCAATATTACACAGTTATTATACTGTATATACAACAACAAACATTTGTATATCTTACATAATATACATTATATATTATGTACAGATTAATAACGAAAATTGTGAGAAGTAAGTTATTGTATAGTTTCAGAGTTTAATCATTAAGTTATAATTGCTCTCTAGCCTTTGAATGGTTGAAGATAAGATAGTAAAGTAATTTATATTCTTGAAGAAAATTTAATAATATTAAACAACTTTTTCCCTCATGACTTTTTTGTAAAATGAAAAGATAAAGAATTGGCGAGTCGAATAATGATAAAAATTATATTTTTTTCAAAATTGGTAGTTGGTTGACTGTCGTGGATAATGAAGAGAAGAATAGTTGGGGTGGTCAGTCAAAAAGGAAGGAAGGAATTTCTCATACCTTGTTATCTGGTTATTTTCTTAGCCCTGATGAAGGCCTGAACTTCTGGTTGAAACGTCGGCATATGTAAAAATAAAAATTATCATTTATTTTTGCCTTCCTTTTTGACTGACCACCTCAACTATTCTTCTCTTCATTATTTTTTTCAAAATTTGTGAATTATGAGAACGGATATCACTATAGTGTATATATATATATAGGAAACTATAGAATATAGCGAAAAAACTAATATAACCATTTCTATTGCAAATTTTGTCAGTTTTAATTTAATATATGACATTATTATAGATAGAAAGCATAGATTCACTGATATAAGTGAAAAACCAAAAAAAGTAAACTTTTTGAATAGTAAATTCAATTTTTCGACTTGAAATCCACAGGTATGTGGTAACTGACTATTATTTCATTTCTTAAGACTGTAAATATTATAAATTGAAAGTATTTATAGCATTATATATCTATAAGCCCTCTCTATATATATGCCTACAATCTATGTAGGATCTCTATCTATCTTCACATGGCCACCATTTTTTATTTCAGCAGCTATATGCTGACAGACATGCATTTTCCACATCAGGCCTGTGGATATGGTAAATTTATAAAGACAAACCTTGATATGAAATATGAAACCTTTTTTACTACGGACTCCAGGACTATATAGCCCAAAAAGGGAAACAAAATAATTAGGATATAAATGGAAACATCCAAACTATAAAGCCATGAGTTTTTTTTTTTTTATCACCCTCTATCTACCTCGCCATTTATGACATATGAGGGAGTTATTCTATAGGTATAACCAAACCTATTCTAACTAGAGTGGGAAGGTTGAAATTAATTCCATGGGTCCTCCATGAAATAAATTTCAACCTGTCCAGACCAGATTCAAACAGGTGTTGCTAGACTCGAGAATGTTTAAGTTTATGCTTTTAACACGCTCGGCTATCATGACCTCAAGCCATGAGTCTCTAACATAAAGGCGAATAGTAAATCTGCCTATAATAATTATTATGTATTATAATTTTAAAAAACACACGCTTATCATACTTGTACGTTTATTGATATCAGTATCAAATGTTTTGTGTATGAAATTAATGAGATGATTTGAAGTAGACTGGAAATCACTCTACTTTGAATCAAAATTATTTTCTGGCGGTGTTGGGCTAGGACAAAATTTTTGAAGTGAATTTTGAACTTAAATGTATTTATGAGCTAAAGCCTAAAAAATTATTAAGACCAATAAAATAACGAAAACCTTATTTATTATTCTTTTATTTAATTTTCTTGGAAAAATGTGATTTCCATTAAATAATATTAATCTTCAGAAATTATTTTTATATATTTTTTTGTCACTCTCCATTAACTTCTCTGACTTTATATATTGGATATTGTTTTTTTTTCTAAAATTCTCCGCTTTCCAACAGTATATTATATATAAACCTTCTAAATATTATTTCCGAAGATTAATTTTCGAGCTAAATAACATTTTTTATTTTTTCTCCTTTATTGAATTATCAAATTCTTTCAAAAGTTATATTTAGCATTTTTTCATAACTCTTAACTTTGACAGATAGTCAATTATTTAAAACAAACAAAATTAAAGGTACTTTAGAGGAAGACATTTTTAACATTTGGCATTTAATCCCTGTTAAGCTAAATCAATGGAGATTAGAACTAAATGATATTAAAGGCCGTTTAATTATACATTGATACACCAGGGTTAATTTAAAGCCTTTACTGAGGAAATCTTAAAAATATGTTAAAGCAATGCTATGAAGTGGCACTTCCTGTTAGCCAATGTTGACAAAAAACTTGCTGTGACATTACAGTAATATACTTACCTTAAATATGTATTTTCAGTTTCGTATGACTCTTCGTTTTTGAGCTAGGCTACACACACACCATTTTGTGAGACTTGGTTCTTTGGACTCAGAAGATCTCAAAACGTGTATTTCTGTTTGAAAATTCAGATTCTGAAATTTTCCCGATCGCAATAATTTCCCTGACTCTACATTACATACACAGGGTAAGTAGAGGGAAATTTTCAAGAGCATGATAAAAGACATCAAGAGATACAAAAAATTTCATGTAAACAACTGCCCAATTTCCAGCAGAAAAGTATGAAATTTAAGAGTTGTGTTTGTTTAAGCGTCATGTTCTTTGTTAAATAGGAATCAATAAGTTAAAACATATTTAATTTAAGTAATTAAACGTTGCTTCATAGTAAACTAGTCAAAATTTAATTTAGACAAAAGTAGAGTTTGTCATTGTTAAAACTATTAAAAGAGGAATTTTGAGTGGCTAAACACTGCTAAGTTCCGTTTAAAAAAAGACATAATTTATTTGTGATTTTTTTTTTTTTTTTATCATCCTTCAACTGTACTACATTTACTCCACTTTTACAAAAACTTCTTCATTTAATAAGCTTGAAGTCCATATAAATTGAGCTTTATTAGGAAAAATTTTGATTCCCCTCAAGTTGTGTAAAGAAATGATGTGATTTTCTATCCAATCACCCAAAAGTACCCATGTTTTTAGTAAAAATGACTACAATTAACTAAGCTTGTCACTGCAAAATACAGCTCAATCCCTATGGTGGAGATTCGGGAGAAAAACACAATTCATAACCACTTTACATGAAAAATATTTTTAAAATCATTATTTCTATATTTATTAATAAATGTGTTTTTAGGCAATTATGGTTTTTACTATAGAATAGAGTAGAAGAATCAACTTTATTCTTGGACAAAGTCCCTTAAGAGTAACAATTTTGTACATAAAAATTAATATACCATCTGGCCAAAATACATATTACAATAAAAAAATAACTAAAAACTAAGAGATAACAGAAGTATTTACCTTATTACATTTACATTACAGAACGTGACTAGACATCTTTTCCATGCTAAAAAAGAATATATATTTATAAACAAATGATACATAGAGAAAAATGCAATTTTGTTATATGATAAATGGCTACCCATTTATTTCACATCATTTCTTTACACAACTTGAGGGAATCTCAAAATTTTTCCTGATAAACCTAAACTTAATTAAAATGGACTTGAATGCTTATTAAATGAATCAGTTTTTGTAAAAGTGGAGTAATAAATGTAGTACAGTTGAAGGATGATAAAAAAAAAATCACAAATAATTTATGACATTTTTTTAAACGGAACTTAGCTGTGTTTAGCCGCTTAAAAGTCCTCTTTAAATAGTTTTAACAATGATACATTCTATTTTCGCTTAAAGTAAATTTTGTCCAGTTTACTATGGAGCAATGTTTAATTACTTTAATCAAATATTTTTTATGATATGTGAAGAAGTTGGTCGGGGATGCGGTCAAATAAATACTGTAAACTAGAATAGTATTTTAGTAATTACGCTGACATTTTGACCCACTTTGTCTTCATCAGGGTGTGGTACCAGGCATTGCAGGAATTGCTGGTTTGTCTACCAACTGCTTCCTGCAGTGACTGATACCGTGCCCAGATAAGGACCTACAAAGTGGGTCGAAACATCGGCGTAACTAATAAAATACTATTCTAGTTTTTAGTATTTATTTGACCGCACCCCTGACCAACTCTTTCTCAAATTTTTTTTAAGTTATTGCTTCCTGTTCAACAAAAAACGTGACTTGCTTAAAAAACACAAATCTTAAATTTCCTACTTTTCTGCTGGAAATTGGGCTATTTATTATATAAACTTTTTTGTAGATCTTGATGTCTATTATCAACCTTTTAAATATTTAATTCTACTTATGGGACACCCTGTATAGGTAAGTGAAAGTAAAAAACTACATTTTTTGTATGTTAAATAGTTATCTTTGTTTAAATTAAATACATTATCAGCCGATTGGTTTAATTACTTGAATTAACATATAATTATTATTTTTAATGTGAGAGGGTGGCTCAAAAAATTAGTTTTAGAAAGTAAGGGTAGCAGCATTTATTATTATGCTGACTATTATCAAGGTTAGGAAATTCTGTTTCGAATAAAAAATTAGTTCTGCATAGGGAACAAAACAGAATTAATCACTTCATAACTTTTTTATTTCTTATTCCTCTCCTCTTTCAGATTTCCACCGTGAGTCTTCTAGCAGCTCGGGCTGTTGTTATTGACAACAGCTGTTATCATGTATTTTAATTTTTTTGGAGATATGATGGTTTTTTTTTAGAATAATCGGACAGGATCATAATCACTCCCTCTTCATCAGGTAGGTACTTTCCTGAAGGGTAGTTGCCAACTAATTCATTTGTGTAATTGATTTGCCATTTTAAAAAAGTAATGGATAATATAAATTACATGGGCTTATAAACGATTTTAATATTATTTGGATTCCTGTTTAGAATTAATTATTTATCAAATTATAGATTTGAGAAGTGGTTTAGTGTCTGTATCAAATACCTTTGATATAATGTACGGCAAGTTGCACCATCAAAATTGTTGAAAGGAGAACATTTTGTCGGGGTTTTCAATTTTTAAGAGAAGCACAGTTTGACAGGTTTATGAATTTTTGGAATTAAAAGATGTAAACCAAAAGACGATGCATTTTTTTTTAAGAAGAGGTGAGCAATAGAATATCTTGTAAATTTCCTTTAAGGCTTTATATGTATTAGTAACAATGTATCACTAAACATGGTGAAACTTGTATTAGTACTAACAATTTTAATAATAAACTATAATGAATTTGTTTACAAAATTGTACATTTATTTTTTAATAATAATTATTGAGTTCAAAGTTAACATACAATAAACGTAAATAGAGCTTTCTTTTCTCTTTCCAAAGTACTGCAATACCAAAAAATGATTCAGCCCTTTCTGATATACATCTGGGTTATGAAAGGTTTTCTAGTAAGGAGAATCGAAAGATTTGAAAGGAAAGCTCTCTTCTCGATAACTAGAGCAATCTGGGATCAGGGTACTAATGCATAGAGGACTTATCAAGAATTGCTTCCAGAAACAGGGCAGTCAATATTTCATGAAAGGAAGCATGTTAAATTAGGCGTGGCATGCAATCCATCAAGATACCTCTATTCGTCAATGAATGCCTCAGATCAAGAGCCCACATGGAAGTCCCAAAACCAGCTGGATTAATCTAATTCAGTAAAGAGGAAAGCAATAGTCCAAGATAGAGCTGGTTAGAGAAGGCTATTCAGATGACCTAAGATCTACAAGATCTGTAGAATCATCCAAAAGAAAACAAAAATTTGTTTTTGATAATAAAAATATATCTTGTAAAAATTCTTAAGACTGAATAAACAAACTTCACCATCTAAAATCTCCAAACCTGATCTCACTAATATAAGGTTGTAAAATTATTTAATAATATAGATATTTTTGACTTTAACAATTGTGAATTCTACATATACTAATAAAAAAAAATTAGACCACAAAAAAAGTCCTCTAAGAAAATGAAGTATTAAATTCTGCAATTTTTTATTTCTATAAAAATTCGTATTAAGAGTTTTAAAGGGCCATAAAAAGGGATATAACTTTCTTTTACATAATAAAAATTTATTTTGCCTACTTAACTAGAAGCGCTTTTTGGTTTTTACAATTTATGATTCATTATAACTCATTTAGTACAATAGTCAATATTTCTTTCTTATTCTGCCCAAAAAAACAAAATTATTGATATATAGTAACATAAAAATCCATACAAAGCAAAGGCAAAAATAAATAAATTATATTTTGTTAGAAATTATGTTAAAAAAATTTTCTCAGCCGAGATATGACTCTGACATTTTTGATGTATTATAACAAAAAAATATTTGGATGTAACTGGTGACCCACAGACTATATCCTGTCCTTGTTAGATCAATTGGTTTTTATATTTCACTAGTTAGTCTATTTTCCCTTCTTGAATATTTGTCTACTCCCTACATGCATTACATACCTCCTTCTTATTTTAATTATTAATATTTTTTTTAATATCCAAGCCTCATTGCAGATATAAATAGAGAAAAAATCGCGTAACCAAAACACCAAATAATTATACACCAAGAAGCACAGGCGGATTTACAGAGGGGGGGCTTTCGGTCTGAAGTCCTCCCCCTCCCCCAAAATGGGAAAATATAACCATGTTTTATGGAAAAATATATTAAAAAATTATCTCTTAAAGTATTATTGTTCGTGTAATTACATTTAAAAGGACTTCAGGAATCCCTTAAACACCATTTCATATAGATAGTTAGTTTCTTTCTTTTTTTACAAAGTTATTATCCTCATTTTTATGAAAAAAAAAGCTTTCAGGCTGAAGCCCCCCTCCCTCCCCCAAAAATTAAATCCTGGATCCACTAGTGCCAAGAAGTCAAAAGAAGAACAGTTTTTCCTCAGCTGTCTTGTTAACTTCAGAATCAGTGATAAAAAGAAGAAGGTATCCCATATTTAATTAGAATAGAAAGTAAAAGCTTGATCATACCAAAAGACAAAGAATTTTTCAAGATTTTTTTTTTAATTTGAAAATAAAATAAATTAATTTGATGTGAAATACTAGATGCTTTATTATTTAAGAATTCATTTCCATTAGAAGATAAAAATCAACATATCATCAGCACTAAGAATTTTTTTCAATCAGGATGCATTGTTAATAATACTTCTGTTTTCAAATTCCTTAAAAGTTTTCTAAAGATTCTTGTTGAATCTTTTACTTAGATTAGAACTTTTAACATTTTATTTACGGATCTCTCTCTCACTCACTCTCTCTCTCTCTCTCTCTCTCTCTCTCTCTCTCTATATATATATATATATATATATATATATATATATATATATATTAGTATATCTTGTAATTTTAATTATAGCTCCCCTACTGGACAAAAATGAATAATTATTTTGGAAGAAAAAACCAACAAACTAAATATTTTAAATTTTTTCTTCTTTTTTTGTAACGATGTAAGTATACTATATAATTTTATATTAAATGACTTTAAACTAATTAATTTCCAAATAAGATTTATATATTCAATGTAAATAACTAAACAAAGAATTACCATCAACATGAGTTTAAATATTTTGGAAAAATAATTGTTTTTAAAATACTAAATAAGATTCGATTGACTTTATAATAAATAAATTTAGTTAGGATTAGCTTTATTGTGTATTTATTTAAAGCTTCTTATAAAAGTAATTCCACAATAATTACAATAATCAGAATTGTTTTGTATATTTGCAAGTGGTGCCCTCTATGAAGAGGTGATTTGGTGCGTATCGATTCTCGTTGCTACTCTTTTCCATTCGGCTGTTCGTCGTGGTAAGTTCTCTTGAGCATCCGTTCAGTATTTAGTTAACATGTTTAGTAAGTTTTAATTTGTTAGTGTTATTTAAATAATTTTAAATAACACTAATCGGATCTATTCAGTTAGCATACCACGCTCTTATAATTTCTCTTGCATTTTCAGGTCGTATTTCTGTTAAGATCACGAACCTCGTTAGCAGAACATTTCTCCTTAAGAATTGTAACACACCTGTTTATTCCAGCATAATGTAAGTTGTTATTTATTACATATCTTATATATAATTGTTCTTGAGTCTTTAAAAATCGTTTAATGGTTATTCCTTACGATTTAGTTTAATACTTACTATTGCATCACGTGTCGCCATATTGGTCAATTACATATTTCCTTGCACATTGTAGGGTCCTAACTATTTAAAATGTAATTCAATGAAGGATTATTAGCTCCCGCAAGTTTGTTTTAAAAATTCATTCTAAAGTAATTAACGTTAATTTTTTGTTTTGTTTGTCTAGGCCATTCATTGTTTTAAATTTATGAATTGGAATGTTAGCTTTGTTTCTTCATGTAAATGAGTTTTTGTTCCAGAATCTTGTTTAGTTATTTATTTTAATGTTAACTTGTATTAATTCTGGCAATTAAGCATGTGACATCTTATAAACTTGGATGCATGGAGTACATGTGGCCCCTTTAATATTTTAAACATTTTTAAGTTTATACTTTTCTTTAAGTTATATCTAATTAATTGCTTCCTAGGAATGAAAGAATATGTGAATATTTAAAAATGTATCCTTTTAACCATATGCTAGATCATTATAACCTTCCTTGTAGGTTCTATAATTTAACCACCACATATATTAATTTCATTTTTTTTTTTAAGCCAAAATTTTCTTTTTAAAATACAAGTTCCTAGAAAGTAGATCCCTAATTTTAATTCTTCTTAACTTACAAATTGATAGGTAAATATAGAACTTAGAAGTAAGGTTATAATGGCAGTTAAAGCATGTGGTCAATGGGATAATAGGAAGTAATCTTGTTGCTTGATGAATTTAGCAGAAAATTACAATTATTTAAAATTGTCTACCATAAGCTAGAGTGTAAAATATTTAATAGGAATGTTTTAACTCAGATTTATGTACAATATTTTTTTCCCGTTTTTACCTTCACATGTGTCTCAAATTAGGAAACCTTATTGTGAATGCATGTGTCTATAACAATGATGTTAGTAGTAAATGTGAATCTAAGTCCCAGATTTTATGAAAGAATGCAGACGTATATACAATGCGCATTTCCTATATAAGCTATTTTGAAATTAATTTTAGCCTACTTTTAAACAGTACGATTATTTCAAAGTTTTTATTTATGATGTATTTATTTAACTAGTTATACGTTAGGTTTATTGAAAACTGTAATTAAAGATGATTTGTAAGCTTCAATGCCCTCCAAATCTGTTGTGAATTGTTCTGTTAATTAAATCTTAATTTCACCACTATGATGATCTTTTTTTTATTGTAATGATGCTCTATGATATTTTAACCCTTAAGAAGAACTGAGTGTGTGAAAAAGTTAAGTGGTTCTTTTTAATTTTTTGATATTTTTATAATTATTTAAAGATTGTGGATATTATACAAGTTCTTTTCCCTCCTAATAAAGCTTTAACATTTACTACCATTGTTAAGGATTCAAAATTATTTCTATTGAATAGTGAATTAAATTAATTTTCCTTGATTTTTTCATACTTAGCTGTGAATAAATAGTCCATCATTCAATTTCATGTTATAGGAAATATCAGTCAAACAACAAGAAAGGAGGATTTGGTGGTGGCAGTGGCGGCGGAGGAGGATACAAGAATGGAAGAATGGGGGGCGGTGGTTTTAAGGGCAGAGTGAATAAGAAAAATGACCAAGATAACTTTGGTAGTGGATTAAGAGCTGTAGATTGGGAAGACCATAATCTCTCAGATTTCAAAAAGGATTTTTATTGCCCTCATCCTAATGTTTTGAACAGACCATTTACAGAAGTTCAGCGTTATAGAGAAAGTAAAGATATTATGGTCAGGGGAGTCTCTGATCCCAGTCTCAACCCGATTCAATTTTTTGAAGAGGGGAACTTCCCTGAATATGTTGCTAATAATATTAAGTAAGTAAAATTCTTATTAATTATTAACATAAGAATTGTAAATTGTCAGTTCTTATATATATGTTTAGATTCTCAGTGCATCAATTCTGTCTTTAAAATGTTAAAACAATTTTAGGAAAATGGGATTTGATTTTCCAACTGCTATCCAAGCCCAGGGTTGGCCTATCGCATTGAGTGGGAAAAATATGGTTGGCATTGCTCAGACTGGTAGCGGTAAAACTCTAGCCGTAAGTTATAATTTTTTTTCTGTGGTCATTAATAAATAATAAATTAAAGTTGTATTTCAAGTATTAATAATTTTTTTTTATTATAGTACATTCTTCCTGCTGTAATTCACATCAGAAATCAACCTAGAGTACAACGTGGAGATGGTCCTATAGCTCTTGTATTAGCACCTACTAGGGAATTAGCTCAACAAATTCAAACAGTGGCTAGTCAATTTGGTGGTGCTTGTGGGCAAAAGTCAGTTGCGGTATTCGGAGGTGCTCCTAAAGGACCTCAAGCCAGGGATTTGGAGAGAGGAGTAGAAATAGTTATTGCCACACCTGGGAGATTAATCGATTTTTTGGCGAGAGGTCAGTTCAATATTTTTTTTTTTAAATGACCATTGATTTTTAATATTTTGTAATTCTGATTTTTATTACTACTATTCAATTTTATAGGTACTACTAACCTAAGGAGGTGCACCTATTTAGTTCTGGATGAGGCTGATCGCATGTTAGATATGGGATTTGAACCACAAATCAGGAAAATCATGCAACAAATTAGAGTAAGTGTTATATATGTTTCCTTTACTATTTTATAGATAATACTTTTACTATTATGAGTTCAAACCTCTGCACTTGGAACATTACCACTCAAAGTTCTGGTATTGTTAATGTTTTTCAGAGGGATATAAAACTGGTAGTCACCTTCGGTACCAGAATCAATATTCTAGGGCCCTTCCTCTAGGCTACCTACACTATGAATAATTAGATATAGTTTAGTTATATATTTATTTATATTTTTTTTTCATCTCTTATATTTGACAGCAGTTAACCATAATAGTAGATTTTTCTACCAATGGAGAAGAACTGAAATCGAAATATCAATTTTATCACATTTTATTTTTAAGTAAATAGAGAATCTTGAAATAGTGGAGTGATTAGCTCTTAGTGTTTCTTAGCTAACAAAAGTGTGTTGTGTATATATTTAATGTCCATTTTTTGTAGAATACTCATAAATTTTTATTTTTCAAGGAATGAAATTATAAATAACTACTCTGTTTTGGTTGGCAAAACAGCTGTTATAGTTATTCCAACATTGATCTCAATGATATCTAAAGAAGTATGATGATGAAATTCATTGATAAAATTAATTGCTGAGAGATAAATATTGACTATATTTTTAGAAATTTACCTAATTTTTTAAGTCCTGTATTTTAAAAGCTTTCTCTTTTAATAGCCCGATCGGCAGGTGCTCATGTGGTCTGCAACTTGGCCCAAAGAAGTCAAAGCTCTTGCAGAAGATTTTCTTCAAGATTATGTTCAGGTAATGACTTGTTATATTATTTATGAAACAGATTATGAATTCCACTATTGTTTCTATTTACTAATTGCTCACTATTTGCAATAATTTTTTCAGGTGAACATTGGTTCTTTAGAATTAGCCGCTAATCACAATATACACCAAATAGTAGAAGTTTGTGAAGAAAGTGATAAACAATCTAAACTTAACAGCTTACTTGAAGAAATTGGAAATGAAAAACTTGAAAGAACTATTATTTTTGTTGAAACAAAAAAGAAAGTAGAAGCTATTGCCAATGCCCTTAAAAGAGTAGGGTAGGTATTGATTAAATGAATATATTGGTTCAAATTGTAATTTGTTGACAACTAAGTAATTCCTATGGGATGTATTTCAGGTGGCCAGCTGTTTGTATTCATGGTGATAAGTCCCAAAATGAGAGAGATTACGTCCTAAGAGGCAAGTATTACAATTACTTTAGTTTTATATGGTTACTTTGTTAATTCATATTTTATTATATTGTATAAAATAGTAGATAATTTTTAAGTATTGCATGATTTCAAATTAGTATCTAGATCCTCTTGACTTGGAACATTACCACTTACTATTACTGGTAATGTTAATGCTTATCAGAGGTATATCAAATTTTAGTAGCTACCTTCGGTGCCAGAATAAATATATTTTTGGTCCCTTCCTCTAGGCTGCTTACATTTATAACCTTAATAGAAGAAAACTTAAAGAATTATCGGTTTTCATAACAGGTTTTATTTTTGTTATCCTGTTATTTTTGTCATTTGCATTTGTCAAAATATATGTGTCTTGTAAGATTAATGCATTTTCTCTGTAAATTCTCATGACTAAAATCAGAGCCTATTATGTACATATTTCCCTTTTATTCATTCTTAAATATCAATAATGGTATGGTATGATTCACTGGCGGATCTACAGAGGAATTGAGAGGGAAGGAACTGGGCAGAATCCCCTCCCCCTTTTTTTTAAATTTCTCTCTCTTTAATGCATTCATAGATTTCTTTCAGAAACATTGCAAAAATCAGTTTTATTTTGTACTTTTCTCTACTAGTAATATTTTACCAGATCTGTTATTTATATGTGTCATCTGTTAAATTCCCAGCACATTTTAACAATAATGTTATTATCACAAATCATAGTAAGTTTCATTTTCTGTTTCAGATTTTAGACGAGGTAAATCATTAATCCTCGTTGCCACAGATGTTGCTGCCCGTGGCTTAGGTATGTTAGTCGAATTTCGACGACAAGTTATTTATCTAATGCCCAGAGGGTAGATTTCTCTGGGAATTTCAGTGTTAACTGACCGCTGATCCTAAAGGGCTAATTGGGGACAGTTTCTTTTTCGGTAATAAATCGGGCTGCTGGTAATATAACACGTTCTCTACAAGACCCATGTTTTAATTGAATGTGAGGATTTAAGTAATTATTTTTTTCAGTGCTTTTCTCACTGTATACTATATTGTTTGATTGGAATAAATTGTATTTAAGCAACAAAATTGAAAATTTTAAATGGGTCATCCAGGAATTTTTTTTCTTCACTTTTAATTCTTAAATTGAATAAGACCCCTTGGATTTCTGACTTAAGAAATGTAATATGCACTGTCAGAGGGAAATATTTAACAGACTATGAAAAGCACTTAAGTTATTCATATTAATTGGTGTTGTTCGTCATCTAATCTAAAGGTATAAATAATTTAACTTCAGGGATGACTAGTTGGTTGTGATAATTGTATGTCCGCTGGATTAGTTTAATAACTCTTGCTATTAAAGTTCATATAATATTTTGTCTGCCTCCGTTTTTACTGAAATTATTAAATTTGTAAACAATATGACGACAATTTCTACTAAATAAACTTAAATAATCCATTTGTTATTATCTTTCAAATAATGTTAAATATAATTTTTTTATAATAACATGGGAATAATGATGAACGTGTTTTCTTCGCATTTGTTGTTACAGAGGCACTAGTGCTAGCGCAAATTTTGAAAATGATATATAGAAAATATGCGCACATTGCAAGGGTGCCTCTCAATGCACAACTATTGTGCAAGTTTGTGAGAGTGTGATTTGCATCGATGATTTTCCAATGAGCTTGTTAAAAATATTTTCTTCTTAAGCCGAAAGCATTAGAAGATGTAACAGATATACAAAGGATGTATGTCTGGAAGCAATAAATATAATCAGGAAGATCAGAGTTAATCCAAGCTAATTTCGAAGGGCTTTTTGCACTCTACAAACAAACAACAATATACCAGCACCCTTACTGTTCTAGACCGAAGTCTCCTTTTAGCAGATCACAGGTTTGTTAATATCTTATTATTGTAAAACTTAAGTTGGGTTAAGTATTTTTTACTCCTTAACATTAAGTGCATGTTATATATAGATTATCCTCAAGGCATCTTAACGCAGTAAGTTTAACCTTATTCTGTAATTTTATTAAAACTTTTTTTGTGTATTTTAGATGTTGAAGATGTTATGTTTGTAATCAATTATGATTTCCCCAACTCCTCTGAAGATTATATTCATCGTATAGGCCGCACAGGGCGATCCAATGCCTCAGGCACTGCCTATACCTTTTTTACTTCTGCAAACCAAAAACAGGCCAGGGACCTTGTTGCGGTCTTAACTGAAGCCAAACAAAGCATTTCTCCTGAATTGCAAGCAATGACAAGGTTCTCAGGTGGTGGAGGTGGCTTTTCTCGAGGTATTCATTCCTTTTATTTTTCCTCATTTTATTTTACTTTTATTTTATGAAGAACCAGGTAAAATTTGGTTAATTGTATTTCAGTTAAAATTTTTTTTTTTTAAATTAAAAGAAACCAACAGAATTCAAATTGTAAGTTTAACATAAATGTTTCGAACTTGATCATGAAAAAATTGTAATTTGTCTCAAAATTAAACATTATTGGGTCTTAAAAGCAGGTCTCTCTATGTTTAGAAGGCATCTTCCAGGTCTTAATGTTCTCACTGAAATATTTGAAATAAACTTCATCTTTTTTCAATTTATAGAACACTACTAATAGGGTTTTGAAACCTACTTATTTTTTAATGATTCAAGTTTTATTGCGATTTTAATGATCGGAATAGGTTTGCATCAGAACTCATGCGAGCCGGAAAAAGTATCTGAGCATATTTCATTAGTTATATATATCTAGACATATTTATTTAATTTGGTTATGTAGCAGTATTATTGATTATCCTATTTTTCAACCAACATTAATTTTTAGGTTATAGAAATGGCACCTTCAAAAGGAATGACAAGTTTGGTGGTAGTCGCTTCAATTCTGGCTTCCAGAGGAATTCTGGTAGTTATCAAAGAAATTCCAATTCTAATGGCTTTGGACAACAGAATACCAACTATAAGAGATTTGACTATGATTAGTTTTTCTGAAGAAGAGAATTTTATCACTTGTGTAATTTATATTGTATATAAGAGATGCAGATTTATGCTGCAGTAAATAATTCCTAATGAATTAAATGTGATATTTTAGTGTTAATTTTTCACTTGATTAAAACAAGAGTTAATAAGCAGTGTCGTTGTAGACTCTACATTAATTTATGTTTTTTATCTGGATTATATAACTTATAAGTTCCAAATTTTTTTTTTTTTGTATGAGAAATTCATGATACCTTTGTATTTTATTTCACATTTTTCTTGTAGTATTAAACTAATTATAACACCTTATGTTGGAGAACTGTTCTGTTAACTTGAAAAAAGTAAAAAGGAAGAGTAACTTACTATTGATTAAACTTTTTTTTATGAAATTGTTTTATTATTTTCCTTCATTTGTTATTGACAACCTCAGATCTTACAAGGTAAAATAAAAGTGATAAAATACTGATTCGTCAGGACGAGATTATAAAACATCCTGTCAGTTAGAGCACGAAGATAAATGTTAGCAACTACTAGTAATGATACTATTCTAAATATAAACTAATTGATTTAATATAAAGAAATTAAATTAAATAGCTTTCAGTAGTTTAAGCATTCAGATACAGAACAAGGCCTTATCCCTTCAATGTGACTACAATGGAGCTATTAAGGAACAGGAGACTGCTTTTTTAGCCATTTCTTTATTTTATTCAATCATCCACGATTTCCTTATTCTAACTAATAATGCACTAATTATAAAGTAACTATACTAGTTGATTTATTGGAAAAATCCATTGCAATAAGCCCTTTGTGAATTAAATTGGTTGTTAAGTCCTTAACATTTTTCAAAAATGTCAGTTATATTCTAAAATAGTAATCAGGTTTTATATATTCTTAATTTCATCTAACTAATTTCACACTCAGAGGGCATGGATTTCAATTTCAATATTATTGGTGAAACAGGATTGTTTTGATAATACACATCAATTATGAGTTAAGGATTTGGATTAGAGGGGCTTCAGAAGATCCCGACTACCTACATGAAATGGTCAAGTGATTCTTGAAGCTCTGTTATATGTAATTACGTGAATAATAATGGTTTTTGCTTTCACTTTTATATATATGTAATATATAGTGAAGGTAAGTATTGTGATCGACAACATTTTTGAATTGAGTTTTCATCGGAAATACATGTTATGGAGTACCCTGAGTCCAAATAATCAAGTCCCGAAAAATGGTCTGTGTGTGTATGTTAGCAGTCTAGCTCAAAAACGAAAAGTCCTATGAAACTGATATTACGTACTTAGGATAGGTGCATGCTTTGGATGTCCGAGCAACTTTTTCCTTCAAATCTGCCAACCGGAAGTGCCACTTTGTATCAGCGGTGAAGCAAATTTTTACAATTTTCTCAAAAATAGTCTTAATGATTTTGATTAAACTCTGTTTATCATTGTATAATTAATTGGTCTTTAATATAATTTAGGTCTAATGCCCGTTGATGTCACTTTATAGAGAGAAGCGGAGAATGTAAAAAACAATATCTAATATAGAAAGTTGAAGAAGGTAACAGAGTGGCAAGAGAATTATAAATAATAATGTTAAAAACTAATAATATTTAACGTAAATCACTTGTTTTCAAAGAAAATAAATGAAATTTACTATCTAAATGGAAACTTTTAAAATATTTTCAAGTTTGAAAAAGTATTTAAAATCCACCTAATTAAGGCAATGACATTGGGAAGAATGGACATTATAGAAAGAAGACATCCAAGCACTTTAGGTTAAGGAAATTCATAATTAAAAAAAAATTACTGAAAATTGTTTGAAGAAATTTCCTTTTGTGATATTCCAACAGTATCCACTTACAATTAGTGTGACAACTTTTGACCTGTCTATGACAGGCAATGGAAATCTCTTAATTCCGTTTTAGTAAACTTAGCAATGGAAAATAACAGTTTAATAACTAATGGTCCTTCAAACTATATCAAAGGATGATATAATAAATAGGACTTTTGTTATTTTAATGGTATTTGTGATTTGTTAGCTGTAATTTTTTAGCTTTAGCTCGGTTAAAATGTAATTCCAAAATTTTATAATAGCCTAACATGGCCAGAAAATAATTTCCATTCAAAGTTGAGCGGTAAATGAAAGTTGTGAGTTGCGCGCTCCAGATTTTTTTTCTTAAGAAATAGTTATATTTTAACATTTTAGGAGGCTTCAGCATGAAAGCACCCCTCCTAGATCCCCTTTGGTTTGTATGGCCTGTTCCTATTATCAAAGGTTAAATTTAAGATTATTATAACATTGCAAATGGAAATAAAATCATTATTTCTGCAAATTTTCATATGATTTACAGTCTGATTTTGTTGCAAAAGAAAAAACCTGGTCTCACAAATTCCTTTTTATGTACAGGCTTCCATGGTCAACCTTCTATTCATTCAATCTCTAAGCAAGCTAGTATTAAATGCCTTTATGCCATTTCTGACTTGTCTGAAATGAATAATAAAGTGGGTGTAAAGAATTTTCCATTTTCCATTGGCTAAAAAATAATATAAAAATGTATGCCATACCTGCTTTTGAATTTATTAAGCCAACTCTAGGGGAATTAAAATCTACTTATTAAAGAAAAACACAGACCTTTCACTTAATATACTCCTAAAAATTGGACACCCTCCAGATCTCTGCTGCAAAAACCACATGTAAAAGATTCCTCAGCGTCTAGATGACTGCCTAGTTTTAATATTTTCCATTTGAGACACCACAATAGGATTTTCCAAATAGTAATATCTACAGGCGAGGGGTAGAGACTTTAGGCTGAAGCCCCCTCCCCCTTCCCAAAATGGTAAAATATGTTTTATGGAAAAAATTATCTCTTAAAGTATTATTGAATATTTAATAGTTGACCGTTGCATTATAAAGGAAGGAGATGGTCCGGGGTTGCGGTCATAAATAGGCTAAATAGTGGTAAAACTATTTAGCCTATTTATGACCGCAACCCCGGACCATCTCCTTCCTTTTTAAAGTATTATTGTTCATGCAATTGTATTTAATAGGACTTCAAGAATCACTTAAATTAAACACCCATTTCATATGGGTAATTAGTTTCTTTTTTTTCCAAAGTAATTTTTAAAAAACCTTTCAGGCTGAAGTTCTTCTTCAAAATTAAATTGTGGACCCACTAGTGGTAATATGTATTGAGAAATAGGCATTTTCCATTCCTTCTCATCAGTCAAGTTCAACATTATTTTTTTTTTTCATTTCTTTGTTTCCACTCCATGAATTTCGGATTATCATGACTGTTCTTTACTACAAAATCTGGTACTGCAACACACAACTTTCATTTTTCGAAATTATTTTCTGGCAATGCTGGGCTAATATAAAAGTTTTGAAGTGCAATTAAGAGCACTAGCGGATCCAGGAATTAATTTTGGGGAGAGGGGGCTTCAGCCCAAAAGCTTTTTTTTCATAAAAATAACGATAATTACTTTGGAAAGAAAGAAAGAAACTAACTAACAATATGAAATGATGTTTAAGTGATTCCTAAAGTTCTTTTAAATGTAATTACACGAACAATAATACTTAAAGAGATCATTTTTTTCCATAAAACATGGTTATATTTTACCATTCGGGTGGAAGGGCTTCAGCCCCAAAGCCCCTCCCCCGTAGATCTGCCCGTGATTAAGAACATTAAAATTACAAAAAGTCTATTTATTATATCGACAGTAGGAAATAAAAATCTAGTAACTCCATCAGTTTTTATAAACCACATAACTTCAGCAGTCTCTGGGCCTTTCAGTTGACAGGTTGACTAACTCTAATTTAAACATTTTTGAGTAATGTCATTTTAGTGATATTTCTAGTTGAAAAATTTAAATCTATACAGGCAGTGAATAAGTTGACTCCAGAGTGGGTGATTGAAATATGAACTGTGAATAAAGGTATTACAGGGTAGGCCAGAACCCCCTACGGTGCAGCCTTCCCCCTCTCCCCCCACCCTCCTCCACATCCCTATAAATTGCATATCGTTGTGTTCCTTGTAACTATTAATTTAAAAAAAGTGAACGAATGAATAAATTCTAATATATTTATTGCCAATGTATGCGCGAAACAATTCGGTTTACTTTGTCCAAACCTGCTGACTTGCCAATTGCTTCGAACAACTCTTTCTTGCTGATAAAATGGTCTCCACCATAATAAACCTGCATCGTCCTCTTAATATCATCCAAACTGCTCCAGCATTTAACCCCTTTTTAGCAGCATCTTGAAATATTCTGTTTAGCCATACAATGGATACTGATCCTTCTTTTTTTCCCCTAGATTTTAACACTTCCTTTCTCGTTCGCTTAATGCATTTTTCCAAATTTTGGGTTCAATTTCGTGTTTTTCCTCATTTTAAGACCAAATACTAACAATCAGTTCCGGTTACCTAGAATAACTTATAGCTTCACCCTTTCCATCTTTCCTTGTGCAGAGAGAATAACGCAATTCAATATTAAAATTTCCTATTTTTTTATGATATGTTCCAACTTCCGAACATAATAAAGGAAATAAAAATTAATTTTTTTATTTTTGATGTATGAGTTTTACTAAACAACCCATCAACTATTCATTATACGTAGTTCAGATTAGGTATATATTATTTTAGTTTATAAAACAGGTATTAATATGACTCATATCCGGGGAAGTGTATACAATTTAAATTTTCTCTAAGAATCATTAAATATACAAAACAAAGTGTCAAATAAAAAATTTAAGATATTCAGCAAACTATTTTTTAATTAAGTTTTGTTATAATAATTATATCATTTTTCAATAGAGGCCTTCTTAAACGACCTCCGTACAGAATAAACGAATTTAAATTTTTAAAAATAAATAATAAATTTTAAAAAATTGTTTAATTTTTATGGAAAATTAAATTATTGCATTAATATTTATTCGTTAATGCAATCAATATAATGTACCAAAACGTTATAATAGCACTGGAACTAAGCCATTTCTGAGTACTGAATGGTGTGGTAGAGGCCTGTAGGCACGCTGTTCTGCCGCTTAGTTGCATTTTCTACGGAACCGCTTCAAATATTTTAAAAAGTAATCAGTGTTTTAGAAAGAGAAATATATTCTCCAGATGTTTTATTTCAGCACGTTTTGCGTTATTGTTGGCTGTTTAATTACAAACGAAGCTTGATATTCAACTTGAAAATTTTGTTGTTGAAAAATTGACTTTACTGGTGTTTTTTACTGCCTAAGCTAATTATTTTTGAATATTTTTTCATGTTTTCTTATTGTCTGACTATCCAGCTTTAATAAAAGACAAACTATGACAAAATTAAGCCAAATGCTGATTCTCAGTTACCAAAAAACTAACTAAAGTCAAAGTCGTCAGTCCGCCATGTTTGGACGCCATTTTGGGGCTGTTCGTTCACTTTGTTTTGTGGGAACATTGGCTTTTTTTAAATAAATAGTTACAAGGAACACAACAATATGCAATTTATAAGAGGGAGGGAGGGAGGGGGGCACTAGAAACAGCACTAAAATTAATAATAAAGAATGTTGAAATTGGGGTTAGTCATTCAATCAATGGAAAAGCTCTATATGCCTAGAGACATTTGAAAGTACATCTGAATATTTAACCTATAAATGATTATGGATTGTAGGACTATTAGTTATTTTCCATTGCAAAGTTTACTAAAATGAAATTACGAGACTATCATTGCCAACCATGCATAAGTCAAAAGTTGTCACACTAATTTTAAGCGAATAATGTTCATAAAAATGTGAATAATGGGGATTTCACGAAGGGAAAATTCATCAAATTATTTACTAATTTAATTTTCTAAAACTTTACTTGATGATTTATGGAATAAACGTCCGATATATACTTAATTATTTTAAAATATCATATCTAGAGTTTTTAAACTACAGTAAATGTATTTAAGGTTATTAACATATCCATGAAATATTTTTATATCTCACTTGTTCTTTCACACAAGTACAATGAAATAGTATTATAAACAATTGCATTGGCTTGATTTGGTAGATTTTAAATATTTTTTTTCAAAGTTAGAAAAACATTTAAAAGTTTATATTCAGTAAGAAAATTTCATTTAATTTCCTTGTTAACATGTGATTTATGTTAAATAATGTTAGTTCTGAAATTTTGTTTATATTTTTTTGTCACTCTCTGTTACCTTCTACAAGTTTATTTTTATGTTTTAAATTCTCCTCTTTCCAACGACATATTATACGTATACCTTCTGACTGTTGTTTCTGGAGATTCATTTTCATGCTGGATAAGCATTTTTCTTTTTTCCTCCAGTTCCCAATTATCATATTCTTTCAAACTTCATATTTAGCTATTTTTTATAGTTACTGTTAATGAAAGAAAGTTATTTTTTTTAAATAAACCATACTAAAGGTACTTTAGAAAAAGACATATATGAACATTGGGCATTTAAGCCCTGTAAAGTGACATCAACCGGGATAAGACCTAAATGATATTAAAGATCACTTAATTATACAATGATACACCGAGTTTGATCAAAATCGTTAGAGTGCGTTTTGAGAAAATTGTAAAAATGTGTTTCAGCGTTCATATAAAGTGGCACTTCCGGTTAGCCGATTTAAACGAAAAAGTTGCTGTCACATCCGGCTCATATACAAAACATAAGTACGTAATATCGGTTTCGTACTACTTTTATTTTATAAGCTGGACTGCTAACACACACACACACACACACAGGCCATTTTGCGACACTTGGTTATTTGAACTCAGGGGACCTCAAAACATGTATTTCCGTTGAAAACTGAGATTCGAAAATTTTCACGATCGCAATACTTACTCTTACTATATATTACATATATACCTAAGTGAAAGTAAAAATGAATGTATCTCTGTCCAGTTTGTCCTTTATGCATTACTAAACCATTCATCCAATTGCATTGATAACATTTCACTAACATTCAATAATATCTTCTCTTCAAATAATAGTCTCGATTACTTATAAAGTTCTCATTAAATATAAAGTTTTCGATTTATCAAAAAGCAAAATAATGGAAATCGATTTTGCAAAAGAAAAAGTACAAAACGTTTAAAATGATACATCTCTGCAACAAATAGTTCGATTTCGTTGATTTTTATTTTATTTTATAGGGAATTAAGGAATCTTTCAAATAAATATTGGTATTATCAATAAAAAACGTGTAATTTTTGAGTTATTCGCAAATAAAATACTGAATTCATCATAAAAATTTATGCACCTTGTTTTCGGGAAACTATGTTATATACATAAATTATATATGTTTCAAGGGGAAGACTTTAGCTAAGTTTCATTAAAATACTTGAAGCAATATTGGCGCTACAGTCCAAAGCGAATCAGGGTTTTCGGCCGCCATTTCGAAAAGAAAGGTCTGATGATAATGAAACGTGTACAAAAACATTTCTAAATATTATTGCAATGTTATATCAAAATTTCAAAGTAATCGGTGAAGAACTTTCGAAGATTAGCTGTTTTTTATAACCATTTAGATTTTTATTTGCATACTATTTCGTACTTTTATTTATTGATAACATTAAAGCTCGTTAATAGTTATTAAAAAAAAAAAAAAAAAAGGAAGAAAGTCGGTTAAATAATAGAGGAGAAAAAGGGGCTGAACCGTTTTGTGTTTGTCTATTTATATAATGATAATTGGTCATCGACGTCCATTTATTCCGAAAAATCGTCATGTAACCTTTTAAAAAATTTAATTAGTGAATAATTTGATGAATTTTCCCTTTGTTAAATCCAAACATTATCCGCTTAAAATTAGTGTAAAAACGTTTGACCTGTCTATGACAGGCAATGAATATCTTGTAATTTCCTTGTAGTAAACTTTACAATGGAAAATAACAGTTTAATAACTAATGGACGTACAATCCATAATCATTTATAGGTTGAATGTAGAGATATACTTTCAAATCCAGAGACTGAAGTTATGTGGTTTACCAAAACAGATGGTTACCGAGTTTTTAATGTCTATCGTTGATATAATTAATATTGTTTTTATTATTTTAATGGTGTTAATGATTTGATAGCTGTAAACTTTAAGCTACAGCTCGATTAAAAGTGCACTTCAAAAATTTTATAAGTGCTCAACATTGCCAGAAAATAATTTCTATTCAAAGTAGAAAGGTAAGTGAAAGTTGTGTGTTGCGCGCACCAGATTTTTTTAGTCCTACAAGGAAGCCAAGAACATTTTTTAGCCTGACAAGCATAGGCGGATTTACGGGGGGGGGGGAGAGCTTTCAGGCTGAAGCCCCCCTCCCGAAATAGTAAAATGTAACCATGGTTTATGGTAAAAAATTATGTCTTAAAGTATTAATGCTCATTTAATTACATTTAATAGGACTTCACGAATCACTTAACCACCGTTTCATGTAGGTAGTTTTTACATGTAATAGTTTCTTTTTTTCCAAAGTAATTATCGTTATATATATGAAAAAAAGAAGATTCCAGACTGAAGTCCCCCCCAAAATTAAATCCTGAATCCGCTAGTGCTGACAAGAGTGCCACTGTAAAAAAAAAAAGTATGAGAACTCCTGCTATAATCTATGCTACTGGTTGATATGAATAATTTAACAGAATGAAAAAGAACATAGATTGTTTAGTATTAAGAATAGGGTAAAGTTGATGTCAAGTACACGGCGATGAAGGTTGACTATTTTCGATATTTGGTATAGTCTTTCGATGGACGCCATTTTGAATCGCCTTCGCTTTGAGTTGCCAGACAAGAGAAAATTTGAGTGCCCTGCATGGGACATAACTGATTTATGACTGAAAATCTTCTTCAGATTATTATATTTAATATAGCATTAAGTAAAATATATAGAGATTTCTCTACTTTTTACAATGGACGTAGTTCATCAGAACAATTTTTTGACTCTCTGCTTCTCTGAACCTACAAGTATTCCAGACATAAAAAAAAAAGGGAGCTTTGTCATTACATACTCATAAACACCACCATTCTTCTAAAATCACAAGTCCCCAGACTTTAATTTTGTTTCAGAATTAATTGATTCTTTTGTGCTATTGGGAATTAATTTTTTTATAGGATACTGTAATTAGTATAATATTCAAGGAGATATATTATGAGTGATTCATATTATCAGAATGAAGATGACATCATATTATAAATCATTTATTGAGTTTTCTCGTACTGCAAGGTCAGTAGAGGTCATATTGATTTTTCAATGGTATCTAGAAAGCCATGGTAGAACCATCTGTGGACTGATACCAATTTATTTTTTCAACTACGAACGAATATTTTTTTGTGAGGTTAATTAAAAATTAAAATGAAAAAATGTATTACATTGTTTTGAGGAACAGAAGTGCTTTATATACTTTTGCTGCAAACATAATTTTAGTCAATACTCCTATATTACAAGCACATACATACATTTAAAATGTATAATACAAATTTAAAAAATATTTGAATTGTCTTGATTGTAATTTAAATTTTTAAATGGTAAAATAACAAAAAGTATTTCATATAATCAGTATTTCAAGTTTATCGATTTTAGTGGTGCAATCTATACAGCAGAGCGTTCAGCATATGTTTGCGTCACTCCTTTCTCCATCGTCACTCGTCCTGGTAAGTTGGGCTCCTCTGCCAAGTTCTCTTTAGGGTATAATTTTATGTTAGTCATTGTTGAAATTTAGTTAAAACCTGTTGCAATTACTTTCTAATGATAGCTGAAGTATTTAATCTAGCAATTTATCGCAAATATTTTTATTCGTTTGTTTCAGATTTTTGGAATATATAAGAACTTCTATTTTGAATCGTAAAGTTAACTTTTTACGTTTGAATCATGTAAGAAATGTTTTCTATTATATGTGCATGTAAATAATAATATATACTGCTTAGTTAAACATATCTTGGTTGAATTATTGTATTTAGAAAGACTGAGACTGACGCCATCTTGGTTTCTGGAGAAACACTTTGTCTTTTACTACTTAATACTTGGATTTTCCTGATATTGAAGAAATCAATTTTGATAATAATTTGTACTGAACGGAAATTACTATACATCCATTGTTTTAAATGTAGTTTAGGCTGCATTTGATTTTGATGGTCAGCAATCAATAATGTTATGCTTTCTGCTCATGCCCCAGTTTGGATGGATCAATTTTACACCAGTCTTACATGATACTATTGATTCAGCTATTTTACTCTTCAGACTCCTAGCCATAAATGTTAATTGTAATTTAAAATGCAACTATCAGTTTTTTTATTTCAAAGTATTACTTTTAAGCATTTTATCAATGCATTTTTTTTATTGCACATATGTTGCAATATTTCTACTTCAATATTGTTTTTTATTAATCCTCCAGTAATTTTGATAGCTATCATTTTAATACATCCTTTTTTGAATCTCCAAGGCTACACACAGATATACATTATGTTTTAAGTATTAATATGTTAGTTATAAAGATGGTCATCTTAAGTGATCCCTTATTTCTTTTTTGAGGTTAATAAAGATAGTAACTATGGAAAAATCAATAAAATCAATTCTTAATAAATTGTTCGCAGCAGTGACAATTTATTTAGCAAGGACTTTTTCCCAGTCCCAAAATGTTTCTTATGAAAATTATTTTTCATTTTTATCTCATCATGTTTTATCTCTCAATATGATTGTATGCTTATATTTTATCATATATTTTATTGTTTCAACCAATTACATAAACTGTTGCTGAAGACTAGTCAATTTCAACATATGAATATGGAAGTTCATATAATCCCCAAGTTTTATTTAATCAGTTCATAATTAACATTTTCCTTTTAAAATTGTTACTATCTTAAAACTGTAGATAAATCTAAGATGAATCCTCATTAAATAAATCCATTACTTGAGATTGAATGTAGTCGACAATTTTTTTTTTAAACATGAACACAATAATTTTTTTCAGACCACAGCAATAATGGGGACTCTGTTTAGATAAATTAAATTAATTTACTTCAATGAACTGATGTGGTTGGTGGGATGAGGGGGGGGGGAAGTTAGTGGTTCTTTTTTTTTAGGTTTGTGTGTGTATATAAATATGTATACACACACACACACACAAACCTACAAAAAAAGAACCACTAACAATATATATATATATATATATATATATATATATGCACAAATATTAATTTGGAAAAAATAAAGTATTAAGATTTACAAATTATTTATAAAATTCACAGTTTAACCTGAATTTCTTTGTAGCCTTGGGACCGTCCTTACAATTATATAACGTTAAAGTTAAACCTAAAAGGAATACAATTCAAATTTTTCTCAATCCTTAAAATTATATGGATTGTAATATAGACAGATTATAGATTGCGTCAAATTTCATTCAGCTAGCTAAGCCCTTGAAATACAATAATTATATTCCTTGGATTTAAACTGGTAAATTAGTTATAGGTGATAAATTGTCAGAACATAGTCATTTAAGATTTTTTACTATTGCTGATGTATCGACTAGAGCATTAAAATTCAGTTAAATGGATCTAAACTGGTAAATTAGTTATAGATGATAAATAGTCAGAACATAGTCATTTAAGATTATTACTATTGCTGATGTATCGACTAAAGCAATGTGGGTCATCAGGGCATGTTACCATTACTAAAGGTATTGAAATGCTTACATATGCCATTTAAACAACTTTAGTCCTTGGTTACATGCTTGAATGATGACTTTCATGCATGGGTTAAAACATGTAAACTATTAGGTTTTTTGGAAATAGTTCACATGATTACACCTGGTTCATGGAATCCCGTAAAAAGCAGAATGTTGTCTTATGAAGTCAGCTATTACCCCCCACCATACAATCTTTTCCTATATTTTTGAAAGTGAAAAAAAAAAAAACAATGTATTTATGGTACTTCCTTATTAACAAATTATATATACTAATTTGTTAATTATTAATTTTCATTATATCAATTATTAAAAACTTCAAGGTTTGTTTAAAAAAAAAAAAATGCTTTTAGAAAAAAAGTTGTCATGTGCTTACATGTACTGGCTGTAAATATGCATATACTGTTGCAATTATCTTTTATAACTGTGTATAAAAGATTTTTTTATCATTTGGATAATAAATAATCTAAATTTATCTATTATCTTTTTATTTGTTATTCGAGTTTTTCAATAGAAGTTGGAATAATTGAATTTATAATTTATTTCAACAAGCCCTCTTTAAAATTACGCAATCGTTTATTTAATTTATGTAACTTTTTGGGTTTCTAATAATATGAGGGTCCACTATTTTTTAGTGGAGGGGGCTCACTTTACGGAAATACTGTCTGATTTGAGATTAAGCATCAAGTTTATGTAACTTTTCAATGCTTTGATATACGGATCCACTAATTTTTTGTCTTCTGAGGTTTTTGTGATTATGCTATTGGATTTGAAATTGTTCATGAGCTTTTTGGATTTCTTTAATATAAGAGTCCACTATTAGTTGTCGATGCCGCTTTTTATGAAAATAATGTCAGATTTAAGATTGTGAGAGATAAGTGGACAATAATAATAAACAAAATATTAATCATTGTACAGATAAATATGTATTCCAATAATTTCCAATCCCAATGGGGCCCGTGGACCTTCCTTCTTATTTTAATCTATATTATTTTTATTGAATAAATTAGCTGCATAATTATTGTTATTTGTAGTCATTTTGCTTAGTAATCCGAAAATGGGTCCTTCTCCCATTCTTAAAAAAAAATCCTTTATTTCTGTGGAAGGAATTAACGTATTCGGGAAAGAACTGATGAAGAATATCTGATAATTCCGAGATAATGAATAAGAAATCATCCATAAGAAAAATAATATCGTGAAATAGAATTCAGAGGTATAATAATTAAAGGTTCTAATACTATCACTACCTATAAGTTCAATTAAGGTTAAATGATGTAGCCTAAATTTCAAATGTAATTCTGCTCCTGCTGTATAACTGAACTTGGTTTAGATTATAGAAGTACTTAAATGGTAGGAAAGTTGATAGTAACTGATTAAAGATTGGTCGCCTTCGTTCTCTTTCTGATAAACCGGAACGCATCCGGCACTCCATGAACAAGTGTGATCGAAGCGATTATGAACTAGCACCGTTTTTTGCAAAGATTATTCAATATAATATTAAAGTACCTTAAAACTTTTATAACAATTATCCTACATATTTTTTGATAAAATTAATGGTTACGGAGATATTTATGAAATTATATTGGAGCAACAATAGCTTCAAACTACAAAATTGATGTTGAAGTTTAAATTTACATTAATTATAAAAGGCAGAAGGTAAAAAAAATTATCATAAACCCATGGTCTGATTACATACAGAGAACAGAAAACTCAAATTTTGTAATTTTTGAGTCAACCATGTTTATGTTTAATTAAAAGCTATAAATAAAAAAATGTTCAATTTAGGTTACAACTAATTACCTCATAGTAAACTAGATTGAATCTACATTAAATACAAGTAAATCTTGTCTATTTTAAAACTATTTGTTAAAGTATCTGATTCTTCAGTTGCAGAATACAAATAGTTTCCATTTATCTCAAGTTAAACCGATCATGTCATGAATATCAAAATTAAGTGTACTACTATCTAATTTATATTTATTCTGTTACATGAGGTTTTAAATTAAGTACTATTAAAAATATTTATAATCATACAGGATTCATTTGTTTGTTTTTTTATAGGAAATACAATACTTCAAATCAACAAGGAATGTATAGTAATGGAAGCAATGGGTATAACGGAAACAATGGCTATAGAAATAACAAGCCAGGTGGTTTTGGAGGAAGAATCAATAAGACAGATGATGCTAACTTTGGAAGTGCGTTGCAAGCAGTTGCTTGGGAGAACCACACACTCTCAGACTTCAAGAAAGACTTCTATTGCCCCCATACTAATGTACTAAACCGACCTTACCCTGAAGTTGAACGGTACAGAGAAAGCAAGGATATCATGATCAAAGGAATTGCTGATGCTTTTTTGAATCCAATCCAATTCTTCGAGGAAGGAAACTTCCCTGAATATGTTGCTTCTTGCATTAAGTGAGTTTTTCATTCTTATCAAATCAATTTTTTTTTAAATATTTTTGTTTCTAATAAGTTTTAAGTAAAAATTCATTCTTTAATTTGAGTTATCGCTTTTATATGGCTCTTCATTTTATAATGATCTATTTAGCATGACCTACACCCCCAACATGTCAAAATAACGAGGTTGTATATATAGGCCAAAGGCCCAATATTTTTGAAAGCCATCTTTTTTATCTGTTTTGTGATCACATTATATTACAGTCCATGTGGAAAGCAAGTGGGTATATACATGTGTTAGTACCAAATTTAATTGACTTAAGTTTGCCGATCCCCTGATTTGATGAGATGAAGCTATTCACAAAGTTTCAGGCATAAGTTAATAATTTAATTAAAAGGGGGTTGTACCACACTGTTAAGTAAGTTCCAAATAAATTAATCTATATATTTTCAACAATGTACTACATCAGTAATTTAATAATCATCCATATTACATACACCTACTCTAGACCACCCTAATATCTCTTAACTATTCTCTTCTGTGATTTGTTTTTGCATTATTATATTTATTTATTTTTTTTTTTTTTCAGAAAAATGGGATTTGACTTTCCAACAGCTATTCAAGCACAGGGTTGGCCGATTGCCTTAAGTGGAAAAAATATGGTTGGCATTGCCCAGACTGGTAGTGGCAAGACATTAGCTGTAAGTTTTTGTTTTATTTTTCTGATTTTTTAGTTTTTCTGCTTGAATTGATTAATAATAATTTATTAATTTAAAAGTTTGGTTAGTTAAAATTTAAATTTGTTGCAGTACATACTTCCTGCTGTTATTCACATCAGAAATCAGCCTAGAGTGCAACGTGGGGATGGGCCTATTGCCCTTGTGCTAGCACCTACAAGGGAATTAGCTCAACAAATTCAGACAGTGGCCAGCCAGTTTGGTGGCCAATGCGGTCAGAGATCCGTAGCAATATTTGGAGGTGCTCCTAAAGGACCTCAGGCAAGGGATTTGGAGAGAGGAGTGGAAATAGTTATTGCCACACCTGGAAGATTAATTGATTTCTTAACAAGAGGTGGTTTAACAATTTCCTTATTGTACTTTTAGTATGTTTCAACGAGAAAATATATAACTTCTTTTTTTGTATTATAGGCACCATAAATCTTAGAAGGTGTACATACTTGGTTCTTGATGAAGCTGACAGGATGTTAGACATGGGATTCGAACCCCAAATTAGAAAAATTATGCATCAAATCAGGGTAAGACCTCCAGTTATGACATTTTCTCATGACTATACTCATCAATTTTCTTACTCCATTTATATTGTGGAGATATTTATATTCAGATGTTAAATTATTAGCAGTTGCCAAGTTCCTCTTAAGTCTGCTTTCTGTTAAGAAGGGATTAAAAAAAAAAGTACTTTGATTAAATTACACACACTAATTATAATTTATAAATAAAATATAAATCATTTATTAAATACCAACATTTTGATCTATATCTTTAATCTTTATCAGAACTGAAAAGGGGGATTATTAAGATTATTCTTAACTGCCACCTAGACCATCTTAATAATTGTACTTCATTTTGATTTATATTAAAATATTGTTCAAGAAATTTTAATTTTTATCTATGAACATAAAGTTATGACGAGTTTTTAATTTCTACAAAAAATGTAATATGATAAAGAAATTTCTTACAACAATGGTGCAAGAGTGAATTTTCATATCAAAGGCTGACATCTTTCGTATTCATATTTGTATGTTACTTAAATTCATGTCAGTTCTGATTATTTTATCATTCAACCTACAACATTAAATTATATATGAATATTTAATAGTTGACCTTTGCATTATAAAGGAAGGAGATGGTCTGGCGTGACTGTCAAAATAGGCTGAATAGTGGTAAAAGTATTTTATTAAAGCCAACGTTCCGACCCTGTTTTTGCAGGTTGAGTACATAATATTATGACAAAAAAATGTTAATAATTTTTTGTCATAATATTATGTGACTTCTACAATTCTCTATCATTTTGTATCTTGTCCGCTCTAGCCCTGAAGAAGACCTGCTAAGTCGAGTCTAAACGTTGGCTTTTAATAAAACAGTTTTATCATTATTCAGCCTATTTATGACCGTCACCCCGGACCATCTCCTTCCTTTAAAATATTATACATATCAGAATTAATTCAAATCAAAGGTCTATATCACAAATTGGAGGATTTTTCTTGATTTCCTGAACGTTACAGATGCCCCCTTGGGCAAATCAGTCACGTGGTTTAACCATTATTTTTAAACTTCATAATCCTTGTTTTATTATTATTATTTTCATTACATAAAAAATAAAAAAAAATACTTTTTTACTAAGACATATCTTATAAATTTTCTGGTTCTATGATCATATGGGTTGATGTTTTATCAGTTCATTATCGAGGTTGGCCTTAGGTTCATAAAATATTTTTAATAATAAACCCCTGTTTATTTAAAAACTACTTTTTCTATGATTGTTATTGTGTTAAATGTAATAATTAAATTCATTTTTTTAGCCTGACCGTCAAGTTCTTATGTGGTCAGCAACATGGCCAAAGGAAGTCAAAGCATTAGCTGAAGATTTTCTTCAAGATTATGTTCAGGTAACTTATTTTTGGCAGATTAGTTAAATATTGCATTCACTTTTTATCCTAACAATTCGTTTTATTATTGTATTTTCTATTATGGTTTTAGGTTAACATAGGATCACTTGAGCTTGCTGCAAATCATAATATCATTCAAATAGTAGATGTTTGTGAAGAAGGGGATAAACAATCCAAGCTTAACACCTTACTAGAAGAAATTGGAACCCAAAAACTCGAGAAAACCATAATTTTTGTCGAGACCAAGAAGAAAGTTGAGTCTATTGCTAATGGTCTCAAAAGAGTTGGGTGAGTACTTTTATAGCTCTGATATAGAATTTTTATGTTGAAATAATAATAAGTTTGCTATATACTATAATTATTAAATGGTATAATTATGTTTGTTTTTTATGTTTAGGTGGCCTGCTGTATGTATTCATGGTGACAAATCACAAAATGAGAGAGATTATGTTTTAAGAGGTAGGTCACAAAATATTACTACTTACGTATGTTAACTCCATTTAGTAGTACCTACCTCCACCTTCTCTCAAATTTAATCTTCTTTTGCCCCTTCATTTTAGTTATTATGAAAAAGTTTTTACTTTCACTGAATCCAATTTCTTTTTTATAATATACCATCGATATGTTCTCTCCCCTTTTCACCCAATTGTTTATAATTTATTTAAAAGAAAAATATTATTATTAATAAATTAGTGCATCTATTTGATTCAATTTCTTTGAATTAATACTGGGTTTTTTTTTCCAGACTTTAGACGAGGTAAATCATTGATCCTCGTTGCAACAGATGTTGCTGCTCGGGGACTAGGTAAGTTGGCCATACATCGGTGGCATCTATCATAGCAAAATCCTAAGGAGGAAGGAGGTCTCCTTGAGGATTTTGGTGTAAACAGACCCTGAATCGAATGGGCTAACGGGATGACAAAGTAATGGGGGATGGACAAAATTTTGGTTAAAGCTGGTAAAGTAACACGTTCTCTATAGGACCCATGTTTATTTATTTTATTTATTACACCTTAATTCTATTGTGCTCAACAGATTTGTTTTCGTGCTTTTCAACTTTTGATAAATTAGGAAACATTCTCTTCTTGCTTGATAAATTGTTTATTTGTTTGATTAAGATTAATCCTTTTGCTGATCTTAATTATTGTAGACCTGTACTGATATTTATTTTGTCTTTATTAACTACTTATTTTTAAAATTTCTAATTCTTATCCATTATTAGAAACCAAATTTACATATCAAATATTATTAATTTATTTTAATTTTTTTTTCAAATTCGTGTATATAAAATATATTGCTTTATTATTTTTTTTTTTTTCTTAGTTCATAAGTATGAACTACTTTCTTAAAGCTTTGTATTCAGTTGTGTTTTTAAATTTACAGCATGCAGTTATTTATGGATGTTCTCAGTTTTTCATCGTGTGGAAAGCACTGCTCAATAGATTATTAAGACGCGTTGTTTTTAAATTACATTTTATCAAATTTCTTAATATCAGTCTTTTCTTTTTTGTGCATTTAGTTTTGTTTGGATCACTAATATGGCACTTAAGGAGGGAAGTATTGGTTATTATTTTATTTTTTTATTCAATAACTTCTCATCTGTTTTTTTAATTAAAAATTTATTATAAGTTTAATCACAAAATTTGAACATGGGAATAATATCGAACGTAGTTTCTTAAATTTGTTGTTACAGAGGCACTAGTGCTGGCGCATATTTTTAATATATAATGCGCACAATGCTCGGGTGCCTCTTATTGCACAGGTATTGTGCATGTTTGTGAGTGTGATTTGCAAGGCTGGTCTAGGTCGGCCTGATCTAAAATATCCTCTTAAGCTGAAAGTGACAGATGGTAAAATATAAAGATACATGGATGTATTTCTGAAAACCTAAAAAGAGGAGCTCCAGATTAAAATTTCAAGATAATTTTGATTGAAGGGCTTTTTGCACTCAACAAACACAAACAACAATACTCCCAGCACCTTAACTGTCCTTGACCGATGTCTCCTATTAGCTGATCACAGGTTTGTTTATATCATTTTTATGTTTCTTAAGTTTGGATAAGTATTACTTTTATTTTATTTCTTTTATTTTTGTTTGCATGTTTTTTCTCAAAATTATCTTATCCATCGTTGATCTTTAAGTTTTGCTGTTTCAAATCACACCCTTTCTTGTTTTTATTTATGTTATATGAATTATAGATGTGGAAGATGTAATGTATGTCATCAATTATGATTTCCCCAACTCCTCTGAAGATTATATTCACCGGATCGGACGTACTGGACGATCAACTGCCTCTGGTACAGCCTATACCTTTTTTACATCTGCAAACCAAAAGCAGGCCCGAGATCTTGTTGCTGTTCTAGCCGAAGCTAAACAGAGCGTTTCTAACGAGTTGCAAGCCATGACCAGGTTCTCTGGTGGTGGAAGTGGATATGCCAGAGGAGGTAATTTCAAATCTTCCTTGTAACACTATTTTAATTGGCAGTTTTAAATTTATATGAATCATTCTCTAATTATTTTCTTAATAGGTTTCAGAAACGGAAAGTTCAACAAACGTACTGATAATAAGTTTGGTGGTGGCAGCCGTTTCAATGCTGGTTTCCAGAGGAATTCTACCATGTATGGTCAAAAACCAAGTACCTTTCGAAGATTTGACTAAGACTTTATTCCATATAAAAAAAAGTTTTTATAATCTCTTGTAATTATTAATGTAAAAAGTAAAAAATGGAGGAAGAAAGAGAAATTAGTGTCTGAATATTACTTATGTGACTTGGAAGGGAGGGGCTTTGAGGAGATAATTTAAATCTATATTTCCAAGAAGGCTTAACATTTTTGTTGTTAGTCATTGTTTTGATAGGGTGCAACCCTTACTACCCATAATGCCCTCTATGGCTAGTTTATCTCTTAATGTAAATACTTAATAAAACTGTACCTACCTATTATTTAATTTTCTATTTTATATGTTATGTTAGGAAATATTAATTTATCACAAAATGGCTCGTCTGAGTCTCCTTTTCGATGTGATATTTATTTATACAATACGAGTTGTATTTTTTAAGTATTCATATCACCTTAGTATTTTTATATTTTTCTGCATCAGTATTATTTATAATTTTAAAGTCATGTTCTGTTGATGATTTTAAAAGAGGAGTAATTTTCAATAAATGTTTATGAAAAAGGAATAATTTTTATTTAAGATCCTTAAAACCCTGGTGTAATTTTATACATAGGAATAAACAAATGCTTAAAATTTCTGGAGTAATATTTTATTTTAGTAATATTAGAGTTTAATAAATTGTAGCCTATGAGCCTTATTTCATTTAAGTTAATGTTGCATGTATAAAAAAAAAGGCTTTAATTTCTTTTTGCTTTCACTTAATATGAAATTTATACTAAAGAAAAGTATTGCGGTCGTGAACAATTTGAAATCTCTTATTTTCAACATAAATACATGTCTTGAGGTCTGCTGAGTCCAAATAACGGTCCCATAAAATGTTGCAGTCTCAAAAAGGATAAGTTATTAGGAAAGTGAAATTTATATTCTAGGTTTTTACATGCCTGAGATGTTACAGCAACTTTTTCATCAAGGTCATCTTTTGGAAGTGACACTTATTATCGATTTAGCAGATTTTGATTAAATTCATTATGAGTCTAAATTTAAGCAGTTTTTAATATAATGTAGGTTTTATTCTCAGGGCTTAAATGGCTATTTTTCAATATTAGCTTTCTGTAAAGTACCTTAAATTTTTTTAGTTAGTAATTAAGCATTTCACATTGATCTCTAATACAAAAAACAGTTTAATGTAAAATATGAAAAAAATTGATAAATAACCAAAGAAGAATGATACCATAAGGAATACAAGCTCTCCCGAAAGATTTGAACAGTTCCATAGGTAACTTGAGCTTAATGTAATATGGACTCTGATGATATGTTTATATACATATGCAGTTTTCATAAATGCTATCATTGATATTTAATATTTGATTGTATAGATAACAGCGATATTAAAATCAAAATTTGTATATAAGTGGGTACTTAAGTGAAAGTACCTACAATAAAATGTATATATATTTTCTAAACTTACTAATTACTTGATTACTAATAGGGCCATAACGTATTTAAATATGTTGAGCCTATAAAAAGTTTTAAAACTAAAATAAATTATGGAGGGCTTGAAAATACATTAATTTCATTTTTTATTTAAACTAAATAATGAAAATAACTAAACATAGGAGGCTAATAAGATTATAGTATACATATTATCATTATTATATAATATATATATATATATATATATATTATAATAACAAAAACAACGAATCACATTAAAAAATTTAAATATCAAAATAGTATAAAGTATATACAAACGAAAAAAAGAATCATGGTATTAACACATAATTAAATAAGAAGAGCAGTAAAAGATAAATATGGAACAATTAAGTATGTAAACGTTTTAAAATTTTGTATGTTAATGGATCAAAATCTAACATAAGTATTTGTTTAAATAACATAATTAACAACTTTTAGAATAAATAGTATAAAATTGATAAAACATTTGAATTAGTTCTGTATTAAAAATAATTACCAGAAATATTGCTAAATTTTGCGTTTGCGAAACCTATCCGTATATAAAATATTTTTATAATTAGAAAATGATCTTTCTACATCAAAAGGCATGATAGAGACAAATTTATATCAACTTAAAATTACTGGATTGTTGTCAATGTCGCTGGAAACAATTGAATCTTGGCCATTTAAAATTTTATTAATACCTTCCAGAATTGTGAGCAGAATTTTTTATAGAAACTTGTTCCATTTTTTCATTTAAAGTTTCACCCACTTGGCCTGGTACCAATGGTTTTCCAGTTGCAAAAACTATTTCATGTCTGGTGCCTTAAGGTTCAATCCAAGATTTCAACATTGATGAAGATACTTTTGGCATTTTAAATCAACAGAAATATGATCTCTTGCTAAAAATGTTGGCAACAAACTATAGTAGAAACTTAGTATGATATTTGCATGAGACAAGAAGGAGAAATGGTTTCTAGGAAGTGGAGAACACCTATAAAGAGAATTTTTAAAGGGTGCAGTGGAAGTTAAATACAGCCTACAAATGTGGTAGATTTGTTCATTGAAAATAAACCTAGGATTGTAATCTTGAATTGCATCTTCAATATTGAATTTTAATTTGTATATATAGATGAATAAATATTCATTTACATATATGTATTTTGTTTATTTCATTAAATTGATCAAAATATGCATTTATCCATAAATATGCAAAATAAAATTTGGCTAATTACATCACAGTGTACTAATTCGTATTGATGTTTGATCAGCGGTTAAAAAAAAACAACGCAAACAAATATGAAATTGCATACAAATCCGGACCTTGGTTATAATTTATATGTATAGATTTTTCTTGTTCAATTTTGTTGTATTTTTTAGGGGGATGGGAGAAACTTGAAAATTATTTAGGATTATTCTCCTAACTTTTTTTATAATAAATAATTAGTCATATGGACTGAGTTTGTTTTCAGTTGTGGGTTTGCCCTAAGTATTGACTATAAATTAAATAAACAATTCCATTTCAGCAATGATAACCTACCATTTTAGCGAATTAGTAAATCATCAGTTAATTGCAAAAAAATTTGAAAAGTAATTTAGAAACCTGAATCACTAAAGTAATTGTATTAATTTTTCACTTTTATAATTAAAAGTTACTATTTTTTAATACATAATAGGAGGGGTTGTTCATGATGTTTTTTATAAACAAAATCACTCATTTTGTTATAATAATCAAGATTTCAAAAATAATTTGTACTTCAAAGGATGATGAATTTCAAGAGATCTGTGTTTTCCACTGAGGTAAAAGTTATTACAAAAACTGATAACTAACGTTTTTTCTCAAATCTTAGAAGTTTATTAAAGATAAGGTATTGTAATCGGTACTATATTTTAAATACAGTGCAGGAGTTGAAGACATTACACAAAAATATAATGATATTTTAGTTTGTAAGTTGCCTTCAAACAAAAATTAAACAGTCAATTTTTGGTATAAAAATTACATAAATCTTGTCACTAAAAACAGTTGGATCATCATTTGTATTATGTAGTTAGAAACATGTTTTACAAACTCTAAACACCTATTGAATTGTCAGCAAACTCAACAAAGAAATTTTTTATTACAACCTGCCGATTTTTCATTCTTATAATTATCAATTATATACCCATATATAAATAAAAATGTAAATGTTGATTTGTTCAAATTTTGAACTTCAAAACTGCTAATCTACGAAAGTTCCTCACACCTAATGCTTTGAAATTTTGATACGACATTAAAATCCAATTCAGGAGTGTTTTTATATTCATTTCATTATCATCCAGCCTATTGTTTCAAAATGGCAGCCGAAAAACGTGTCACTATAGGCTATAGCTCCAAAGTGGTTTAACAATTTTAATGAAACTTGGATATGACAAGAGGCTGAAAAAAAATAACAAACGATTCAAAATTTAATTTGTGATTAACAAAAAAGTACACAAATGTTACTTAATAGTTTTGTATTGTAAGTACATGTTAAAGTGTATATATGAATGTATAAGAGTAGGTATAACTTTTCCTGAAATTTTCTATTATAATTATGATCGAATTTTGACCAGAGATCTAACACTAGCTGAAAAAAGAACAAAAAAAAAAATAGCTTCATCCGTTTTGGACTTTGTAAGTGATGCATTGTAATTAGTGTAAATGAATTAAACAGATTCATTATGATTACAGTAATGATTAAAAAAGAAATGCATCTATCGTATAGTTCTTGGTTTAAGTTAATAATGTGGCCAATATCAGTTATTGTGCAATGATTTAGTTCTTAGAGTTTAAGAATTGAGACATCATGTACTTTCAAATCTCTCTTTGTATGCAGAATTCTTGTTGTGGTTTAAACAGACCATTGTAGTTATGAGTTTTTTTTTTGCCTGCCGTTGAAATTTATTTAGAAATAATAACATTTTTATTTTAATAATTAAATTACATTTAATATAGTAATATTCATAAAGTTCTTCTACTTATCAATTGGGAATTGGTTCATAAGGTTAACCAATTTAATTAATTAATTTAATCATTGAAAGGTTGCTTGGGCATGTTTTATTCATTATCAAAAATACCCATATCCTATATAGATAAATACAAATACATCCTCTCAGCTTTTATCCATAGTCATTGTGTTACCTGTTGAGGGTGTTAATATAAAGTTCTCTGTAGCCCCAGAAAATGAATCTCTTCACAGTGGTTGACAAAGAGGCCCACTTACCAATACAGTAACAGTACCAGTACTTGGAACTTGGAGTAGATATTAATTTAGAATTTCCGCTCGAATAAGGCTAGTTAATATATAAATTATTATCAGGCCCAGTTATAATAATAACTGGTTCAACTTATCAAGTTTTTTTATTTTTTATTAAACGCCTCTGCCGTTGGCTATTAGGCCATTCCGCTCCTGGCAGCACAATACAACTCCGCCGTGATTCCTTTGTTTGAATTTGTGCCGATCCCATCAGAATTACTGCCGACATCTGACAGAGCGGGGCAAACTGAGTTGTTAAAACTTTAAACTAAAAAGCTTTACAAAAAAAATTGGGTAACTTTTCTCGCGTCCGTACATTGTTCACGTGCCTTCTGGTTATAACTAAACGATCAATATTGTCGCCGTGAAGACAGTTCAACAACATAGAATCCACTTATTAAGTAATAGTTATTACCATATGTTTTTTCCGCCAGTAACTCAATTTCATGTGTTTTTAGCAGTATGATGCTTGTCTTTCACTAAATTAATTATAAAACTAGGATTCAAAATTTTTCACAATCCTTGTTATTTTGTATATATTAAAGTGAATGTATCAAAATAGAAAAAAAACATGAAATACATTAAATTCATTGGAATGTCATTAACACAGTGAAAACATAGTTTTTTATGACACATAAAATTATATCTAAAGGAAACACAATTAAATGGTTTTATATTTTGTGAAAGGTATAAAATTTATTTGAGGGAAAAAATTACAAAACAATTATCTCGAACAAACCATAAATATATTTCTATAGTATTCAATAAATAACTTAATCTATAAAATAGTATTATTATTATTATTATAGAAGAAAAGATAAATAGTTTTTAAAATAAGTCT